GTCCTTCAACTGGGGGTTGCTTCATTCTGTCAGGGTGCGCTGGTGAGTGGAGCGGAGGTGAGGATCCAAATGCAGGGGAGAAAGCAGGCAGGCAGACAAACTGGACAACTGAAAGGGTTTTAATGATTCACGCACGCAGGACATGGAAACAATGAAGCAACAAGAGACAAAGGACTGGAGGGGTTTAAATACAGGAGGGCTGGGAGCTTGGGTGATTGGGAAACAAGAGGCAGGTGGGAGCAATCAACAGGGACACAGGCTGAACCAAATGGAGAGACAGGACAGGGTGTGACACTTTCACATATCACAAACAGGTACATATAGTGCTAGGTTTCTTTTTGTTTGTTGTTTTACATCAGATTCAATCTATGTGTGTCTACATTCAAGTGCCCTCTGTGTGTGCTCTGCTACTCTCCTGAGTTTCGCCAGTGGTCCTCGCTCCCTGGGAGGACCTCTCTGCTTCATCGCCTGACTCTGCTTCCTGCTGCTTGTGGTTCCGGTTCGTTTGGGTCTGAACGTTCTTTGGTTCCTGCCATGGCTGCTGGAGTTTTGTAGTTCACCTGGGATTGGGTCTGGTCCCTGCTCGTCTACTTACTGCCTAAAGATTATGCTATGTGGAATTATTATTGCCTGTTTGGAATTATTACTTTGAGTTTGGGAGTACCATTGACTATTCTCCGGTGTGGGGGTTTGCTTTTCCCCGCCTGATGCCTCTGCCTGGGAACTAACCTTTCCTTTCTCGACTGAGTCCTTAGGGCCTCTGGACTTATTCAACGGCTCATGGTTTCTGCCAGGACCCCGTGTCCTTGAAAAGGGGGGTTATGTAGCCTCCGGAAATGGTCTGTTTTTCAATCTACAGGTCACCCCTTCAGTATCGGGTCATTTGGAGGCATAAGTCTTAACTGGTGCTTTAATCTGCAAGAAGATACTGTTGCCTCGCCAAGGTCTTTCCAAGCTCACTCTTATCTAAGACTGGTTTTTATTCACAGCACATGAGGATGAACTTTCAAAATTAAATCATATAATGAACAAGACGAGTAAATAATCATATGGTTGAATGAACAATAATGATTGAAGGATAATAACAATGTTTTAATTAATCTGTGCTTAAATGACTGTGGATGAATATTATGATGTTATGATCAGTAATTTTAGATTTATCAAGTGAATCACTATCTCTGACAGCTCACACACTCAGACACGTAACGATGACAAGGTTAAGTTAATATCCTGACACATTGCTTTCTGTTCCACCAATCAGAACTCCTGTATCTGACGCGAGGTGTGTTTCTGAGGTTTGTTGGTAAAAACCCTTCTACATGTCAAATTCTAATTTGTTAGAAAATCAAAATATGCCGTTCACAGAAACAGAGCTCACTTCATGGTGAGTCAGTTCCAGTTCCAGTTCTAGTTCTAGTTCTAGTTCTTGTGAGTTCTTGAGAAAGTTCTGGACCGGCCATCCAGTGCAAACCTCTTTAACCCAGAGCATCTTTTGACAAGCTGTCAAAAGCCTGTTGCAAGCTACAGCTGACCGCAAATGGTTCCTTCAGAACAAAGCTGAACCAACTTTAACTACTTAAGAGTTATTCCTAAGACACAAATAACAACTGTTGTGACCTGAAGACAACTCGAGACCGGGAAAGTCGGCACTGCAGTTACTTCTACGGACTTCGGTACCTCTGGGGTCCTCGGACCTCAACATTCCGGATCTGCCACGGGGGTCTTTGATCAGGGTACATAGACTCGACAGATTGCGTCTCATGTATTTTTGATAAGAACCAACTTTGTTAGTTTAAGGCAGACCAAATTCACTCCCACTCAGAACTAAGTTTCTCCAGATACGAAGGTTCTGATAACCTCACATTCATACATCATCACACCTCACATTCCATCCACTTAAATTCATTCATCACATAAGGTGTCCGAGTTGTCATGTTTTAATTGTTAAAAAATAAATTTCTTGCTCAAAGTGTCTTACAATCCCTGAATAAACAAAGAATTCTAAATCTTCTGGTTAAACATTCAAGACAAATCAGACTGGATTTCCATATTTATATGGAAATTCACATCACACTGGTCAAAGTGTAGGGTAGTATATTAAGCTTTAAAAGCACCCAAATACATACAATAATTACCCCGTTACATATTTGTGGAGGTTACATATGCAATACAGTGTATTGAGATACTTCTTTATTAATACAGCATTAAGCTACTGCTCATTAAGATGCATAAAGTTGTGTGAGAATGTTTTCTTTTTCTTATAGGATTTAATGACTGTCGCAGAATTTGAGTGAATTCTTTGCAGTGTTTTTGTTAGGTTGATGTCGAGTTTTGGGAAGGCTGTTTAAAGAGTACAACACAATTAAGATAAGTTTATTTATGCAATGTCAATTTAAAACAAAATTAATTTCAATGATTTATAGAAAAAGTAATCAAGTTCAATTCCAATTAATGCAATTCAGTTAAAAAACAACTAATTCTAATCCTTTCAGATTCAAAGCCAATTATAGACAGTCAAAGTTAACCAAATTCATTCATATACTAGGGAAGACTATAATTCAGTCCCTTGTTCAGGAAAGCGAGTCAACAGCGAACTGGAAAAACATCCTTTCAGCAGGAAGGAACCTCCAGCATAACCAATATCAGGATGGACGGCCATCTGCATTGACTGGCTGTAGGTTGAGAGGACCGGAAAGACACAGATACAGAAGCATCAAGCCAAGAATACCAGCTATGGGAAACAAAAACAGAATAAAGCATGTGCACATCTGTTTTTGCAGTCATTAGTGTGTTGAAATGTCAAAATAAGTAAAGGGGACATATTATTACTTTTTTTTCTTCAGTTATAATAATTCTATGGTCGATACAAAACATGTTTATGAAGTTCTTGCACAAAATTCCTCTCACATAAGGCATCCTCTGACTGGCTGCTATAAGCTGAGAAGCTCTGATATTCAGCAAGACATTTAGGAGCTCTCATCAAAGGTGCAAAATGTAAGAATAAAGTAAGACTGAAATCTTTAGGTCAAATTTGGTTACTGAAGTCCATTTTTATAAACAAAACATCACTCTCTCACTCCCGTTCCATGAGTTTCACGGTGCCAGAAAATACTAAATAACAAGCAAAGACGAGATAGGCTAGGTAGGCTAGAAAAGTCCATAGTAATCCCATGCGATCTGTTTTCAATTGGGCTCTGGTTCCAAATGTAGGCTGCACAAAAAATGAGCATAGTTGCAAATTTTGTGTTGACTCACAACCCTGTTACGCTCTCCAGCGCCCAGTGAGGCATCTACTGTACATTATCATGTCTGTTTCCAGCATTAGAAGAATTTTTCATCTCGCTGTTAGCTTGTTGTTGTAGTCCTGAACGATACATTCAAGAAAGGAAAATGCCACGATTGACTCATTATTCACTTCACACATACATTTGCCAGTAATATTGAGTTTTTGGTCATTGAAAAACAAAGTAGAGATATTTTTAGAGGAGACTAATTGCTTCTAATTTTGTATTAGCATTGTTAGCTCAATGCTAGCCTTTAGCCTTCTTTACCCAATACCTGCATTCTTAGGGGTACAAGTAAGCTGTTTTTACAGGACCATAGCGTTTGCAAAACGGGATTTGCCACAGCTCCAGGGGAGGATTTTGGCATTTATAGTAGCAAAGCTGAAGCTAGAATAAACTGCCATCAGGCACCTCTCAAATCAAGACGAGATAAAGGGAGGTCGCTGGGCGGCCCCCCGCATGTGACGTACAGGGTCGCGCATTCAGCGTCAGACGGAAGACACGTCAAACTGATGAAATTTCTTTTTCAGGACCTTTAGCTTTGATGTGACCTGCTTTTTGTCCTGCTTGACGCCCCGCTCAGCCAGTGTTTTCACCACTCTGTCGAACAGCTGGCTGTCTCTCACCATCCCCGTAAAAAGGCGACTAATCTGTTCGTCCGCTCGCATGGCCAAAAGCTCCATGGTCTCCGCGTCCGTCCAGTTTCCCATGTTGTAGGTGGTTGAAAGATACTAGTGAGAGAGGCCATGTTTATCTGTGTTTATATCCCTTCCGGCCAGCACTCGGCGCGCAGTATACGTCACTAACGCAACCACCCTCTTTTGCAAAGGGATTAGCTGGGCTGACACGCATTTAGCCGCCAGAGGCGAGGGGCTCATGCGGTAATATTACTATGAGGCTAAGCGCATCAGAATCGAGTTTTATCACCTATCCCCTTTGCTCCTTGCCGCATTTACGAGACCCACAAATTCAGATTTTTCACTCTAATGACGCGATGGTCTGTCTTATAAAAGAGGCAGAAATAACATCTGGATCACTCCTGTTACTGGCTTTGGCTCTTCAAAGTATTCTGGAGCTTTTTGCCCATTGATGTTGAATTACAAATGCTGGTGCTGCAGCGTAAATTTGGTGCAGACTTGGCAACCCTGTGGATTCACAGATTGTAAACAGTAACTGCGTCCCTCTTTAGCTTTTTTGAAAGGAGAAAAACTGACAACCCCCTGGCCGGCTGAGAAAGAAATCTGTTTCAATGTAACCTTTCTTCTGACATGATTGAGACATTAGACTGTTTAGTGATTATTTCATTGTAAAATTTTGTAAAATTTACACCTTTAATAATGATCTATATGGCTGTGTTGATCTCTTTGAGCTGTTGTGTATGATGTTGACCCCAAGTAGATAAGAAAAAAATCAACGTAATCTAATTTAATTACATTGTATTTGAGAAGGTAAATAGGTCAGATAGATGGATATCTACATAAAATCCCTTCACACTCATTAGATACATTGTAGTGCGACACTACGCGACTTGTGTCATGCCATCTGCTCTAAATCCTCATGTCACTTTCTGACTTCACCAAGAAAAGCAGATCATAGTTCGTCACACATCACTCCACCAGACACATTTAGCTCTCCAGGAAAGATTTACGAGAAGGCCCGTGCCACCCAATGGAGCAGTCGACTCAGAGAAGCCTAGGATTGGTCAACATGCCGGCACAGTATTTCCCAGGTTGCACCTCCCACATGAGGTGACCAACGGCTTAGTGTGAGCCTGATTAGTAGTTTCAGCAGGTGGGGACAAGATGTTAGTAGGGATGAGCACCCAAACAAATGAATGGACATAAACATACTTCTGTGAGTATTTTTCAGCATATTGTTGAATATTCATATTTACTTTGTAATTTAATAGCTTTGGCTGAGGTTGGTGCCACTAGGTACAAAACCTTTGGATTCACTGACTCATTGTATTCCACCACCTGTGTGTTTTGCTTGTTGACATGTTGTCCTGCATTGTTTTGTTAAAAAAGTACTAGAATAATATTTCAATGACAACTGAGTAGTTGGTGATATGTTTACATTAAAAACACATTTTAATAGTTCTTCATAAGTTTCTTACCCTAAATAGCTTAAACACTTTCACACAATTGTGTGCCTAATAAAAAAAAAAATAATGCGCTCTATTGAAATGTTTTGTTGCTAACATTTAAGGTGTGCATTTATTAAGCAAGGACCACATTAGAATATTTAATATATAAATATATATATATATTATTATATATATGTTATATTAAATATTTAAGTTGAAAAAAACATTTTTTAATTAGAGACTATAGTTTTTCAAGACAGAATTCCCTCAAAATTACAAGTACTATGTACAAAAACAAAGTACAAATACAAAATATTAGAGTTAAACAATTGATTTGGACTTTATTGCTCTATATATTTGCTGTTTATATTAACCTTGTTTACATTTGAGGATTCCTTTGTTGTCCTTAACAAATATGGGTCAGCTTGTTGACATTTTGAAAATGGGCCATTCTAACTGGCTTCAGGAGATTACAGTGCCTAACAGATGTACTGGGCAAAACACTCTTAGATCTGCCAGTGTTTAATTTAGACCACGACCTGGCTGTCTCAGGCAAACCTTCTGCTCAGCCCAGACACACTCCCCATTGTTCTCATCTGTCCCTAAAGCCCACAGGAAACAGGCCCAAAGTATCTTTACATTGAACACGGTCGTAAATCTGGATTTCTCAACCTGCAGACCTTTAACATGTGTAACTGTATAACTCATGTTGAGTTTTACCATCTGGCTGCAGGTACCGTTCCCAGAGAAGATGGTGGCCACTGTGCTCACCTCAAGCAAGCATGTTCAACCTGATGAGCAACTGCTGCAGTTGGGTCTCCAAAATACAAGAGCCAATCAGGTACAGAACACACGTTTCATGAGAAAAATAAAGAATTACATTTGACATCTTCCATTTTCCAATTACAATCTACCTACTTAAACTTTGGTAAGAGCAGCAACAGTAAAATATGCTCAACATTTCCCCAGGCATTGTTCACTGTTGACTACAAACAACGCTGTTATTTAAAAATATATCTTAATATATAACTCGTCTGCAGGAAAGTGACCATTCTTGTGGTTGGACTTGACAAAGCAGGAAAAACCTCCTCCATCAGAGGGATGTTGAGAGGTAATAAGTCATTTCAGCAAGAATTTACATTTTTAGAGCAGATAAACAACAACTAACACACCTGTTTCTCTGCATAAGTCACCAACAGTGTAGACACTGGGCCCACCCACAGCTGCATCAGAAATGAGCTGAGGGTTGAGAACTACCTGGTCACACTGCTGGATGCTGGAGGATCCCCAGAGTTGAGGGGAACCTGGAGGGAGCTCTACGCAGAAGCTCATGGTATAATCTTTGTGGTGGACTCCTGTGACAGGCAGAGGATGAAGGAGGCCAGGGAGGTTCTGGCAGACCTGCTGAAGCAGCCGAGGGTGGCAGGAAAACCCATACTAGTGTAATCATACTCTGCTTTTAACCTGGATTTTACATGTAATCCAACACTGTGTTCTGTGGTAGTTGAAGGGTCAAAACAGATTAAGAACAAAGTTGTATTATTTGGTTTCAGGTTGGCAAACAAACAGGATAAGATGAACGCATTGGTGGGGAGTGAAATGATAGAGATTCTGTCTTTAGAGAAGCTGGTTAATCAGAGCCGCTCTCTGTGCCATATTGTGAGTATACTGTAAAACAAAACAATAAATAAATTAAAGGGGACATGCATAATTCACCATTTGTATCCTATTGCCTTTATAAACACTTCAAATTGAAGTAAAAACCTGTTAATCCAATTTCTGCCAGTGTTTGGTTTTAGTAGTTATATGCCTAAAACAAGCTGTTTAAAAAAGTCCCCTTTTGTGATGTCACAAACAGGGAAGGTAGAATAGAAACTCCTTTTACATTCAAGAGAAAGCTGCTGCTGGAGGAGCAACCACTCTACTCTGAGCCCCTCCAAGATTCTTAGCTCATAGCAGCCTGGGCGGAGGATGGGTGGGCGTGGCCAGTTTCAGATTGTTTTCTATCATCTATCTATCTATCTATCTATCTATCTATCTATCTAACTATCTATCTATCTATCTATCTATCTATCTATCTATCTATCTATCTATCTATCTATCTATCTATCTATCTATCTACCTATCTATCTATCTATCTATCTATCCATCTATCTATATATCTATCTATCTATCTATCTATCATCTATCTATCTATCTATCTATCTATCTATCTATCTATCTATCTATCTATCTATCTATCTATCATCTATCTATCTATCTATCTATCTATCTATCTATCTATCTATCTATCTATCTATCTATCTATCTATCTATCATATCATCTATCTATCTATCTATCTATCTATCTATCTATCTATCTATCTATCTATCTATCTATCTATCTATCTATCTATCTATCTATCTATCTATCTATCTATCTATCTATCATCTATCTATCTATCTATCTATCTATCTATCTATCTATCTATCTATCTATCTATCTATCTATCTATCTACATAAAGGGAAATTGCAGTTTAGGCTTGCATTTTGCACCCCCTGAAATCTGTTTTAATTCAATGTCATAAAAACGAAACAGAAAATCTCCTCCTCGCTGTGCATTCATGTTTTAACACCTTAATCTTACAGCTGAAATGTCTCCTTGGCCTTTATTAGTTTCTACAGGAGCGGTTTATCACTAAATCAAACAAATCAGCTGTGTTCATGATCTAAAACATGCAGGAATCACTTCTCTGAGCAATTCAGAAAACTCCCGATGCTGACTCTTGTTTGACTCCTATTGTGATAGGATGTTCTTTTATTTTTTTTTTTTGGTAGCTTCATCAGATAAATGTTTTCTTTGTTTTTTTTCTGAAGCCCCACCATGATGAACACGTTACAGTAAATGCTAACCAGCTATACAGTAGCTTGTCTGTTCTGAGGTATAAACATGGATTTCCGTAAACCGTAACTTTGAGAGACTTCAAGCCAGAGAGGCTGAAGATGCAAACGGGGTATTCTGCTCACAGGGGCGGAGAGGGCTGAGAGTTTTCATTGAGACTTTAAAGGATCGTTTTAGCACATACTGGCTCAAGAAAATTATTTTTAAAACATGAAAAAGTTGCATAGTATGGCTTTGAGAAAATGGTAACAGTATGTCCCCTTTAAAGTAATGGGGTAAATACATGCATATGGCCAGCAAACATAGTGACCTTTTTTGCTTCTTTTCTTAGGAACCATGTTCAGCCTTAATGGACCTGCGACGCTGGTCAGACAGAAAGACTTTGCGAGGCCTTCGCTGGTTACTGCGTGCTGTTTGTCTGGATTACCCAGAGCTCTGTGCTCGGGTGGCCCAGGACAGCAGGAGGCCTCTGGAGTCGAGAAAACAGGAAAAGAAAGGAAAATCTGGGAAAATACATAGAAAAACAAAAGTTGAACGGTAATCAAAGCTTTGAGAGGAGTCAAGGCTCAAAGTTACATTATCTGTGTTTAATATTTTTGGCAAATCTTGTCTTGATTTCAGAACACGATCCAGCAAGTCAGATCTGCGTCAGGTCCATCGGCCCAGAGAGAACGAGAAAAGGGCCAGCGGTGAAGGAAAACTGCAGCCCATTAGGAACATCCTGCAAAGGGTTAGAAAATAGCATTTTATGTTATGTTTCCAATAATACTTTGACTTTTCACTCATAAATTAATAAAATTCTTGCTTTTTAGACTTATTTAGACACTTGTTTGAATTTTGCCTTGTCATTTTTATTTTGTTACTTGGGATTGAATGTGCCAATTTAAACTTACAGCTACACAAATGTGTAAAATTTACAGCGTTGGTTTGAATGAATGCCGTCTTTTCTTTACACAAAGTCGGCTGTGAGACAGACTGAATGTGTTATTTCCCCAGGAGAACACACTGGAAAAGAAGCTAAGGACAAAGAAGAAGAAGAAACCAGTTAAGCTCAACAGTGACGAACAAGATGAAGAGTCTCAGGAACAGGAAGAAGATGGTGAAAACAATGAAGGTGAACAGGACAACTCTCACAGAGACAAAGCCAGCAGTGCTCTGATCCCTCCGAAAAAAGGCAAACAGAAATGCAAAACAAAGGTGAAAGAAGAGTCACTGGGCGCTGCTGAATCACTGGAAAACAATGAGGCACATCTGAAAGGTTGGCATTTTCTATCATTCAGCCTCAGTTTTGTATTATTTTGGCTTTAAAAACAGCTAATATCTGACTTTATTTCTAGCTAAAGGAGAAAGACGGAAAAAAAAGAAAGTTGTGAAAGTTAAAAGAAAAAACAAAATCAACACAGAGGGAACACCTGGAGCCTACTCTCGGCCTGTGGATCTGTCTTCCACCTTTGGTGAGCCCAATACTTTTTTCTTCCTACCAGTTAGGACAACAATAACAAAACCACAACTTTGATTTAAACATATCATTTTTCTATTTATAGACCTCTACCAAAAGGCAATTCTGGCTCTGAAGGAGCGTCAGGACCAGGGACAGAGACAGTGAACCCTGAAGAAGTATTGTCTGTTAAAGAAACAGCTGTTTTACATTTTTAAAAGTCACACCAACTTACTACCTTATTCCTGAGCCTTTGAGGACAAACCGCAGTGTGCTGTGAAGGAAGGGTTTGATCACATTCTAACAATAACACAACAATGTTAAATATAAACTTGGCCAAAATATTGACATTTTGTAGACATTTCTGATGTTTGAAATTATTATTTTTTAAATTGTATACTTTATTACGATTCTCTGAGAACTGTTCAGTTGTGAGCTGCACTCTCGGAAAAGAATGCCATTTTGACTTTTGACAAAACTTTAGAAAAAATTAGATCTGTGATTTGATAAGTGTAAATAATAAACAGGATTTGTGATTTGGTGGGTGTAAATAATAAACATTTTGTCAATACCCTTGCATGGTCTTTCTTTTGTGTGTTTTTTCCCCTGTATTCTCATTACATCAGCTGCAGCGGCTGGACTCAGGAAGTAGATGATCTCAAACGTTAAAGTTTAAGTTAAAATCCCACTAGTTGTCACACTGGTGTGTGACATTTGTTTTCCAGAATTGACCCATCCTCTGCGAGAGCGGTGAGAAGCAGACACAGCCATGCTAGAGAACCATTTGGTGGTTTAACCCCCCAATCAAACATTTGGAGGCATGTCAGAATATGTGGTGCTCTAGAACTGGTTTGGGAATCTGATAATAAATGTGCCGCGACCACTTTGCCAGGATATTTTTCAGCTTTGTGGCCTCTTTCACTTTTACTCAGCCAGGGGGTATACTCTGGACCTTGGTTTTTACCCTGGGTTTTAATATTGACAGTATTTGTTCCGAGGATGTTTATATTTCAGATAATCAATGCATTTTCTTCAACTTGTCATTTTCTGCATTCTCATCTCCTGCTCACCGTTTCTCATCTGTCTGAGTGTTCCTTCTCTGTGGCCATCTCCAAGTTTCGGTCCTCCCTCATCCATGGTGTCCCACAAGGTTATGTGCTGGGGCCTCTACTGTTCTTCCTCTATCTGCGTTCTCTTCAGCACAACCTAAGCTCTTTTAAAGGAACTGGCTAGGAACATTCTACAGCTGAATGAAGAAAAGACTGAGATCCTCATCTGTGCCCCAGGCAAGCTGGTTCTCAAAGTCAGAAGCCCTTTTTTAAGGCACATCATGTCGGCAAATCAGCAAAATACTGCTGCCACAGTGTATCTTATGAACGCGCCGTGGCGTAATGCTGTTGGTGGAATTTTGTGGCTTTCGTGCTTGGTAGTAATATTATCAAACTGCCAAGCTTGCCAACCATTTTACACAATGCAACAGAGAGAGGTGTCATGATCACGTGGGGAGTTAGTGCTAAGCTCCGGCCAGCAACAACTATATTGAAAATGAAAGTAAACACGGGCAGTAGATTTTGCTGTTGTAAACAGAACCAGTTGAGATGATATACTGGAGTGATGCAGAGCTCCGTTAGAGCTGGAGGTCAAATCACCAGAGGCTGCACAGGGACTGTGGAGGACACACACCTTTATGAGTGGCTTGTCAAAAAACCTTATTGAGTGCGGCCTTGATTGCAATGAAAAGCAAGTTATGTCCAAGTTAAACGAACATCCATGGCAGTGCAGGGACCGCCTCCCATACCCCTTTATACTGTCATTGCATAATCTTTTATGAAAAGGACACAATTGTGCAACGATACTACCACGGTCTGACCACTTATAAAATGACCTAAGGCTCCCAGATGATGCTGCGTTGTTTGTGGCAAATTGGCGCCATTTTTTTTCTAAAGAGGCTAGAGACTCTCTTGGTCAGCTTGCTTCCCACACCAAACCCTCTGTCAGGAATCTTGTTGTGACCTCTGACCCAGCTCTCACCCTAGATTCTCATGTCAGTTTTCTTGTTCGCTCGTCCTTCTTCCATCTCAGGAATGTTGCCAAGCTGAATCCAATTCTGTCCCGCCCTGAACTTATGATTGTTATCCGCACTTTATCTCCTCACGCTTAGACCACTGCAACTTGTCTGAGCAAAACCTCCCTTAAAGTGAGGGTCAAGGCAGGGGTGGAGACGCATTTCATCCACACTTACAGCATTCTGGAGGATTTCCTGTAAAACGTGATCATTAGATGAAAAGGGGAGGAGGGCATTTTTTTCAAGAAGGCCAGCGGCTCCAAGCTCTAATGTGTCATATCAGCAGGTGAGTGGCTGAGCCAGGTGGAGGTGTGGCTGCTTCACCTGGAGACCAGTGCAGTGCAGCCACGTAGTAATTAGCTGACGTCACGTTTTTCATCTTAGCCTATAGCCACAGCTGGTTCTAAATAAATGTAGAGCAGAGTTTTAACCTGAAGATGGGAGATAGAATTACGGTTTTGGGCTGAAATATTAAATTTAAAGTAAAATGCAATTAACTGCCAAACTAATGATTACACATGTGTACAGCACAATTAGACGCTCATCTATACAGGTTATCAGCAAAAAAAAAAAAAAAAAGTTAATTTAGGTGTTACTTGCTCTTTAACCGTCTACAGATGGTTCAGAATGTCTGTGCTCGGCACTGAAAAAACATTTTTAAACTGTTATTTCTGATCATAATCGGCCACTCTGAGTTTTTCTTACAGGCTGAACATGAAAATAGTCTCCTACACCTACCTCTTGCATTAGCTTCTGATAGAAAATAGATGGTGAAACTCTTGATTTTGAAAAACCTGACAGATCTACCTCACGCACATTCATGGACTCACGCATCTTCACTCATGACGAAGATGGCTGTTGTTAGTTTAGCATTCAGGAAACAGCAGAGAACATCTTGGCTGGTAATAGCTAACCATTAGCCTTAGCAACCCCACCACACAGCTGAACTTCTCCAGTCTTGAGTTATTTTGTGGAGATAAAACATCAATGTTGCATAACAGAGTCAGTGGTTGAGTTGTGCTGCTGTTATCCAATCCGAGGCGAGATGTCCAAATATCTGGAAACAGGACTATAACTCCTGCCATGTTAAGCTGTCCTCTGATGTGGCTTTCAGCTAGTTCCTGAAACAGGTGAATCTGAGCTTTAGTTTGAGTGCTTTTATTATGAAAAGCTTAAACAGGAAGCTTTTCTGCGCGTACCGGAAGTAGGGTCATGAGGACGGGTGACATTTTGCTAAGTCCTTTAGCAAAATAAACGCCTGCCGGGGGTTTTCGGGCTACTTAGTTGTTCTTTTAGCGCGTTTCAGTAACAAGTAGTCAACATGTGGTATGAAATTCTCCCCGGCCTGAGCCTTATGGCCGTGTGTTTGATGATTCCCGGGTTCGCCACCAATTACATTCACAAGTTCACCCATGGAGGAAAGGTGAGCGCCACACTGCCTCGCTCTAGGAAGCCTAACGTGTTTGTTTCTGTTTAAAACTGTATTATAAAACATGCCTGTGTCCTCTATAGGAGAAAAGAGTCGCTCGGGTACCATGGCAGTGGTATTTGATGGAAAGGGACAAGAGGGTATCAGGAACGGGTCGCTACTTCGACTCCAAGGTGAATCTCCGGTTTCTTGTTAGTTAAATAGAATAAAAACATGAAGCTTTGGCGATTAAAACATTAACGTTATTTCCTCTGTCTCCTCCCCTGCTATGCATGATCATTGTTTTTTCATTTTCAATCAATTTAAATGATTTTCAAGTTATCCCTAAACCACACACACACACACACACACGGTCCCACATATTATAACTAAAGACCAACACATTCACTATCCACGTGTTATAGACAGGAGAATAAAGGCTTTACAATCACTGGAGGAGATAACATGGATCTATGAAAATACTAAACACTTCATGTATAAAAAAGCTAAAAAATAATCCTAACATTTATTTATTTTTACTGTATTTTACATGATTTTATGATTTTCATAAACAGCCGTTCCATTTGCAGCCGTCTTCTAAACAAAAACTGAATCTACCTACTTATCTTCTCACCAGGGACTGGAGAACATCAAATGATGATGAGGATCACAACAACCCTGAAGATCACAAAGTTTATGCTTGTAAATTTAAATAGATATATACCATTGCTTTGTTAGCTTTTGTTTTTTCCCTCCAAGTCTGATTAATTAAACTTTTCCATACACATGAAAAGTGTTTTTATTGAGTAGTAGAAGCAACAAATCCGGGAGGGTTTTTAAAGAAATGCTTGACTTTTATTTCCCACCGTGTATGTTAGATGAAAGTTGTTATATTTTTTTTGTGAAGATTAGCTTATTTAATTTTCTTGCTGGATATTTTAAAAGCACTTGTCATCCATTGGCCAACATGCAGCTGGTTTAAGAAGCATTATTCTACTTCTGTAGCGTACCAAATGGCCAAGTATTTCCCCCAAAATTACCAGAAGTTAACTTTAAACTTACAGCCCAAACTTCTTCATACAGGCCAATCTGACACCATGGCACCTGTGAACGTCACGAGTCCTCAAGGCTGCAGGACTTCTTATCTATCCTCTTTGAATAAAGCTAACCTTCCCTGGCTCATACATCAGCTTACTAATTCGTCTTCTATAATCAGATTTTGTTGAATGAACAATTTGTTTGAATCCAAAGTGTTTTAATAATGTGTTCAATACTTTACAATAATGAATGATGGGTTAAAATGAGTATTTTTCCTATAATGATTCCTTTCATACCTTAAATTACACTAACCCACTGTGCAAAGACCTAGTTTGGACGTCCTACAGACGTGGTTTGGACTGACGGACTCAATATAGACATGATCTGCACATCCATGCAACATTGACTGTTTGCAGGGAATACATTCAGTTTAAATACCAAAGTCTTTGTCCACAGTGGACCAAATGCACCTGTTTTTACTCTTGTAGTTTTTGCTCATTTGTGGAAGTCAGACAGAAGGTCTCAGTTGTCTGGTTTCTGTAACAGTTCATCAAAAACGATGATGGAGGATTAGGGTTTACTGGTGAGGTCACACCAGTGAAGTTGTTCCACACTGAACTTGTTGAACATCAACAGAACTTGCTTTGTGTGTTGAAGCAGTCATGTTGGAATAGAAAAGGGCCTTCACTAAGGCAGGGTTCATACATCTACAGGTGCTGGCCAGTAAATTAGAATATCATCAAAAGGTTGAAAATATTTCAGTAATTCCATTCAAAACGTGAAACTTGTACATTATATTCATGCAATGCACACAGACCAATGTATTTCCAATGTTCATTACATTTAAATTTGATATTTATAGGTGACAACCAATGAAAACATCAAATCTGGTATCTCAGACAATTAGAATATTCTAAAGGCCAATGAAAAAATGTTTGTTTCTCTAATGTTGGCCAACTGAAAAGAATGAACATGAAAAGAATGTGCATGTATAGCACTCAATACTTAGTCGGGGCTCCTTTTGCCTCAATAACTGCAGTAATGCGGCGTGGCATGGACTCGATCAGTCTGTGGCACTGCTCAGGTGTTATGAGAGCCCAGGTTGCTCTGATAGTCGTCTTCAGCTCCTCTGCATTGTTGGGTCTAGCGTATTGCATCCTCCGCTTCACAATACCCCATAGATTTTCTATGGGGTTAAGGTCAGGCGAGTTTGCTGGCCAATCAAGGACAGGGATACCATGGTCCTTGAACCAGGTGCTGGTGGTTTTGGCACTGTGTGCAGGTGCCAAGTCCTGTTGAAAGGTGAAGTCTGCATCCCCATAAAGTTGGTCAGCAGCAGGAAGCATGAAGTGCTCTAAAACTTCCTGGTAGACGGCTGCATTGACCCTGGACCTCAGGAAACAGAGTGGGCCAACACCGGCAGATGACATGGCACCCCACACCATCACTGACGGTGGAAACTTTACCCTGGACCTCATGCAACGTGGATTCTGTGCTTCTCCGCTCTTCCTCCAGACTCTGGGTCCTTGATTTCCAAAGGAAATGCAGAACTTGCTTTCATCAGAAAACATAACTTTGGACCACTCAGCATCAGTCCAGTCCTTTTTGTCCTTGGCCCAGGCGAGACGCTTCTTGCGCTGTTTCTTGTTCAAGAGTGGCTTGACACACGGAATGCGACACCTGAATCCCATGTCTTTCATGAGTCTCCTCGTGGTGGTTCTTGAAGCGCTGACTCCAGCTGCAGTCCACTCTTTGTGGATCTCCCCCACATTTTTGAATGGGTTTGTCGTCACAATTCTCTGCAGGGTGCGGTTATCCCTAGAGCTTGTACACTTTTTTCTACCACATTTTTTCCGTCCCTTCGCCTGTCTGTTAATGTGCTTGGACACAGAGCTCTGCGAACAGCCAGCTTCTTTAGCAATCACCTTTTGTGTCTTGCCCTCCTTGTGCAAGGTGTCAATGATTGTCTTTTGGACAGCTGTTAAGTCAGAAGTCTTCCCCATGATTGTGGTGCCTTCAAAACAAGACTGAGGGACCTTTTAAAGGCCTTTGCAGGTGTTTTGAGTAAATCAGCTGATTAGAGTGGCAGCAGGTGTCTTCTATATTCAGCCTTTTCAGAATATTCTAATTTTTTGAGATACCAAATTTGGAGTTTTCATTAGTTTTCACTTATGAATATCAAATTTAAATGTAATGAACATTGGAAATACATTGGTCTGTGTGCATTGCATGAATATAATGTACAAGTTTCACGTTTTGAATGGAATTACTGAAATATTTTCAACCTTTTGATGATATTCTAATTTACTGGCCAGCACCTGTATACTAAAATCTAATTTAGGCATTTTAAAGCTTTCAAGATGTCCCAGCACCAGTGACGATATGCATGTTTAAACAGCACGTGATTGCTCAGAACAATTAAGCTTTTTTGCCTAAATAAAATTTATTGTGCTACAAATGATTTGTTTTAAGGACTTAATTAAAAAGTTGGAAGAGCCAGGTTAATTGTACAATATGTAAGAATTTTAGGGTGACGTAATGTCAAAACAGTCTGACTCAGTGTTGTTGGAAAGAAGGTCACATTGAAACAGCTGGGGGGTTGTAAGTTTTTCTCCTTAAAAAAAAGCTAAAGAGGGATGTTTTCAGTTCACCGTTTACACTTTGTAAGCCTGCAAAGTTTACAGAGGCTGCACCGGAAAAACTGCAGCATTCTGTAAACAGGAGTGACCCAAAAGTTTTTTCTCGTACCCCTAAGAAGCCATGACATCTTTTGGTTTTTACTTTTATTGGGTGAAGCAGGCTAGAGGCTAATGTTGAGCTAACAGTGCTAACAGTAAATTAGAAGAGGATATTTTATATAGCGCCCCTTAAGATAAAAATCACCTGGTGCTTCACAAAAACAATAAAATTTAGTATAAAAAATGTATTAAAAATATGTTTAAAAGGAGAAAACAAAAAATGTAAGGATAGGTAGAGAGAAATTAATAGAAAAGAGGGGAATCAATGGATCCTGGGAAAGGCGGTATAAGAACAGAAAAAGGAGAGGGTTAGAAGCAAATAGTGGACTTTAAAATTATCTCAAGCTATTTTTTCAACTACCAACAACTCAATATTACAGTTAAATGTTGTTATCAGCAGTGGTGCGGTGGTTAGAGCCTTGCAGCAAGAAGGTCCTGGGTTCGCTTCCCGGCCTGGGATCTTTCTGAATGGAGTTTGCATGTTCTCTCCGGGTACTCCGGCTTCCTCCCACAGTCCAAAAACATGACTGTTAGGTTGATTGGTCTGTCTAAATTGTCCTTAGGTGTGAGTGTGTGTGTGTGTGATTGTTTGTCCTGTGTGTCTCTGCCCTGCGATGGACTGGCACTCTGTCCAGGGTGTACCCTGCCTGATTGCCCGTTGACCGCTGGAGATAGGCACCAGTCCCCCCGTGACCTTACATGGACAAGCGGGTTCAGACAATGGATGGATGGATGGATGTACTTATCAGCTTACTAATTCGTCTTCTAGAATCTTTTGGCCCCGAGCTGAAAAAGGCAGCCATAAAACTCACAGGAGTGAGAGTCACACACTCTGTTTAGAAAATGAGCTACAGAAACCAAATTTGACCACAGGATCATTCTTACATACCTTTAAAGTGTCGCCATAACGTTGAAACCAGCATTGACCAGAACATTTTGGGACGGTGAAGCGTTGGAGTTAAGGAGTCAGGCCCAAACCCTAAGAAGGGCACCAAACCATGAACCCTCCACCAAACCAACTATACCTAACAAAAGGGAAACTTTACAAACCGCCTTGTAGCAAAGGTGGAAACTAAAACATCCTGATGCTTGATATCACTTAGCTCTTTCATGATGTCCATTTTGGGCAACAAATGATTGAAAACAGAGTGCTGTGGCTCGGGGCTTCAAAGCAATTAAAAACACAATTTTAAAGATTTTTCCTAACTTATAGTTTGAGCTTTTCTATAAAATTTAAATATTATAAAGTTCATTTTGTTAGATCTTTGAACAAACTAGGAAGTTAATAAAAATGTTAATAGGCAGAAATGGTGACATTTCCAAATTATTATGATCTTTTATTTTTTTCCTTGTGGTTTTACAGAAAATATGAACTTAGGGTAATGGATGCTTCCTGATTCCAGTCAGAAATGTGAAGAGGAAAAACATATGTGGACAATTAATTAGCTCTGCTGTATTAGGGAATATTTACAAGGAATAAAGAATAAACAGGGAGGAAAATCCATGAACATTTTAGACATTATTTTACAATCAACAAATTAAATTGTATACATCAGGAAGGTTTAATGCCTCTTAAAACTAAAACACCAGCCGGGAAGTCACTAGACAAGAAAAGAGCCTTTGAACCTTTCACTTTTCTTCTTTGCCTTTGGTTTTTCTGTACACCATCTCTCTGAAGCTTGACAAGATCTTGCTTTCCCTCTTTCTCCTTTCTTCCTGGTTGAACGATGCCAGAGCTCTCTTTTCATCCGCGCTGTAGATCTGGTTTTCCTTTCTCAGACGCACAGCCTCCATACGGCGATGTCTGCCGGGCGACAACAAACCAGCTATCAAAATTATACCCGAAAATAGACTTTACACACGCTAACGATAAAAACCTGCTTTTTTAAAGGACAGCTGTAAGGACAAGATTTTAAACTGAAAAGAGATTAGTCTAAGTTTACAGAATGGCAAACAATTCATACCTGCTGCCGCTCATTACATAACCAGATTTCTCAAAATCGGCAATCTCATCGCTGGTGAGGCCAATTTCTCCTCTTCTCGGGATACGTTTGCCTGCTTTCACGTACTCTGCCATGGCGGCGCCTTCACCCGGCAGCAAGGCATGACCAAAACTAAAGGAAAATAAGAAGACTTCCATTAAAAATGCAAAACACTTGCAGGCCTCTTGTTTTTTTTTAAATAAACAAGAGTTGCCAGGTTTTTATTTTGAAAATCCCTCAGAAACTCACTCCAGTGGTCTCTCATCCTGAGACGTGTGAGTGAGCGGAGCTTCAGGACCAACGATTTGTTCATCCATGCAGGTTTTCTCCACCCACATCAAGCCAGAAGGATCGTCCTCCTCCTTTTCTTCGTCAGACTCTTCGCTGCTCGAGTCACTAGACTCTTTCCGATTTTTCTTCATCTTCTTCTTCTTAGACCTCTTAGACCTTTATGAGAAATGTTTTGTTTAGCCTCCCCCCACAAAGACAATCTACATGTGTGGTAAAACTAGCCATTAGTTGCTTACTTTTTGCCTTTCTTCTTCTTTTTCTTCTTTTTTACTTCTTCTTCTGTTAGGTAAAAAAATAATCCAGATTACAAAATAAGAAACAAACAGAATACTAATGAGATTTCTTCCAATACGTGCAATTATTCATAGCTGTTACCATCTGAATCCGATTCCAGCTCACTGTCCTCCGAGTGCTTCTTGGTCTTTCTTTTCTTGGACTTCTTTTTCTTCTTCTTTTTCTTTTTCTTTTCCTCTGATGAGCACCAAAATGATTTCAAATGCAGACAGACCTGTTTTTACACCACTGACGATTTCCACATGTTGAGGTTTACCTTCAGAACTTGACTCAGAACTGCTGTTTTTGCCATCTTCTTCAACTGGTGTGAATTCATCAGAGCTAAGGGGGAGAAGCAAGATTACATTTTTTTAAAGGAAGAAAAAATAAATGCCGACCCCGAAACAAACCTGAAATGGCTTCCTGTGATGGGGAATTCTGGACTTACTCTGGTTCTTTTACTCTTGGCGAGTATCCCCAAACTTCAGGACAGCCAAGTTCACCGATCCTCTCCCTCTCCTGCAGACGCCTGGAGCACAAAGGAAGACAGGTCGGTCTGCTGCTGGTCCAAAACATTTACAGCTTCTATCTATTTATGCAGTTCTGCATTTGAAATATATGAAGCATTGTTAAAACCAAACAAAAAACTACAATGTTGTCTAAAGAAGGAAATGGTTTAAAATAACTAAAAACAGACAGCTTTCATGTTTTTCGGCTAAAAATTTAGGAATCTGAACTTGACATTTATTGTAAACAAATTGTAAGTCGCTTTGGATAAGAGCGTCTGCCAGATAAATAAACATAAACATTTATCACATCTTACTTTCATTTTTTTTAAAAGGATCTCGGGTACATCTGACTGAGATCATTTAAGTGTTGAACTTTAATAATGCTACCTGGCTATAAAAGCCTCTTGTCTCTGCCTTTGGACATCATCTCTCTGCTGCTGGTAATAATAATCATCCTTAAAACTGCCATGTTTTCCAGAGGTTTCCCGCTCCCAGTGGTTCTGGTTGTTGCTGTGGATGTGACGCTCCCGGGACCTGGAGCGGCTTCGACGGGGACTTCCAATGCGAATTCGTCTGATGTTTTTGGCCTCTCTGAAGCGACGCTCCCGTTCCTCGCGCTCCCTCTCTCGGTTGCGTCGTTTCGGGAGTTTGGGCCCAAAGCTATACGGGGACAGGCTCCGTTCACGGCTGTCTCCGCTCCGGTTTCGGCTACGAGAACGCGCCCGGAGTCTCCGGGCTCGAGGACTACGGGGTTCTCCGCCACCGTCGGAGCTTGACCCATCCGACAGAGGCATCCTCACTTACTAATTAAAGCGTAGTAAAACAGACCTCGCTTTGCTGCTTTCAGTACGCCAGCAATAACAGGAAGTGCTTTTGGGTCCGTCCCTGAAAAAAGCACCACTATCCTCACAAACAAAGCAAAGAATTGTTCCGCTATTTCGTAGCTCAAACGGAGCTCAAATTACAGCTTCACAGCATAATACCCATAACACAAACACATTTATGATCATAAAATTTTATTTCAAAACACAAAATTATTTCAATTGAACAGGTTGTTTTTAGTTGTTTATTTGCCCAATCAAGTTGTTAGTATGTTTTATTTTAAAAGGATCACTACTGAGTGATTTTAAGGACGTTTCTACTCACAGTCTAGTTGTATCCATCCACGTACTGTGCTTTATTCTAAGCTAAAGCAAAAGGAGTACAGTTGGGCCAGGAGAACGACTGGGCTGGGTAAAAATGTGTTTTCCCTACTTATCTAACTCTGGGAAATATGTCACAGACAACATTTCAGTTTTGGGTGGAATCTTCATTTAAAACACTTACTGAACTTTGATATTGTGAAAGCTTTCAGAAATACTGTTTTACCAAGAATCAAAATACATCAGTTATTATTATATAATTTTTTACACTCTATTTTGTCACAAAGAGACTGTCCTCTAAAGCTATATTTATTTCTCACAAACTGCAAATATTATTGTGTATGTTAAATCGTTGCTTCAAACGATTAAATAAGTAGATTTTATGTTTAAATTCGAAATGTTTCTTTACGCGGGTAAAATTGGGTAGTACCCATAGACTGTACATATACAGTATGTATATGTACATACTGTGTTTGTACACAGTATATACATATACATACTCTTTCTACACTCACGGGTAGTACTAAACGTAATGTGGTACTTCCGGTGGTGCAGCAAGGAAATTCCGGTGTTGTGCCGAAAAAAAATAACACCCTCAGAAATTAACTTGCTGGTAGACGCGCATTTATTGGGCTTAGTGGTGGCTCACATTTCACGATTACAGGTAAATCATATATATAGTATCTGTTGTTTATATATTATATACGTTTTAGTCAGAGAGCCTTTCAATAACACGGTTCTTGTGTTTGATGCAGACATGCTAATATGATGCTAACGGCAGGCCGCGCTTCCTCATTAGAACGAGAAACCAGCATCACCTTTGTTAGCAGGCTAACAACAGCGGCTGTATTCCATGTTAGTGATGAATTATTAAGGAATAATATATTTATTTCTAGTTGCTTAGCCCTTCGGTAATGGTCTGAAAGCTTCAGTTTAAACTTCTAAACTCACGTTAATGACATTAAGTTACAAAACCTCACCCAAAGTAACATTTAACAACTGTTAGCCGTGTCAAAGAGATTGTGCTTGTAGGCTGACAAACACAGTGTCAAGCAGATTCATTTTTAACATAACATCGACTTTTTAATTTTTGTTAACTAAATAATTTGACTGACAAAATGGTGTCTTTCTTAATAGTTTATTTGTAGGTTATAAGCTAGTAAATTCCTTTGGTAATATAATGCTTTAAACTGAGCTGTAATCAGAGGCGTTTTGAAGTAAAATTAGGAAAATGTTAAATATTTGACAAATCTTCATATTGTTATTAAACGTTTAATTGCCACGTTTGTGTTTTAGTTTTAGATTTCAAACTATTCTTTCTGGGAGGATTCATCATTTAGCATCATGTTTCAGACTATATGATTTTAATGTATTTTTAAATCACTATACTTGTTTTTATATGTGTTTCAAAACTTTGTAGCATCTGTTCAGAGAGATGATCGTTCATTCATTAAGTCACTTATTTTCCACATTATTCTTGAATTGTTGTTTATTGCGATGTTGTTTGAGAAATAATTATTCTGTCATAAAGCCTAGTTCATGTTTGGAAATATTTCAAAAGCATCAGTTTTCTTCATTTGTGTCTTCATTGATCATATCAGCATTTATATTGTTGTTTGGTCTACATTAGAAACACAGAAGCATCTGGACTAGAAATAGATTCAAAAATGCTAAATTTTACAAAGAATCAGAAAAGTGTCAGGTTAACCTTACATTTATAACCTTTGCAGATAGCAGTGGTAGAAGACGTACTTGATAAAAGTAGAGATAAATGGTTAAACATTACTTAATTAAATGTGTACGTATCCAAGAAATGTATGACTTAAGTGTTAAAGTATGAATTTTCAAAAGTACTTGAAAGTAAAATGTAGCAGTATATAACTAACATTTAAACATGCGCAATGTATTTAGACATGTGCTGTACAGTAATATTACCTTTGGGACTGCAGTCTGGCGTGGACAAGGGCGTGCACTTCCGGTCGCCATTGGACCGGGGGCAGGGTGGGGGTCGGACAAAACACAAATGAAAGTACTTTTACTTTTTAGTAAATGTAATGGAGTAGAAAGTACAGATAATCGCTTTAAAATGTAGTGGAGTAAAAGTGTGCCTCAAGAAAATTAAATAAAGCACAGAGATACAGAAAAGTTTGATTTAAGTTTAGTAAGTACTTGTACTTTGTTACATTGCATCACTAGCAGATAGGAGAGTTGTTTTTGATCTGCTGCTGTGGAACCGACAGCTAAGATAAGCATGATTTTGTAAAACTGCCATAACTGTCTGTAAGTCTCATTGATTCTGATTCATTTGTCTTTCTGTAGCAATGCCGAGTTTAAAACTGATATCTGCGACCGACACCCAGTACTCAGCGGGTATACTGAAGTCCCTGAATAATCAGCGAGCTCATGGGTTGTTTTGTGATGTCACCATCATCATCCAGGACAAGAAATTCAGAGCTCATAAAACAATCCTGTCTGCTTCTAGCACATACTTTCACCAACTCTTCACCGTTGCCGGACAGGTGATCGAGCTGAACTTTATCAGGCCGGAAATCTTTGAGCAGATTCTCAACTACATTTACAGCTCCAAGGTTGTCCGCATTCGTTCAGACATGCTTGAGGAGCTCATAAATGCTGGACAGATTCTGGGAGTCAAGTTCATTGCAAACTTGGGTTTGCCATTGTCACAGGTCAAAGGCCTTCCTGGTGTGTCTAAAGAGACGGAACACAAAAGCGACACAACCCCAGAGAGCATGCCGATCATCACGGAATCCTTCTCCATTTCTGCAGAAGAATTTAACCAGACAAACAAACCTGCGGGAGTTGAGGAGGACTCAGACAATGACGTCGTGTTTGTCTCATGCACAGATGCTCAAATTAGAGCAGCCGGTGAAAGGTCTGCAGTCATCGATTTGGACAAAGACGATTCAGATAGCTCCGGATCAAAGCAAAATTTGGAGTCAAATAATAATAAAGGCACTTGTGAACATGTAGTAAAAGCCACGCCCCCTCAGAAAACACACGCTGCTAAGCCTCCCTTTACCCTGAACAGCCCCCTCCGCAGTCCTGACAGCAGCTCCAGCCTTCCTATGTCCCCTGCCAGAGTTCCTCCAGAAAGCATTTCCTCAGCTCCAACGAAATCCAACGACCTCCCCTCTGAGAGCAACAACGTGATGGGAGTCCAGAAGAAGCACATTGCCACTTCGATCCAGCAAGGGGATTTTAAGATAAAGCTTTTAGATGTTTCTGAAATTGCAGCCCTTCGATCTAACACGGGCGTGCCACACACAGAAGCTAAAAAGACCGTGACCCTCAATACTCCTACGGAAATGGATTCGATTTCATCAGACTGCAAAGTTTATGCCAACATTGGAGAAAATACTTTTGATATTGTCTCGGCCAAAGAAGATCCTGGAGAGGGAGGCTCTAAAGCCGGTAAAGGAAAGAGAGCCTTAATGGCAACGCCCTTGAAAGCCTTTGATAAAAAACCTTTGTCACAAAGTCATGGCCCTAACAGGAAGAGGTCCAAAACAGAGATCGATGATCACTACGAGGTTGTCATGGACGGGAAGACTTTCTATGTTTGCGCTGTGTGTAAGCGCCCCTACGTGTGTGTCACTAGTCTTCGTCGCCACTTTAACACACACTCGTGGGAAAAGAAGTACCCCTGCCGCTTCTGTGACAAGGTCTTTGCTATGGCTGAATACAGAACTAAACATGAGGTCCACCACACAGGAGAGAGGAGGTACCAGTGCTTGCTGTGCAATGAAATGTTTCAGAACTACCAGATAATCTCCAGTCACTGCAAGCAAGTCCACAACCAGGATCCCAGCGGGAGGAAGGACAAAGATGACGCTAACAACAGCTTATACCGTCTGCTGCCATTTAAAATGGGGCAGGTGAAGAACTCATGGGTTACCGATGAGGTTCCCGTCATATCTGAGGTTGGCAGCATGCATCATGTAAACGCGTCTGGAGACGATGTCCACTCTTTTAACCAAAGAGGGATGCTGAACTGGGACGAGATCTTCACCGAGCCCGAGGCTCCCATGGTGCCAGATGCCAGCCCCCAGCCAGGGTCCACGGTGAGCTCGCCTCCTCAGGGAGCCTCAGAGTTTGAGTATATCACACCAGAGACCTACTGAGGGATAATCACCGCTCCTCATTACACGTGCCTTTTGGCTTTCAGTTTCCTTATGAATCCTCAGTTTCATCCCAGCGATCCAAATCCACTTCAATCTATAAAAACCCAATGCTTCTTCCAAGAGTACAATCTTTTAAAGTAGAGGATTTTGTTTTTAATCAAGTTTTTATTCAAACTTTATTATTATGAAGTTGCAGTTTGTGAATCTGGAACTAAAAAGTTCTACTCTTATTGTAAAATAATGACTTTCTAGCAGTGCACTTAAAAATGCAAACACACATGTTGCGTCGGCATCTAAAGGGTTAATGCATGGTTGGGTTTGCTTTTGATTAGTGAAAATAGTATTAAACTTTTGTAGCAATAGAGACTTAGTCATTATGCATTCAAGACTCTAGTCGGGTTTATGTGTTGGTAGCAAAACTACACAGACTTCACTGGAGCCAGTTGCCCAGCGCAGCATGATATAATCTGAAATCAGGATGTAATCATGTTTAAAATGGTTGTTTATTTATTGTTTGTGAGTTCATTCCCAACTCTATGTAGAATAAATTGAACACAGATAACATGAACAGGTGAAGTTTCTTTAAGATGTTCGTCTCACCGAGCTAACACTTATGACCTTTTTGGGTCCTTTGTGCTCACATTCAGGAATAGCTCAGATTATGTGATAAAGAATCACAGCAGCACCATGAAATGTGACTTTTGAACCAGATGATGGTTTAGCTCATGTACAGTGGGGCAAAAAAGTATTTAGTCAGCCACCGATTGTGCAAGTTCTCCCACTTAAAATGGTGACAGAGGTCAGTAATTTACATCATAGGTACACTTCAACTGTGAGAGACACAATGTGAAAAAAAATCCATGAATTCACATGGCAGGATTTTTAAAGAATCTATTTGTAAATCAGGGTGGAAAATAAGTATTTGGTCACTTCAAACAAGGAAAATCTCTGGCTCTCACAGACCTGTAACGTCTTCTCTAAGAAGCTTTTCTGTCCTCCACTCATTACCTTTATTAATGGCACCTGCTTGAACTCATTATCTGTATAAAAGACACCTGTCCACAGCCTCAAACAGTCAGACTCCAAACTCCACTATGGCCAAGACCAAAGAGCTTTTGAAGGACACCAGGAAAAGAATTGTAGACCTGCACCAGACTGGGAAGAGTGAATCTACAATAGGCAAGCAGCTTGGTGTGAAAAAATCAACTGTGGGAGCAATTATCAGAAAATGGAAGACATACAAGACCACTGATAATCTCCCTCGATCTGGGGCTCCACGCAAGATCTCATCCCGTGGGGTCAAAATGATCATGAGAACGGTGAGCAAGAATCCCAGAACCACACGGGGGGACCTGGTGAATGACCTGCAGAGAGCTGGGACCACAGTAACAAAGGTCACCATCAGTAACACACTACAATGGCAGGGAATCAAATCCTGCAGTGCCAGACGTGTTCCGCTGCTGAAGCCAGTGCATGTCCAGGCCCGTCTGAAGTTTGCCAGAGAGCACATAGATGATACAGCAGAGGATTGGGAGAATGTCATGTAGTCAGATGAAACCAAAGTAGAACTTTTTGGTATAAACTCAACTCGTCGTGTTTGGAGGAAGAAGAATACTGAGTTGCATCCCAAGAACACCATACCTACTGTGAAGCATGGGGGTGGGAACATCATGCTTTGGGGCTGTTTTTCTGCTAAGGGGACAGGACGACTGATCCGTGTTAAGGACAGAATGAATGGGGCCATGTATCGTGAGATTCTGAGCCAAAACCTCCTTCCATCAGTGAGAGCTTTGAAGATGAAACGTGGCTGGGTCTTCCAACACGACAATGATCCCAAACACACCGCCCGGGCAACAAAGGAGTGGCTCCGTAAGAAGCATTTGAAAGTCTTGGAGTGGCCTAGCCAGTCTCCTGACCTCAACCCCATAGAAAATCTGTGGAGGGAGTTGAAAGTCCGTGTTGCTCGGCGACAGCCCCAAAACATCACTGCTCTCGAGAGGATCTGCATGGAGGAATGGGCCAAAATACCAGCTACTGTGTGTGCAAACCTGGTAAAGACCTATAGTAATCGTTTGACCTCTGTTATTGCCAACAAAGGTTATGTTACAAAGTATTGAGTTGAATTTTTGTTATTGACCAAATACTTATTTTCCACCCTGATTTACAAATAAATTATTTAAAAATCCTGCCATGTGAATTCATGGATTTTTTTCACATTCTGTCTCTCACAGTTGAAGTGTACTTATGATGTAAATTACTGACCCCTGTCATCATTTTAAGTGGGAGAAGTTGCACAATCGGTGGCTGACTAAATACTTTTTTGCCCCACTGTAACTTCAGAAGGTTTTTGAGCAGGAAGAAGCAAACAGACCAGTTAGTAAATGGAAACAAGGTTACCCGTTTTTGTAAAATATTTTTTTTTTCCTTTGTGTTGATTAAATACAAACCAACTAGATGTAAGCTGAACATGTAGTGTATAAATGTGAATATTATTAACTCAGGATAATTAGTCCATAAACATAGTGTTTAGGTTGGAAACGGGCTGAGGATGGTTTTGGTTACGGGATTATTTTTTACACCATGTTGGAATCTAGAGATTGAATAGTGTAAACCAATATAACACTTTCACTGAGTTTGTGTCAAATTACCAAATTAAATTTTGTTTTTTTTTTCAATAAATTGATAAACCAACACGTGACACTCATTTATTTGGTGTGTTTCAGCATTAAACCAAATCAAAGTCCATTTATTTTTCATAAATGCCAGCAAATAAATTATCGTAGCATTTGAACACATCTCCTACCATTACATAAACACTTATTTTATTTACTCATGAAGGCAATAAAACTTCCATTTGCATGAATTCAGTGGGACTAAAGCACCGAAGGCTCTTCTAGCCTTGAACATGTCCATCCTTTTTGGTCCAGTTAACTTTATCTGGGTGTGTACTTTCCGTTTTCTCAAAGGTTCCCCTAAACACTCTGACTTATCAGTCCTTATTGAAAAAGTCTGAACACACTAAATGTAAGGCAGAGCCCTCTGATTTACTGCACGGAACACAAACCAGGCAGCTGTGCGTCATGACTCATTTAAAAGGTTAGCTTAACTCTTTTCCACCTGAAACCATAATATTAGGTTCAAAGTCGCGGGACCATCAGACGGGGTGGTTTCATTCCCTAAACACAATCACGGTAAAACCAGAGAACTGGTTCTGGGCTAACATCCCAGAAAACAGGCTTCAACAACACAATGACGGAGGTGCTGAAATGAAAAGGTGCTTGTTCCTGTCAGAGATGACACATTTCAGCTCTTAGAAGCAATACTGACAACATGGGTGTTGCCGTGGAAACAGTTTAAAACTCTTCAGGAACTTCTGTAGGTACAAAAGTTTGTTTCTCCTGACCAGCTATGCCCACCTTAGAATAAACGAATATTAATGATCTAGTTTTGTTTTCCACTTGGGCCTAACTATAACATACTGCTGCACAGATGCGGAGAGCTACAAGTACAGCTAGTGTCCCTTTAATCATGTTCTGCAGCACTAATCTGCTAAAGAAATGACTGGTTAGGCAAAGCTTTAACTTTATATAAGTTGTTCTGCGTATTCAGAGAGGAAAGGGTCTTCTGTTCCACTTGTAGCTTGAAACGTTTCCCGGTTCCATGAAATGTAACGAATGAGCTGCAGGAGAGTTTCCGTACAGAGTTAAGTCTAAGTGAATGAGTGATGCATTAAGGCAGATTCATGTGTAAACAATCCTGATGCTGAGCAGGTTGTCTCTCCACAGGTGTATGTGAGTGGTGCCCAGGAAGCCCTCGCTCCCTGAATCGGACTGCTTTAGCCACACTCCTCTTCCTCAGTTACTTTTCTTCAGCATCCCTCTGTATGGTTGTGAAGAAAAGCCCACAGAGGCTGAGGGAACCTCTCCCTCAGTGACATCCAGCACCTGATAACGTCCCAGGTGTTGTCCTCGTCTCTCTTAGCCGTCTTATGGGCTGTATGGTGGGGGTTTTTCATCCGGGTGGTCATGAGGAGGAGAGTAGCGAGGGGGAATCATGGTGGGCCATAAGTGGCTGGCTCCAGACTGGGAGTCATCCGAGAGACCCGAAGAATCTGGGAACATGTAAGAGCCCTGCAGGAAAAAAACCACAGGATGCAAAATGTTTAAAGCATTTAGCTTTCATGTAAACCAGTCGTAAAATAATGAATTCATATTTATAAGGGAATCCATTTGGTGGCCTAAGAATTTAGTCTTTGTTTTTTGCAGATGATGTGGTCCTGTTGGCTTCATCAGAACGTGATCTCTGGCTCTCATTGGAGCAGTTTGTAGCCGAGTGTGAAGCAGCTGGGATGAGAATCAGCTCCAATAAATCTGAGACCATGGTCTTGATTCGGAAAAGGGTAGAAGGCCTTCTCCGGGTCAGGGATGAGGTCCTGCCCCAAGTGGAGGAGTTTAAGTATCTCTGGGTCTTGTTCACGAGTGAGGGTAAGCTGGAGCGTGTGATCGACAGGCAGACTGGTGCTGCGTCTGCAGTGATGCGGCCGCTGAATTGATTTGTCGTGGTGAAGAGAGAGCTGAGCCAGAAGGAAAAGCTCTGGATTTACCGGTCGATGTACATTACTACCCTCACCTATGGTCATGAGCTTTGGGTAGTGACCGAAAGAACGAGATCGTGGATACAAGCGGCCAAAATGAGTTTTCTCTGTAGGGATAGGGTGAGAAGCTCGGTCATCCGGGAGGAGCTCAGAGTAGACCCGCTGTCCCTATACATCTAGAAGAGCCAGAGGTGGCACTGGCATCTGGTTAGGATGCCTCCTGGCTGCCTCCCTGGAGAGGTTTTCCAGGCACATCCAATGGGGATAAAAGGTCCTAAAGGAAGACCCAGGAAACTATGTCTCACAGCTAGCCAGAGAACACCTTGGGATTCCCCTGGGGGAGCTGGTCTGAGTGGCTGGGCAGAGGAAAGTCTGTGCCTCCCTGCTTAGGCTACTGCCACTGCAAACCGACCCTGTATAAGTGGATGAAAATGGATGGATGTTTATAATAACTTTTCTATGAAACAGTTTATTTTGGATTATATGGTTCATGGATGTGGACGACTGACATTAAGACAATCGCCTCCCTGGTGAGGTTTTTTCTGGCACATCCAACCGGGAGGAGCCCCAAAGGGAGACCCAGGACACACTGGAGGAACTATGTTGCTCGTCTGGCCAGAAAATCTGGCCAGGGAAAACTTTGGGATTCCCCTTGAGGAGTGGGCCCAAATGACTAGGGAGAGAGGGAAGTGTGGACCTCGCTGCTGTCCCCGCGACCTGAGCCCATATAGATTGGCAAAATTGGTTGGACAGTTTATTATACTGTCTGAGTTATTTCTGAGTGTTTTTGTACCTGCAGGTCATATGCAGTGTAAGGTGGCAGGCAGGGGGCAGCATTGTGGTAGGAGTTGAGCGAAGTGGTGGGTGGAGGAAGCATCGAGTGGACTGGAGCAGCCATGGCCTCTGGTTCAGATGTGTTCTCTGATGCAGGAGAGGGCGTCTGCAGAACAAACACATTCTTAGGCACCCGGGTGTGGAGAAATTACACAAAGCAAAATCACATTTCAATTAATTGTCTCTTTGGATAATTTTCCACAATACAAATCATTTACATTCAAAGCAATGCTGATTCCTGTAGGTACATGTGTACAAAGTCCGTTTTGTAGGGTTTTAGTCACGTCCGATTAACCGATTAAACCAAATGTGCTAATGATCAGCATTTCTCAGCAGGTTGTAAAAACTTACAAATTCAACAGAAACAAGTGTGTAGGATGTGGGGAGCAGCTGGTCTGTGATGCCAAGGAGAGGTAGAAGATGGCTTTTAGGAGCAATAAGTTACAAGCACAACTACAACAGCAAGATCTCTCTCAGAGCTGCGTTTCAAGATGTGCTTTCTTTTTGGAAGCAGCACAAAGAGACAGACTCTAGTTGGACAAGGACACTCGTGGTCTGGCAATAAGGGGTCTTTAAGGAAGAAATGTGGCCAAAAAGCCAAACACCAAATGTGCAAACAAGTCCAAGTGACTCAATTTAGGATGAAAACAAAAACTAAGGTGCACAAAAATTACAGCAGGTGCTCTTAAGTCACTTGATTCCAATTTAAATTCTTTGGCTGAAGCAGAAGACAATTTGGTTACAGCACACTAAACTGCATGGACAAAGTTCCTTGCAAGTTTGTGGCAGAATTCCTGCAAATGTAGTTTGGGGAATATTGTCAGGGTCATCCTCAGTGCTGAAAAACTCAAGCAAAAAGCTTTTCCATCAGGAAGTAACGTCAGGGAGGCATCTGATCTGTCCCAAATGTATTCTGCAGCAAGACAACGATCCAAAACATCTCATCGTTGTCAATAAAATCCATCTTCAGCATAATAAACGAGAGAAGTTGTGAAGGAAATGGTAAAGCCAACAAAACTGGGCTGCATGGTGGAGCAGTGGTTATCACTGTTGCCTCGCAGCACGAAGGTTGCAGGTTCGAAACTCGGCTTGGCTGCGGCCTTTCTGCGTGGAGTTGCGTGTTCTCCCCATGCATGTGTGGGTTTCCTCCGCGTACTCCGGTTTCCCCCACATATCACAACATGCCCTATAGGTTATGAATTGTAAGTCGCTTTGGATAAAAGCGTCTGCCAAATAAATAAACATAAACATAAAACATTCTGATACCAACATCATCCGGTCTGTTTGGGATAAAACAAAGTAAAGGATCCGAGCCAGAAACATCTGCAGATCAGTGATTAGTTCAACAACAACTGACCTGCTGGAGAAGCACTACCACAAAATACTGTGTTGATTTGTTGTAGTTTTTATAATTAAAAGTAAGAATTTATATGTGTACACGCATTCTTACTTTACAAAATTTTGCACAACACTAAGTCTGGATTATGGAAATTAGGGATTTAAAATTTACTTCATACAGAAGTACCATGTCACTTAGTGGGGGACTACTTTCTACTGGTAGTGATTCTTAAGTGGACGTACCATGTCCTTGAAGCCTCCAAGGACAGCAGCAGTAATGATGCCCAGAAAGAGGGCCACGACGTTGAGGATGGTAGCGGACCACAGCAGGTGGTAAAGGTGCACCACGTCCTGGCAGCTTTTCACATCTGTGTATTCATGGTAGCCTCCCATCACCTCAGCTCGGCTAGGCCAGTGGGGGGGACAGAGAGGGAAAAAGCCTACAGTCAAGCCACAAAGGTCACTGAGACAGATTACCTAAACTGTCCACATTAACAGGAAACAGACACAAACAAAAGGTTCAGATGTATGGCTTTAGTAGCCTAAAGACCATAGTTTATGACATGGATGATCAGCAACAAACAGAACATGCAAAAAGATGGCCCCCTACAACACTCATCTATGATGGCTTACAAGAAAAAAAAACAACAACAAGAAGAAAACTACATCTACATCAGGAAGGATGAGCTCATCAATAATGGCTTTTATCGGTCTAAAAAGAGGACCTACTTCCAAATCATGGATGATTTCCTAAACTTTTTCAAAACATCTTTATTCTGAAGTCCCATAAGAGGATGTTCTCTGAAACAAAAGTCAAAAACAAAAGAAACATTCTTGTTCTGACGCAATCAAATGCAAATAAATCCACTAAACAAAACTCCAACAATGAAAGCAGAACACTGCAAACCGAGTGGCCGCCGGTCCGGAGCTGCCGGCACAGCTCGGCGTACTCACTTCCCGCAGTTGAAGAGTTCGCAGCAGTAGCAGGTGCTGCTCTTCACATGCAGGTTACAGGAGGAGCGCGACGTCTGACACACCACCTGAAGGTCACAAATTTATTTCACACGCAATCTTTTCACTGGCCCCCCATAGTGCTGATTTCTAATTCAAACGCCTGGCTGATGGAGAGAGGGCTGATGATGGATTTAGATCATGGAAGCAACGTCTGGGTGTCTTACGTCTAGGTCAGATGCACTTTCACTGGAGTGATAGTCGCAGCGACCAGCGTACACGGGCCTGAGGTCCTGCGGCAGAACAAATGACATGAATAAAAACAAACACGGAACAAGCTGTCCTAAACACAGCCATCCGATGCTTATCTAAGCCCCATGAATTAAAAACCTCATGATTGAATCAGTCACTTTGAGGTCATTTGATTAAACTGTTGACTGAAGATAAAAGCAAATGAATAGATGAATACACAATAGCTCCTTGTGCTGCCTAATTGTTTTTATTTAAACTACATTTTATATAATAAACTAACAGGGCAAACTTGGTTACTTATACAACAGCTGATGGTTTAGTTTAGTTTAAGGGCTTGTGGGAAAACAGAGTTAGTCCTGCATGTTTACTTTTATGGTTGCGAAGTTCAAAATATGAGAGCAGCAGGGTTCATGGCTGAACTTCTATTTTTCTTTCTGTTGTGGAAAAACCACAAGTGGAGATGAAACCTCTGACTTTGTTTTATAGCTGCTTAAACACGAGACTATGTCTAAACACCAAGCTGTTGATATTATTATTATTTGTTAGAAATTTAAGTGTCACTCACCAGAAGTTATTGTCCAGGTGCTTACATATAGTAACTATTTACTGTTATTATTCATGTGTTTATTTTTAAACTAGCACTAGTATGTGTGAGTAGAAAATGATGTTGAACACGCTTATATTAAAACTTATTTTCTCAAACTCAGTCAGTTGTGACAACTAAGGCCAACGTAGTTCTTGAGAATACGAATTTGATTTTTCTTCCAAGTAACATTTTTATGTTATTTTTAACTGACTGTGACAGATCCTTAAAAATTTAAAATAAATATCTGAAATAAATCAGAAACGATAAAAAATAGATTTTCTGTGAACCACACCTTTAAGTTTCATATGAAAGGTTATAAATAATTCAGACATTTCAACTGAACACATCTCTGGAGTTTAGTGTGTGATAACGGTTTGTGGAGATCGTTCACTTTTAATTGGTACTGATGAGAAATTAAAACCCGCTAATGGTGAGCTCTCTCAGCCATAACCTCTCTCAGCATAATTCTTTTATCTGTGCATTAGGACTTTAAAAAAACATGCTTCTATTTTGCATTAGGGAAAACAAATTTCCTTCTACTGTGAAATGTACTTGCTCCGTCTGCGGAGGGTGCAGCAGCCTAATGTAGATGAAAATACAGCCCATTTAATGCAGAATGGCCATACTAGGTTTCTGTTTGGTTTTCGCTCATTAATTTTGATAAATCTTATTATAGTGTCTAGAATTAGCTAAGTAAGAGGAGGTTTTGGTGATACTTACAATGTGCCTTGCAGCAAAAACCCCATCAACAATAGCGCAGCAGAAGGCCGCCACCACGCCAAAGCTGATAAAGACAATAGATGCCACTAGCTGTGGAAGACAATAGAAGTTCATTGGTGAAGATGACTCTTAATAAAAATATTTAGTTTCTATTGGAAACTAAACAAGAGCTATGAAGCTGTGAGCTACCACAGGGACAAAGTGGTGGATCCCTTTTAATATTAAAACTTAATTTTGAAGCTCTTATTTACTTGATACTTCAGTACATCTGCGGTGCCTTGTAAGTTGATCTCTGTGGGAATACATGCTCAGGCTCTCCTGTTTCAGAAGATAGAGGTTAGTCGGAGGAGTTGGGAGCAGAAAACAGCAGGATTTGGAGTTCTATTCATAATCATTTTGGGGCAACAAAGTGCCCGCCCCGTAACCGGAGGCTTGCAGGTTCGAGCCCTGCTCAGTCCATCACGGTTGATGTGACCTTGGGTAAACACCTGCTGGAGAGACCAGTGGTGCCTGTGTATGGCAGCCTTGCCTCTGCCGGTGTGACCCCAGGGCAGCTGTTGCTGCAATGTGGCTCATCACCATCTGTGTGTAAATGGGTTAGAGGTCGACCGATATTGGGTTTTCTATTGCCAATATGTAGTCAGCCGTGGTCAGCCAATGGCAGATGTGTACTGCAGATTTCTATGGGCCGATATCCAGACATTTTCCTTATTTTCATGCTAAAATGTCACTATGTAACATCAGTTCATGCACAACATTTTTGAAATGGAATCAGTTTTTGAACTTCGAATTCAAAGAGCAAGTCACCTCCAAATCAACCTTTTTCTACTGATAAACTATATAAGCGAGAGTCTAATTGTTTTGTCGACACGTGTAGTCAATAATTTTGCACTTTAGTGAATCTTAAGCCCTTTCAGACAGAGGTTCTTTTTGCTCCGGACCTGAAGGTGTTTCTAATGACCTTTTTACATGTTTCGACCATCATCTGCGGTCTTCTTCAGAAGTGTCACAGGTGTTTGTGTGACGCGTCTTTATCAGCTGTTTTTCTGGTGGGCGGTTGGTCAGTCCAGCCAGTGGAGGTGGTCGCGCCCACCTCCACTGGCTGGTCTTTGGAGAAGGGAATCCCAGGTGCGAGACAGCTGATAGGCCCCCTCGATCTGACAGATCCGGGTTGGTCGCGCCCACCAGAAAAACAGCTGATAAAGACGCGTCACACAAACACCTGCAACATTTCTGAAGAAGACCGCAGACGACGGTCGAAACGTGTAAAAAGGTAATTAGAAACACCTTCATGTGCGAAGCAAAAAAAACCTCGTTTAATATTTAACAAGAGGACATAATGAACATTGTAAAGGATTTTGTGTACTGTGAAACACTTTGGAGACTTCTGACCCAGAAAGGTGCTATACAGGTGTAGGTCATGTATAATTTGTCATTATTATTCACGACATTAATTTCTAACAGCTCTCTCATTGGCTGAAAGCAACGTGACTCTACCACTGACTCTGCTTGGCAACATTGATGTTTTACCTCCTCAAATAACACAAGTCTGGAGTTCTGCACCGCCCCCTTTGTTATGATGGTTGGCAAAAAGACAGTTTACACATGTTAAAACTCCAGTGAAACTAGTTAAAACAAGTCAGTTTGTAGCCTGTTATCGCTTTTATTTGATTGATTTAGCAGAAAATGGTAATAGCTTGCTGCGCGGTTGGCTGCACTTAACAGACAGGGATGTAAACTCATCTCGTATATATTTTTTCAAATAACTGATGGAGACTGAGGATGGGGATGAACAACAGTGATCAATGAAAGGAAGAGCAATCCTCAAAGTACCATCGAATTTGCAGCGAACATATTTTTATCAGTTAAGATTAACGTTCATATATTATATCAGGAAGACTGGGACAGGGATAAATGTCATGTGTTTATACTACTTACTGATAATCCTAATGGATGGGTGGATATTTCACCATGGAGGACATGTGGTACAGTGAAACGTGAGATAACTATTTACAATAATATTGCTCCAAAGTAGGATTACGTGTGTAAAATTAAGTTATTTATTTAGTATGAGTGTCGCTGTTAAGAGATATCTTGTCTCATCCCGGTGTGAGAGCAGCAGCTGAAACCGGTGACACCACCAGTAACAAAAACTAGTGAGGATCCGAACTTTTTATATCATCTTCGGTGTAAAATGTGAAATGCTGTTTTTGACATAATGTTATAAATCCAGCGGGGTGCATTCTGGCAAAGTCGGCAACTTGTTTACATCGGTGAGCAGCAGCAGGGAAAATGTAAGCTAACGTTCGTAAGCTAGTTATTACATAACTTTTGTAAATACTGCTCTCTATGAGCCCCACCTAGGTGCGCTAGTTGTTCTGATATCTGAACTGGGCTTGAACTAGTTGAAGGAATGCTAAAGATTGCAAAAAACAATGATGACAACAACAAAAACTATTCAGGCACTACTTTTTCCTTTGTTTAGTACTCGTCTCACTCACTGTTTACATGCTTTTGCCAGACAATGTGGTGGAACCATGCTATTAGGTGACGTAGTTGCAAAAGGTCAATAGTGGAGTTGCTAAAGCTAATGGTTAGCTTCTTCTACCTGAGAAGTGCTCTGCTGTTTCCTGGACGCTAACAGTTGTGAGCCAAAACGGGTGAATCCATGAATGCTAATTCAGCAAAAGAATTGATTGACTTTTCAAACCCGAGCGTTTCCCTGTCTATTTTCGATCATCTCCAGGAAATAGGGGTAGAAGACTTATTTCACATTCAGCCTGAATATTATACTCAGAATGGCTGATGGTATTTCAAAACTAAAAAGTAAAAAACTGTTTCTCAGTGAACTTGCGCTTTAAAAAGCTCAAGAACTCAAATGAAAAAATAAAATCTGTAAATCCAACAGCGATAATGGTTCTTTTTCCATTCAGACAGCTATTTCCTCCCATCTCCGAGGTGAAGATATAAATAACCAAACTGTAAATGCTGTCACCGCGTTTTATGTGCTGTGTTATAACGTTTCACAACAGTGTAATGTAATGCAGCATAGCGCAGTCTGCAGTCTCACACACAGACTGGGAGCCATGCTGTGTTATGGGCAGAGGAAACGTGTTGTGGCATCGACTCATTCTTCAGCTCTGACAGAGCCAACCCCGGCACCTCCCACCTTCTCTGCTCATCTCCAGTTTCCTTCCCCCCACATTTTAGCGCAGACATCCGTCCTCCTCCTCTTTCACCCTACTTCTATTTCTGGCTGCGTGTCCCCACCCCTAGGAAGTCCAGGATACATGCAACCAATGAATCTCTCCAGGCTAGTTGGGACTTGCAGCCTGCTCCAGATCTACTACTTGTTGTCGCATGCTAAAAAAAAACCAGGGACTTGCATGTTTAAAATCAGGGTTCTTTAGTAAGCAGACAAACACAACTAATGTAAATCCTCTTACCATCTGCCTCTTGTTTTCTATCAAATGAGCGCCAATAATTCCCAGGAAAGATCCAAAGCCCAGCTGGAAATGAAAGGAAAAAAAGCTGTTAAAGCAGTTAATTTATTCTGTTTTTATCTGGAAGACTTTTGACAAACAAATGATCCCAAAACATTGGCTCAACTTCACAATTCACTCATCTTTGTGGGCGTGAATGTTTTTGCCTTTATCTACCTGAAGCACTGGGAGTCACTGGTATTGAGTGATTTTCTAGCACTTGAAGTCAAACTGAAAGCTAAAAGTGGACAAACAAAATTTATGAGACAGCTTCTTGTGACAGGGATGCTGACTATTATGTGGGGAAATCGCACACTTCAGGGACCTTATTAATGAGGTTCAGCTGAATGCAGGAGTTCTAAGAAGTGACAGGAACATGTTGACCTCACAGCTGAGAGAAGCCTGCTGTGGTGCGTCTGCTACTCACAGGTGTGACTTAGCACTCACAATGAGTCCGGGGTAGTAGCCTCCCACGGTGATGTTCTGTGTCCTGGTGGTCGCTGCCAGGCCAAAGATGAGAATGAGAACAGAAACAATGAGCAGCATCACCGTCACGATGATGGATTTCCTTTTTCTCCTCTTAAAGGAACCTACAAGTGGAAAAAATAAGTAACCAGAACAACCAGTATCACCCTGAGAGATCAGCACACTGATTTCATTAACATGGCCGAGGCTCTATCAGCACTGTTGTACTGGGAAGTCATTAGGGGACTTGAGAGCAACGTTACTCTGTCACAATGGCCATCAGTGGCTAATTGTGTTGAAGGGTCTCAGAGGAAGTTGTAAAAACAATCTGCTTCAAAGATGCACAGAGATATCTGTGTGTTTTCACCGGGAAGCTCCAACAAAACCACACAAAGCAAGTGAATCACATCCAATTTAACAACGATCCAAGATATGTTTTCTGTTTTAAACAGTATGTTTAATGTAGATTATTTTACAAATAAAGAAGAAAACTAGTTAAGAGCAGTAATTTGATGTGTGTCTCTCTTTTGTTTTGTTTCAGTAGCACTTCCATCTGTCTCCGCTCATAAAGCACATGAGATCAAATCTTGTTTTTCTCCTGTTGACTTCATCATAATTTATCTATGAATGAGCCGATCAGCAAGGTCCCTTCTGGGATTCAGCATTTCGTCACTGTGTTGAATCTAATGCTGAATACTAAAGCCAAGATCTGGAGATTAATGAGAAAACACACTTTGCACTTTTTGTAAACAGGGATCCAGCGTCACCATGACGACAAATGAAGGGCAAAGCCTGTGAGACTACTGATCCAGAAATACAAGATGGGGGTTATTTGAGTAGAAAAACAACTGTGCAACAAAAATGTGGTCTGAATGTTTTCTTGGCTGCTTCAAAAACAACACTTGTGGCTGTTTTTGCTGCAGAAATTTAAGTGAGTGCCTATAGGTTCTAACAATCTTCTCACTCCTACATCTGTGTTATCGAAATAGTAAATCATACAATTATTGTTCTTTGTTTTTAAAAATTATTACATGGCTAATCAAGTGGCAACTTTTCCTATTTATTCAGACATGAATAAATAATCAATCAACATTTTATTGCTGGGAATTGTCTTAACAGCATTTTCAGTGCGGGCTGAATCGTTTGATGGATTTTATTCCTAGTAGCTTGCCAAACATCCTGGTTAAATCTGTGCAGCAGCAGCCAAGCATCCAGCCTGCTGTGGCTGCTCAGCGCTGCCGCACCTGCAGTGACGCGGTGCGGTCTGGGCCTGAAAGGAAAGCACCGTTTGGTGAAGCAACGAGTGTTATGTATGATTTTGGAAGAAGGAAAGGAGAGGACGCGTGTGTTTTACTCACATGTATGAAAAGATCACTACTAGCATTGATGTTTACAAATAAGTGCTAAAAAGTACAACCATTGACAGATCGTGCATTAAAACACACCATTCTGTTTTTGATTTAATCAACAAAACCTGCTGAAGATCACACCAGTGACCTTGCACGCGCGCGCGCGCACACACACACACACACACACACATACCCATGCTTGTTTCAGAGAGAGTACCGTTGGACTGGAAGCTGTGGGAAGGAAGTGGCATGCTTCCAGGGCGATATTCTTCCGATCCTCTTGGAAATAAAACAAAAGCACGAACACAACAATCACGACTCTGTGGTGAAGCGCGAGACAGATCTGAGAGCGAACGGGTCACAATCGTGATCCACCGCCGATGATGTGTTCACTTGCTGCGGCATTCTCCGCCCGGCTGATAGGCCCGAGCCCGTCTCTATCGGTTACATCCCCGTGGCTGCAGAGGTGTCTCGCGGTCTCTGTCTTCACGGCGTGTTGGTTTCGGACGGCAGGTTACTGGTGCTGCTGCTGCTGCTGGTCTCATGTGCGCATGTCACACTCCAAACGAGTCCGACCGACAGGCTGTACCAGTCAGTAGGTTACCTACCTCTGTCTGTGGAAGGTTTGATTTTCACCTGTACTGGATTGACTGCGTCCTCCGCTATTCTTAACAGCGTTAATTAAGCAAGAAGTGACAACTACAGGATGGAAAATAAAATAACGATCAAACAAGCACCAAAAACGATTTCAACAGTAATTGGTCAAAACTAATAACTTAGCTAGGCGACAACTGATTTTTGATTGAACTCACAACACTCAGTAAGAAATGTGTTTATATCATTTCGTGAGAAACATGGAGAACATTTAATTCGGATTTGAAGGTACTTGCCACTAAACATGTGGGAGTCGATTGAGCTGCCAGCAGAGAGACCGTAGCCCAGTGAACTAGACCAAATTCTTGCTTTTGCAAAGTTATTTTTATATAAATAATATATTTATTTAGTCTGGCTTGCCAGGCTAGACAGACTGGGGACCAGTGACTAGATAAAGAAAGAAAAAAAGAAGAGCCACGGACATGTGCAGCCGTGGCTAGCTAGCGCCACCGTCCGGTGTTGTCCGGTGTTGTGGCAGCCAGTCACTTTTTGGCACAATGGTGTTTTGCCAAAAAGCGACTGGCTGGCTGCCAAAAGATGATCAGCCACCGCGGGATCGCGCACGGTTAGGGTAATTGCATTTCTAGACGAAATTCCCCAAGATTTATCCTTAAAGCTCGGCATATCTAGCAAGATGGACATTGAGAAAGCAGAGATAACCTCGTCCGGTACTTAAACATGTTTATCGCGGATTTTTTTTTTTTCCATTTCGGAAGTTGTTTTAAGTGTTGCTATTTGTCTTAAACGTTCACAATGAGCATATATTGATCATTTTTGTAATATTTGCGATTGAAAGATGGTTTGTGGTAAGAACTGGCTTTCTTTATGTTAAAGCCTTGATACTAAAAATAAATAAACAGTGTAAAATGGTGCCCTGTATTGAATGTAAAGTCAAACGTTGTATAACTGGAAATAAACAATTCTCCAGCGATTTGCTCCCCCCCCCCCCCCCCCCCCTCCTTTCTTTAGTCCACTTGACATGGAGCCACAGTTAACTAGTTTGGGGCACATTTTTACTTGAAAAATAGTATTTAAACTTATCTAGCTTTGGCTTTACAATGACACTGTGTAGGTTACTATCTATACATTACTTTGCTCTATTTAAAGGTAACAAGATAAAAGCTCTTCAGCACATAAAATTAAGATTGTCACTTGCCAAATAGTGACTAAACCCTCCTGTTTACCTATAAGAAACGCCTCAAAATATCTTTAAATTCTTTATTGATGATTTAATTGTAGACAACTAAAATGGCATTTTACTTGCCAAAAAGTGATTGAATCGCTCAGTTTTTCGACCAAATAAGGGTTTTATGTATTATCTGTTGATGTTATTGTACTCATACTGTCTACTGTATCATCATAAACACACCAAAAATGGCAAAAAAAAGATCAATTCACTTGCCAATTATTGATTACAGTGTCCTGGTCACCTGTAAAGGGTTAAATTGGCCTACATATTACTTTATTTATTATCTCTTGACGTTATTAGTCCCATCACAGGATGCTGGGTCTCTTCCACATTCATAAACACCCCAAAATGGCAAAAAATGATCATTTCCTTTGCCAAAAATTGATTACAGTGTCCTGGTCACCTGTAAAGGGTTAAATTGACCTAAATATTACTTTATTTATTATCTCTTGATGTTATTAGACCCATCACAGGATGCTGGGTATCTTCCACATTTATAAACACCCCAAAAATGGCAAACAATTATCATTTCCCTTGCCAATTATTGATTACAGTGTCCTGGTCACATGTAAAGGGTTAAATTACCTAAATATTACCTTATTTATTATCGCTTGATGTTATTAGTCCCATCACAGGATGCTGGGTCTCTTCCACATTCATAAACACCCCAAAAATGGCAAAAAATGATCATTTCCTTTACCAAAAAATTGATTACAGTGTCCTGGTCACCTGTAAAGGGCTACATTGACCTATCACCATGCCTGAGGGCGTTTTGTGCAGCTGAAAAGACGGGACTTCTGTAGCCCACATCGGTCGGTACCAGGACAGGGAGGTCCGCGCTGGGCTCCGGAGACCCGTGACTGGATTTAAAAGATTAAATGCGGATTTCTGGAGCTCAGATCACCATCAGAACCAGGTCAGAACCGACCACCAGAAGAGGCGCGTGGCTCAGCGGGCCAGTGGAGCTGGTTTCTGCGTCGGAACCAGATCAGAACTGTCGCGGTTTTCCAGGAAAGGATCATGTGCAGCTTTTAAAAATACCAGCTTTACTGGCTCACTGGTGTCTGGGTCAGATCCAGCTCACAGAAGCCCGCATGAGCTCCAGAACCGGATCACAGGCGTCTCTCTCCCTATATGCGCTAAATTACGTTACGTGAACGGATATTAACGAGTATGAGACAGCTGACACTCATTAGTATTAATAAATTAACTGACCGATACAATTTTTAATTGTCTGGTACATGATAGTAATCTGTACAACATTGTGATGTTAGCACACGAGTTTAAGCTAGCATTGTTAACTCACCTGCTTATCTGATACGGTACAAAAGGATGAGGACTGGAATTTCACGCGAGAAGATGAAAAAACTCATGCAGACCTTTGAAGAACAGGTAAAAATGCTTCATATATCCTTAACAGTAGCTGACTGCAAAAAATAGTAAATCACAGTTTACATTCATCCAACAGGACATGAAGGAACAGCAGCTGTGGCTGAGCTGCTACTGCACCTGAAGGAGGACTTGGACATCTGTAACACTTATAAGATGATTTGTTAATCTTTTTCTTTAATTTGTGACATTTATTTGGAAATGACAAATTACTTATAATAAAAAAAATCTTGTGGATGAAATCTGTGCATTTTCCGTTCCCCCTACTTACACGTAAAGTTGTGGTGGTTATTTGACCTTTTAGTTTTTTACGTATGATTTTACTGAACACGAATCCATTTTCAGGAGAAGTTGGAGCTGTAAATGAAGAGGTTCCTGCTGGAGTTTCCGTTGAGTCTCCTTCCTTGAGGACCAGATAGTAATGTTCCACAGATACCGGCCAGATTCACTGGTGACTTTATTTGGACTGACGCATGATCTTCATGTGAACAACCCTGAAAAGCTCATTTTATCCATGTTGTCGTTTTAAACCTGAATGCTGGAAGAAAGCAGCTTCAACCTGAGCTGTAGGCTCTCAGAAATGAGCTGGATTAAAATATTTTCTTACAATCATGTTCTCAGTTGTTTTAATTGCATTGATAAACAATGGCAATTTCAATGGAAAATAGCCTTTTTCTTCAGTATATGTTTTGTTAATTATAGGTTTAGTTTGACTAAAACCCTCTGCCCAGTAACATGAAACTTTGCGTTCTCCGGTTCTTATGCGAATGTGACATTAATATTCACTTTGGACAAACAATATATTTAATTTATTTTCTACATGTAAGTTACATTTGAGTGACAAGGTTTTAATTGTACATTTATGGAGATGTCTATGATTTTTGTCTTGTATGAATGAATGAATGAATGATTTTTTTAATGACCAGACAGTCATTTGGAAAAGGTTTTATTGAAAAGATTGGTGCAAGTTAAAATAACTCAATTTAAACATTTTACACTAACATTTTTAAATAACCTTTTAAAAACACTTCATATAAGCGGAAAAATGATGGCTTAAGTTATGTCAACTTAGTAGAACTAATACATTAAATTGATTCACACATGTTATAATAACTTGATATATTTAATTAGAGTTAACTCAAACAAATTCATTTTCTAAACGTTAACAATTTAAGTAAATGAGCTTAAATGATGCAAGGCAATCAGTTTCCTCAATTCATTTGAGTTTAAGTTACTCAGCAGGTTTTACAGTGTATTAGCCTCTGTCACATTTCCATGTACCAACATAGAAAGCAGCTTTTCATTATCATATGTTGGATTTCTTAAATTAATTCATGAGAAATTCATGTTAAAATCAACTATGCATACTTTGATTTACTAGAATGCATGTCCAAGTGTAAAGGAGTAAAAACCTTTATGTCTTTTTATGTCTATTAATGCTCCTAAAAAATCTTATGGAAAGACATGACAAATGTGCATTTAATCCACTTTAAGAGATAATTTTATACCTAAATGTAAATATTGCTAATAAATACAGTGCTTCATTCGGATGTCCTGAAAAATCCTTATTAGATTTACTATATTCAAACACGTGCACACGTTTTTGCCGCGCACATCTCAAACAAGTGATTTTTTCCATGACGTCATTCCCCTTTTCATGTAAAAGGAACAGAAGAAAAAAAAATCCCCAGAAGTCCCCCCCTCCCCACTTTTACAGGGGGTAACAGAGCATCATACGTGACTAGAGTGCAGATAAGGATCAGGGATGAAGACTTGAACTTCAGCAGAAGGGAGCTGAAGGAAAACAGTTGCTGCACGCAAATGCAAACAGGAAACTTGGAAAGTGTGCTTACATGTGCAAAGAAAACATCCGCAGACTAGTTTTATCTATTCGTGATCCACTATTAACTGGTGATGAAAAAAAAAGCTAAATGAATGAAGTTAATAACTCCCATGTATTTCTGCAATTGAGTCTTGTTTTAGGATGAGCTGTAAATATTATTCAGGCTTTATTTCTGAGTTGGTCCAGTAGCAGACAATGGCTGATGGCGTGCGTGGACAGAATCCAGTGCTGTGATTCAGGCCGCTGCCAAATCCACTCCGGGACCCAAAAAAAGTGCTCTGCATCCCACCCCCGAGCTTCCTCTGTCTAGCGTTCATTCACCATGAAGTGCATTTAGCTGAAGGAGGCTCTCCGTACCCAGTGTACCCCCCTGCATGCCTGCAAACCTTCTAATGAAACCCCCACAAACTTTTTGACAAATATCTCACTTCAAGGGATCAAGAGCTTTCTCCAACAAACTGATCAGCGTTTTTACTGAGAAGAAAACTTCAGGTTGGTCTCTTTTTTCACCGAAACTCTAATTTATCTGAGTGATTTATCGTTTGCATTGCTATTATGAAATTCATGCAGATGTTGCTTTTGTTTTAATTTACTGAATAAAATTACCATACTTTACCTTACACATAGAAGGCTTATTAAAAAATTACTTTTATTTTTGTAAAGAACATGGAGCCAGCTTTCACGGATGGAGGAGCTGACGAGAAAGCCCTAAAAAATCTTGTAAGTGTTGAAATTGAATTAATTAAATCATGTGTGTCTTCTTCTTTATCAAAAAAAATGTAACTTGAGTTCAATTCAAGAAATGTCTCAGGGTTGTAAATAAAGAACACCATTCTGTTGGCTGATGAGCTTTGTGAAGGCTCTTTGAAGTGTTCTCTGGGCTCTCTGGGATCTGTGTGTCCTGGACAGTGGACACTGAGAGTCAGTGAGCAACATCTGGATGTCAGATCGACCCTCCAGCTTGTCTGCAGCTGCTGCTCCAAGCAGGAGGGTCCACTCAGGGGAGGTCAGATCTCCCAACGAGGGCCACAAGGTCACCGTTGAGTTTATAATTTGCAGAAACGGGGGACAGGCCCATCAGTGTGATGTTCATTAACATGCAGAGCACTGTCTCGCAGTTTATTTTATCTGTCATACTCGGCTCAGGAAGCATGCCATTTTTTTCTCGCCCTGATTTGAAATTGAAATAGGTTGGCTGCAGAACAACTCAGCAGTTTAGAATATGTGCGGTGAGCGTTTTTTCTCTTCTCTCCAACAGCCGACCAAAGTGATACTCAAACATGGGCAGGAGCTGGAGGAAGAGCAGGATCAGCTGGCCGAGCATCAGCCTCTCGAGCAGGAAGACCTGAACTTTGAGAGATGGAAGCGCAGGCCGCTCCCCAAGAGGACCCTCCACCAGAAAATAGATGACTTGAAGAAATACCTGTGGAATGCGGAGACCAACGAATTCATGGGGCGCTCTGGCAAGAGCTGGAGTGAGTTGATGATGGAACAGAGGTTCTGTACTATTGGAGTGTTGAGGGAGACATTTGGATTGACCCAAATGAGAATAATTTTTGTGCGAGAGTACATAAACGTCAGATGTCTTTGAGCACATTACGGCTGACTCGTTTTAGGCAAGCTTAAGAGACTGCATGAGGGTTTTTAAAAGATTCACTCATAGATCGTTTGGGGATGAAAGTGCTCTCAGCAGTCGCTGTACTGTGAGTGTGTGTGTGTGTGTGTGTCCCCTCATCTCCGATGTTTACATAGGTGCATGGGCAATTCAGAGAGTCCCGACAAAAACAGACTGCCTGGGGACATGTCCTCAGCAGGAGAACAGTGTTCCAGGCCTCGCATTGGCCAGGAATCACATTCCTCCACATCTTACCATGCTCTCCACTGCCTTGTTCCCAAAGCCTTGGTGACCTCATTGCTGAACTCAACATGTTTATGGCCGTTCAGTTGCAGTAAAACACGTAGACGTTTTACATAGAACTGGCTGCCAAACCAGAGCTTTGATGCAGATTGGACCAGTTTGTTGAGTCAGTGATGACGGAGCAACCCTTTGGTATTCCACAGTCGTTACCATGTGATGCAGTTGTGCCCCCTCACTCAGCACGGCTCCACACAATAGCCAACATGATCCTGAGTGTAGACGCTAAATGGATTTGTGAAAAGTGTGTGTTTCACACATTAATTGGAATGCTGCACCCCCCAGACCAGCCCTACGAGCTGATTTCAGCTGCATAACCAGTGTTTGCACACTTGTGGAGAAGTGGGGCCCATGTGTCTGCAGAAGAAAGTCCCTGAGCTGAAGTCTGTTCTGCGTGTCCTGTGTGGCGAGCGTATAAGAAGGGACACAATAGCAGAGTGGGGTGATTGGGGCTCCTTGGAGCTGGCTGGGCCTCTATGGCTGCTAAAGACCTTCACTACGATGGCAACCGGAGGTTCACTGTGTTCCTGAGTGAATGGACAGCTGAGAGAATTCTCACTGAGCTCAAACAGAAAGGCCTTTGTGGCTCTGGGGACGCAAGGCTGGCTGCAGCTAGTCCCCTGTGAAATTGCCTGCACAGCAAAAGCCGTTGGACACATTCAGTTTGATTGGTTACAAAGTTGGCTGTTAACTGAAAATTGTAGAACAATGCCGGCTCTCAGCATTTCTTTGTCACACTGCTCTTCTATTAGCTCACTATAGTTGAGTTTTCCACAACTCTTTTGAGGTTATCTGTAGGTCTAGACATGACTGGACGGTAGTTTGCGATGGGTAAACCAAGGCTCATCATGGACAGTATTTGTTTTAATTAAGAGATGAATCATCTATAGGCTGTGGTACATGAACTTAATAACCTTCCCTCTCTTCCCAGGTCTCATCCTGCTATTCTACACTGCACTTTATGTGTTTCTAGCAGCCATGTTTGGGGGTTGTTTGTTTTGCCTCATGTGGTCCATTAGTCCCTATCATCCCACCTATAATGATAGAGTGATGCCACCAGGTAAATATAACCCCAAACTCTAATTGTACCTTCCCCACTCATTGTTTCCCTTTGCTTCTGCTTTTGTCTCTGCACAGCTGACTGTCTCTTGGTCTCTACTGGCAGGTATGACAATGGCCCCACACCTGGAAGGCCATGATATTGCTTTCAATGCATCTGACCGTAAATCCTGGAAGAAGTATGCCAGGTCTATGGATGAGTATCTACGACGTGAGTCATTCCTGGTGTGATTAAGAAGGGGCTCTAAGGGTTGTTGAGTTTGCTGGAAAAGAAGAAGACAAGCAACGTGTTAACCCTTAACTTCTTTACCTTTGTCTCATTTTCCATTTATTCCCTGCAGTGCATGCTGGGAAGGGAAGCCTCTTTGTGGGCAGAGAGTAGCCATTCAGTGCAGTTTTTTATTCTTCACACCCCGCTTTTGTCAAGCTTCTTTAACCAGAGGCCTGAGTCTGGCAGGGTTTGGCTGCTGCAAAGGTTTATTTATGCCCCCACCCACGCTCATTCCCTCTCCCTCCATCTCTGCTCTCTACTTTCAGCGTATAATGACGGTGCCCAGGATAGGAAGAATATTCGGTGCACACATGACGCGTACTTCATGCAAGATGACCTGGAGGAGAGTGCAGAGCGGAAAGCATGCCAGTTTAAGCGTTCCTGGTTGGGGGACTGTTCAGGGATGCATGACCCCCACTACGGCTATTCTCAGGGAAGGCCATGCATCCTGCTTCGAATGAATCGGGTAAGAAAACTCATTTGTCACTTCTATAAAAAACAAACTTGGCTGTGCAGTGGTTAGCACTGTTGTCTTGCAGCAAAAAGGTTCTGCATTCAAATCCCAGCTTGGAGTCTTTCAGTATGGAGGTGCACGTGCTCCCTGCGCACATGCAGGGTCTCTTCAGGTGTTCCTGCATCCTGCTACAGCCCAAAAGTCTAACTTAAGTTGATTGGCCTCTCTAATGTGTCCTTAGGGGTGTGTGTGTGTGTGTGTGTGTGTGTGTGTGTGTGTGTGTGTACACGTGTGTGCATGGTTCTTTGTCCTGTGTGTCTCTTGCCCTGAGATGCACTTGCAACCTATCCAGCACACTCACAACCCTTCCTTCCAGGAAAAGGGGGTATAAATAATGGATAGAAGAAAGAACCTCTCACTGCTTTGAACTGGTTTCAATGTTAATGGTTTTAATGTTTCACCAGTGACACCTTGTGGTCATTAAAGGAACAACAGGTTGGTTGTACAAGCCGTTCTTGTCTTGTCCAAACTTTGACTGCTTTTGTGCAAAAATGGAACATTGGACAAGAAATGTAAATTTGTTATACCTCTGTAAATATTATTTATAAACTGTGTTTTTACAGTTTACAGAAAAGTAATTAAAGGCACCATAAAAAGAGGATTGTTTAATAGAAAAAATACCATAATTGTGTTTTTTTTTTAAAAATCTGAATAAAATAACTATTTTGATTTTTGTTTCCTAACTTTTCCCGCTTCTTTCTCATAGATCCTTGGTTACTTGCCTGGCCAGGGAAAACCAATTAATGTAACCTGTAGCGTTAAGGTAAAACAAACACTTTTTTAAATTCTACACAGGGCAACAACTGAAAGTAACTGAATATTTGACACAAGTTAAACTAAATAACTTTTTTTTAAATCTCTTTCAGAAAGGACCGCCAGAGGCCTTAGGAGAAATTCAGTTTTTCCCCAAAAGCATTTTTGACATGAAGTATTATCCTTACTATGGGAAGCTCAGACACGTGAGTGATGCTTTATGATTTGCTACTGTGGTAGAAAATGATTAAAACACTTTTCAGGTCTTTGTTTTCTGTCTGGATCTCAGGTGAACTACTCCTCTCCAGTGGTGGCGGTGCGTTTTGCGGGAGTGCAGTACGACACTCACATCCACGTGCAATGCAAACTGAACGGCAAAGGAATCATTAATGATTCACCCACAGATCGCTACCTGGGCAGCGTGACCTTCTCTTTGGAGGTTGGGGCGTGAAGGGTGGGCGCTCCTATTATGAGATAAGAAAATATGTATAAGAAGAGTTATTTTAAACCTTATTTTTCTGGAACTGTTACTTCCCTCTCCTCATCTTTCTCCTAAATATCCGTGTTTTCTGCTGTGAGACAAAATCCTCGAGTAGATTTTTTCTGGGTGTTGTTTCATCTTGAACTTTGACCAGCTGTTGGCGTCAAAACAAACAGTGCTGAGCACAAGACAAATAGTGGATATTACAATTCTGTTCCTGATATACAGTATATATATATTTTAATGATTAGCAAGATTAATCAAACTAAATTATGTTTCACCCACTAGTTAGAAATTCTGGCTATGCAATTCCAATTAAAACAAATAGGAAATTTGAGGTGTCACCAGGTTAGATTTTAGTTTTGCTTGGACATTTTTGTGTGACAAAGTACTAATTTGTTTTGAATGATATTTTCAAACATGTATGTTGTAAGATTTCAACGAAGTATCATGTAAACACTGAAAATAAGACTTGTGCTGTACTTATACAGTAAAAAAAATGCAATAATAAATGAAAATACGTGATTACCATATCTTTGTTGAATGGAGCTGTCATAAAATGTCATTTTTGTAAAAACATTAAAATCTGAAAATAAAATGCTACACAAAACTGATCAATAAAACATGATACTAAATAAAGTTTGAGAAATCAATTTTAGAAACAATCATTTGGTATAAAAATCGTGTTTCCACTAAACGAGTTCTGGGAAATACAATGGTTCGATACTTTTAGCAGCTGTATCCCCAAATAAATTCAGCCCTTTCGGGAGTAAAGTGTCACCATTTAGCAACTGCTTTGGCAGTGAGTGATGTCATTGATCGGCGTCAAAAGGCATCCGCAAACATTAATAACATTAAAGATGTGCTTCACTCATTTATTCAATACATTTGCAGTGGTCTGAGGAAACAAAGCTCCAGTGCACCTGTTTCAGCTAAAATAATTCAGCCAGAGGAGAAAGTTGATTCAGACGGCAGGATTAGGAGTTTCCTGATATTTGGACATCTCGCTTCAGATTGGATAACATCAACGCAACACAGCTGACTCTTTTACAACATTGATGTTATCTCCACAAATAACACAAGCCTGAAGGAGTGCTGCTGTGTGGTGGAGTTGCTAATGCTAACGGTTAGCTTTTACAAGTGGAGACGTTCTCTGCGGTTTGCTGGACAACTGTTTAATATCGGTCTTTTCCCTTTACTCCTCTCTCAAACCATCTTCTCTGTCAAGAATGTGTCCTCCAACTGTAAGTAGACTGCAGAGTCTTGACCTTACAATACAGCTTAATGACTTCAACAACTTCTCAGAAGGTAGTGAGGGGTGTTCATAGGTAGTTTCTGCTCATTGAGAAACAACAGACAGCTACATTTTATAAACTTGACTCTCTCATATTCCAGAACTGACAAAGTTCCTCAGATGAGAAGCAAAACATCTTCAAGAAACCAAAGAAGTCCAGTTGCTTTTACCGTAAATCCTCTAATATTAGCCTGTATTTAATTAACTGCCGGGTATCATATTTTGGCCGGTGTCGGAGTCGGCGGAGGTGAATAATGGCCGGTTTTTTATTGTGGCCGGGTGGAATGTGGTAACAAGCAAGTACGGGGGGCGGTTGTGTCATCCGTCTCACTTTTGATTTGCCAGTGATAGACCGCGAGGGTAACTTTAACCGTGCGGAGACGAAAATTTGATATCAAGTTCAAAGAGAACGTGCTGATTATGCTGCAGAACACTCTGGGGAGCAATAGGGGTTGAACTAGTCACTAGTCGACTTCACCGCTCTATAGTGACTTTTTATGCCTGTCATCGACTAGTCGCTGTCACATGATAATGACCGGCAAGATGCAGTTCATGGAAAAGACAGCAGCCTGCTGTCAGCAGGTGACAAGCTCCTGCGCGTCGGGAGGCAACGCGCTGTGCCAGAGCGTCGGTACCGACACCCGCCGTAAAACGGACATTTAACCAAATTGTGACGTTTACCGTCTTACAATTTAACCTTCCCCTCACCCCCATCCTAACCTTAACCAGCTTGCACATGCAAAGCTCTGATTGTTGACGCGCTCCAGACATCTGCGTCCTGAGCACGGCCACAGTAACATTATCAAATCAGATGTTGCCACCTCAAAAACTAATTTAACACGTGATCGTTCATGTCGGCTCATTTCCTTTTATGTTTTCTGTCTTTTTTTTTTTGCCTGATGCGTTTCGCTGCTGTGGATCGGGAAGCATCACCTGTTTTGTCCTCGGTGACGCACCTAACTGATGTGGCCGGCGAGCACTCCGCCGTTTTTGCAGTCGGTAGATCTTTTAGAACTGCAGTTCAAAGGTAACTCATAAGGTGAATATATATGAACCCAGGTAGCAGTTTTTCTTTAGGATTGAGAGGAGATGCAGGAAGATAATAAACAGGCAGGACAGAAAAATAGTCAAATAAAAACAAGTTAGTTTTTGTACCTGGTGGTTGCAACAGACACCATTGAAGGTAATCAGATGTGAGGAACAGAAAATGAAATAATTATTTTAATGTTTAGAGCAGCAGGAACTCTGAGAGGCTGCAGGCGCATCAGTGAGTTTGCAGCCGCTGCGCAGGGGGAGGGGGGAGAGGGCTGAAGCAGAAACTACCATTGTTAAAAGAGATGTGTTTAACTTTGAAAATGTGGGCGCAATATTAATCGTCAAAAACTCCAGCGAACCATTAGTTCATTTTGCTCAAATAGAAATTGAGGCCTGCCTCTAATTCTGGCCCTCCTTCCAATAAAGGCCGGGAGCTTGAGTCAAATACAGACCCGGGCCTGTATTAGAGGATTTATGGTATCTAAAGCACTTTGGAAACTGTAAAGTTAATAAAGTCAAATACATCTAAACACTTTATTTAGGTGATGTTGCCAAATGCTCAAATCTAAATTAAATTAATTCTGGACGTAATATTCACTTATTATGCAGCTCTTTCCCCATTTTCATAGATAAAACATGTTCTTTTAAAGTGTACAATCGGTAATAACTGAGTCATGCCTGAGTGGGTAACAGGCTGTTAACCCTCCCACTGTCCTAATGGGTGTGACCCCGTGAGGAAAGTTGACCATTGAGCAGGGTTGATGGTTTATCCCTTGGGTTCATGTGGCAGGGGTGAGGAGTGAGCACCACCTCACCCCTGCCACATGGACCCAAGGGATAAACCATCAGTCCTGCTCAATGGTCAACTTTTCTCGCAGGAGTCATTCATAGACAGCGGGAGGGTTTAAAACAAACTGATCAAAGCTCAGTTTATCACAGCAGATCATCACTCAGTTCACAAACTTTCCAGAAACTAGTCACCTCTTAGAATAAAAACACAGAAAATGTCCCAGAGAAGAACGACAAAGATACAAAACAAGACCAAAACTTTATTTCATTTGCTCCCCATTTGTGTTAGTCAATCTCATCATGTCACATTCTTCAGATGTAGACAAGCTGAATCAGGTAGGTGCACAACAGAAAGGCACAGAACTGTCCAGGAGTGATCAAACACACAACCAGGGAACACACAAGTGAAGGGATGTGATCTGACAAGTATGACTCATCTTCATGTTTGAACTGCTCGTTCTGTTAGTGTCACACGTGGGCTAGATGAGCATTTTCATACGTCGTTATTAAAAGCAGATTAATGTAAAAAGTTTGATCCCAGTTGTGTACAGTGCAAGTCATGTGGCAGCTGTTGTAAGAACAGCGCCATGATTACTTTATCAATATTCACAATTCAAGAAAATAACTTCATTCTGTTTAGTGACACAAACCTTCACGAATTCCCAAGAAAAAACAAAATGGTCCCATCGCTGGTAAAGTGTATTATTGTCCCTTTATCGAGATACAATTAGGTGATTATTATTTGTGCAATTAGTGGTTTCATGTCGATGTTAATTAACAAACATTAAAGAATGAAAAACTGAAAGGAGCTGTATTAGCTTGCTTGTACATTCGCGTCATCAATAATCAGGGTCATTCATTCCATACAAGAGATTTACACGTATAGCAATGTACAGCACAGGAAGTGAGAGCAAAAAGCCTCTCTGGGTTGGAGGAAGAGGAGGAGGACTAATTTACAGCCATTAATCTAGTTTTTCAAAACATGCAATTTATAATAAAACGATTCGGTTATCGATTGCAGATTTTTCAGCACTTGATTGAGTCACTGGCGTCAGCAAAACAAGAGAAGACCGACAGAGTTGATTCAAAGTGTGTTTGAGAATCAAGCTGGAGGTTATTGCAGGGTGACGCTGCCGGGGGGGACGATCAGGGAAGCTTTGGATGCACTGACGAGCAGGGCAGATGTCTGTTCAAGAGCTGAGAGGGTTGAAAAGGGAATGGGAAGTTGGGCTGGACTAGACCGACTGGTAGCCGGTACGACTCTTCCTCCGACCAATCAGGTAAGAGATAAGCACGAGGATGATTAGAAAGCTGAGGGCCACGCCCACAGCAATGGGCACCAAAAAGCTCAAATCAGAGTCCAGGAAGCACTCCTCAGCTGACACAAAGGAAAGACAGACAGACAGCAGGTTAGCGTGTTAGCATGAAGGTTAGAATCAAAGGTTTAGAAACAGCTGAGAGCAGCAGGAACAGATCAGATCCTACATGAGTCAATCTGTTGATTAGAGAAAAACAATAACAGAAAGTGACACCATTACAATTTCAGCTATTCAAAGGAATTATGGGAAAATGTTTGACTAATGTTTGTCAGTTCACCGTAAAGCTAATCAGCAGAGTGTAAAAACTGGAAACATCAGCAGTTCTGCTCATTGTGGTCTTCTGAGCTCACTAGAATAAAATCATTTAATTTGGACTAAAGTCTGAGAGTTTATCAACCTAAAGGAGCTGTTTAAATTATTGACTTTTTTTGTGCAGGCAGTCTTCTCTATCATGGCAGGATTTGAACCACTGCAAACATCTGGACTAGAAGGTGTTCCAGTTTTTATGCAAAGCTGACCTCCCACCTCCCAAACACAGTTTAACACCAAAACACCACGTCTCTCAACAGTTAGTAAAAAGCAGCGAGGTCAAAAGGCAGCGAATATCCCTTGTGAAGGTGAAATGGTCTGAGAGAGGACGATAGAATCAGAAGGACTGGTAGCCGGAGGCCATGTTTCTCCTCCTCCCGATGAAATAGGCCACCAGAACAATAAGTATGAGAATAACCAGGGCAACTCCGACAGCTATGGGAACAACGAAGCTTTCCGCGTCCGGCATGCAGTCCACCGCTAGACGGGAGTGAAGAGAGCACAGCGTGAATGTCTGACTGACTTTTCTTTGTTTTAATGGATAAAATGTTAAATCAATACCTGAAAGAAAACAACGTATTAAATCATGAACAACAACATGGAGCCACTCTTTACATTTTTATTTCCCTTGAAAATTCTAAAAAGCTCCAATGACACAAATCCAAATGATTCAAACAGCATGAGGGAAAGCAGATGTTATCGGCCGTTGTCTGAACACAATACACATGAAGAGATGATTCTGCAGCACCCAGTCCCTTTGTTTAAACACACGTGCAATTATCCCCAAGGGAGACGGGGGCGGCCTCCACGGTGAGCCGAACACACACCCAACGCACACAACCTGATTCTGAGTGACCGTGAGCCACACATTTAGGAAAAAGTGCTGTTTTTGGTGCTGCAAAACCATCTTTATTAATAAGGCAATGTTTACAAAAGCTGAAATACACCACAGCAACAATCACAAGCAAAAACATAAAATAAAAATCACACCTTGCATTTGATTAGAAGCTATGATTTAAACACGTATAATAATCCGTGAAAGCAAATGTCATCAGCAAATTAAAAATGCCAACAGTGCAAACAATATACAGCCCTCCGCCTGAGCCAACCCACAGCTACAACCGCGTCACGCAGACTTCCTGTGACTGATCTGTCCCTAATCTCCTCCAGTTCCCTGATTTTAACAATCCTGAAACCTTTCCAACGAGCAACTGGCCCCACAATAAGTAAAGCCTTTTAATGAGATTATGTCCCACACACTCAAAGCTGATGGGTTTTACTGGTGCTTCTGGGTAATCTGGTAGAAGGAGCACAGTCCAGATTAATTAAAGACACAACTTTAGGATTTTTAGACAGCTGATAGCATAAACAAAACATACAAACAGAATAAAAACTGTTGTTTTACACAGAGCCAGGCTACTGTAGCCGTTTCCAGTATTTCTAATGAGCAGCAGCTCTCTGAATCAACAACAACCTTTCTCATACTAAATCGTTTTAGGATTTTAGAATGAACGTGGAACCAGATCTGCAGGAACTTTAACGTCCCCTGATCCGGGTGCGTACACAGGAAAGAGAACCCCTCAAGCGAAGCATGAACTTAGTGCATTTCTATGTAAATATCTTGGTTTTAGAATCGCCAAGGCTGAAAGTGAATACACCATCGTATCGTCCCTTTTTCTAACCCTAATGCCAACACGTATTCTGTCAAAACAAAATGCAAAAAAAGAAAAAAAAAAGAATGAAACCTTTAGTTTTGTTGAGATTTCTGAGTGGAGTGTGTGCAAATAAAAAAATGACTAGCGGGTGTGAAATCCATACCTTCACACGTGAAATGTTAATGAGCCACAAACATGGGTTTAAACTGGAGTTTGAGATGAAATGTCTGCAGAGTAACACACGTTCACACAGTAAGGACTGAAAACCTGACATTTCTCCTGATCTACAGGAACAAACAGGCACAAAATGTTTTTTTTTTTCCTTTTAACATCTCTCTAAACCAGGTGAGCTCAACCCCGGCCTTGGAGAGCAGCTATCCAGGATGTTTTAGTCGTTTCCCTGCTCCAACACCTGATTGAAATACCTGTTCAGAAGCCTGTCAAGCTCTGCAAAAGCCTGTTAATGACCACCGATTCTAATCAGGTGTGTTGGAGCAGGGAAACACCCAAAACATGCTGAGTAGGGACTCTCCAGGACCAGTGTTGGACCCACCTCTCTAGAGGGCAATCATTGGTGTTAGAAAATGGCTACTGTTCTCATTTTCACTCAGATACATTTTGATGAGAGGGGAAAAAGAAACGCCAAATCATAAATGTGCTTAAAAGATATGTGACAAAAACCAGCAAACAAAAAAAAGGGGGAATGTCTGCTGAGCAAGTGCAGGATGTCAAAGCTGTGGATCTGATTTCGTATTAAACGTTCAGGTCTTCTTCCACCTGAACACCACACGTATTGCACAGATTAATCTTTCATGTGACAAATTAAAATGGAATTTATTGAAACGATTTGAGGATCTTGCACTTGCCTGTTAAAATAAAACACAAGAACAAAGGAGGACTGGAGACATGGGGAGGAGATAAAAACAAAAACTTCAGAGAATTGACAAGTTTGGTCCTCGATTCTGTTGATGACAAATGGAGTTTTTCACCCAATTTTTTATTATTTTGAATTGTTTACAACATCATTAGATAATTTCCAGAATTAATCCATCTGAGACTTTTATTTTCTTTTTTTAATACGCCAATTAAACAACTACATAAAAACCCGAGGACCAGGCTTGGAGAATCCTGTGACAAAACTGAATTTAAAGGGTCTGATATCCAGCATAGGTCTTTCTTCGACCAATCACGTAAGCGATCACTACAATGATAATCAAGCCAGCCAGAGCGGCGCCAACAATGATTGGGATTAAGATGCTGGGGTCATCCAATGAACATTCATGGGCTGCAGATAAAGAGACAGTGAGTCAAACTGGTGGAACAGAGACCATTTGAGTCAAAACAGCTGCTGAGACACAAAAACAATGCCAATCTGCCTGATTCTCCCTGCTTGTCAATCATTTTAAAATGCTGCTGTTCCTAACTAAACTATCACAACATGAGCGGAGTCCACCCACCTGTGCTGAAGACACCCTTCTTCACTCCAAAGGGCTGCACGTGCAGGTTGAAGGTGAAGAGGCTAAGCTGGTCGCTGATGGTGAAGTTCTGCTCCTTGTTGCACATGTAGGAGCTGCCGATGCTCGCCTCCCACAGGGTCAGGTTGGTGCTGCTCGCGTTAAACACGCCTTAAAGAGACAGACGGGGATTAAAACTCACTTCCTGCCTTTCTCTTCCTCTCATTTGTGCACGAGCAGACACGAAGCTCGGCTCTTACCAGAACTCGTTTTCACGTTGATGCTCAGATCGTGCAGGAGGAATTTCTTGGTGTCCTGTAAAACGGGACATTACTCACATACTCAGTGATGGTTTTACTATTATAAATGTCTCTTCTCTTTTCTGGGTGACACATGATACTGTCAGTTCATATTTTGGAGCTTCCCGTCCAACTTAGGGAAGTTGTATATTTTAGAAACTGGGCTGCAAAGATTTTATTAGCAATGGGCAGAAACAGCAAAGCAACACAAATAATCCATGTTTGCTGAACTTGATAAAAGTCTAAATGAAGGTCTGGAGTAGGGCTGAATGATATTCTGGTCAAAGATTATGATTATAAAGGACACGGATGCGTGATCGTCAAAGCTGCATTTTAATTTTTTTTGCAGAGCTCCTGACTGATCCAGGATCTGTTGTGTTAATCATCTCACACCTCTGGGTTTTCCCAGGTTTTAAAGGAGTTACAGCAGTAGCTACTAGCTAGCCTAGTGAACTAGACCAAATTCTTGCTTTGCAAAGTTTGTTAAATAATACATTTATTTAGTCTGGCTTGCCAGGCTAAGCTGTAGCAGCAAGCACTGGCAGTTGGTGGGGGCGCGGTACAGTGAGAATTTGGTTGCTTTTCTCTTGGTGGTGCTGCTACATCCGATATTATTTAAGGTAGTGTTCATCTGTCGCTGTTGCTCATCTTCTGTCTCTCACTGACACACGGAGTCTGATTCACCCACTTCCTTCCAGGCTGATGTTATTTGTGGAGATAAAACAGATGAAAGATGTCCAAATATCAAAAAATTGGACTCTAAATCCTGTTGTCTGAAGCTACTTTCCCCTTTGGCTGTATTCTCTGTACTGAAACAGGCGCACCAGAGCTTTATTTCCCCAGAGAACAAAGTAAAAAGCATTAATTCCTACTAAACCACTGCAAGTGTATTAACAACACACGTGAAGGAACTCTTTAAGCTTTCATTAACTTCCTGGGACCCAAACTTGTATTTGGTGTGACTTAAAAGAAAAAACCTATCTAGCTATTACAGGCTAATCGACTGTAATTAACGGAAACAAAATTACAAAAATTAAAATACAATAAAATTAAATAAAAATGTTGCTGAATATCCTAAAAAAAGACAGCAAAAATGTTTTAAATTAAAGTCAATAATGTTTGTTTTAAATAATAATAATAATGTTTTAAACTAAAGTCATTTTGTGAGTCAACGTCTCACAAAATATTTTGTCTACAAACAATAACAAAAAGCTCTACGTAGAAGAGAATAAAACTTTAAAGAGCAAGGAGCCAATATCACAGGGCCCTAGGATGTTAAAGCTAAAAACAAAAGAAATCGCCTGAGCTGCAGATACTTACATTGTTGAAAGTGAACGTGATATTCATCTGATCACTCCCCAACACAAGCTCACTGATGTTGGTGCCACAAGATCCAGAGACCTCAGCACCGACGGGTTCAAAGTTCATCTCCTGGTATTTCTGCGACAGATGGCATAGATAATAATAGTGCATTAGTGAAATTATCTCTTCATGGTTAAAATAATTTGTGGTTTATGAGCAAACCTCCTTAATTTTGAGACTGATCCGCAGGCCGAAGTTGGCCAACAGACAGACGGTTTCATTCGATTTAAGGGTGTAGTTCCCAGTAAATGGAGTGGGGAGGGTGGGTGTGGGGGTGGTGGTCACGGGAGCAGGAGTTGTGGTGTTGGTCACGGGAGCAGGAGTTGTGGTGTTGGTCACGGGAGCAGGAGTTGTGGTGTTGGTCACGGGAGCAGGAGTTGTGGTGTTGGTCACGGGAGCAGGAGTTGTGGTGTTGGTGACAGAAGGGGTGGGAGTAGGGGTGGGTGCATCAGCAGGACAACTGGTATCTGAAAGGAGAGCAAAATTAAAATCAAAATCAATAAATATTTTGCTCAGAAGGAAATGTGCGGTGGCGTCGCTACACACAGTTTTCACTCCTGTTGCCGTTGGTGATGAAAGCCTGTAAAAGAACTTTCCACAGCGTCATGTTGACCTGGGGTGCTGTGATCTGGAATTCACTGTTGCAGGAGTAGGAGGTGTTCAAAGGAACTGGATTAAAGTTGGTCTTTGGCGACACGGTTACAGTGTCTGCATGGAAGATAACAAATGCATCAGTGAAATGTGGTAAATCTCTCTGATATCATGGAAAGACCAGAAACTACCATTTGACAAAGCATTTTTGAAGAATGTGGAGTCACTGAGATTGTAGGTAAATGTAACCGTGTCGACGTGGTAACTCTTCATATCTGAGGTGAAGCTGACACTCCAGGAGTTTCCGGCTCCAAAATCGAGCGTCAATGTCGGACTTTTCTCATCACAAGTGCTGCTGTTTGATGTGGCATTAGCAGGAAGTTCAATCACAACCGTTTGATTCTGAAAAAGATATAAAACATTCTTGAAATCTGCTGAATTATAAAAGTTTAGGGGTGTAACAGTACGCTAAAATCGTATTTGGTTCGGTTCACTGTTTTAAAGAGCTTGGTTCAATTCATTTTTGGTATATTATTATTATTATATTTATTTATTTATTTAATCTGAAGCGGCTCCTATAGTGAGCAGAACCAGGTGTCATCACAAGCTGCTGATCTAGCATGATGTTTTTAATTATTTCACAGGTTATTTGCACAGCTATGAATGTCACGCTCATACAGACAAGTGTTGTTTGACTGTTGATGCTCCGTGTTTTCATTTCTGCGGCGAGCCTTAAAAACTCTTGTCGTGATTTGGCGCTATATAAATAAATTGAATTGAACTCACCTCACACCGCCCAGAGATTCTTCTTTAAAACTATTAAATAACGAGCTTCCTCTGCGCCGTATTTGTCGTAGTAGCATGAAAACTTTACATCAGTTGTCCCAAGGGGAAAGTTCAGCAGACGTGTTTGTTTAATTTAGCCGATGCGTACGTGCAGTGTGAGGGAGGGGCGGGGCAGGGCGACGCGACGCTCCGTTCAGCGTCTCTACAGGCTCCACAGTAGCAGCGACAGTCAGCTGGTTTGATCCGCTCTGAAAGGCATTGATCAGAATTTGCAGATCACATTTTTTTAAACGGAGATTGAGCGCGTGTAGCCATCATGCGTCACTCAATACAGCATCCGTGCGGAAACTCGCATGGGAACTTTTATCTGCTGCACTTAAATCACGCAAATAAAAATGAATTATTTAACAGAAAAAAGAAACCGAAACAGTACGCAAGTGGACCAAACCGAACAGGCCGAACCGAAACAATTCAACACCCCCCCTGTGAACCGTTACACCCCTTGAAAAGTTAATATAAAAATAGATTTAATGTGTGAGTTACAAATCCTGCATGAGTAAAAGCATCATTAAAATGAATCATTCTTATTTATTCTGTAGCTTTAAGGCAAAGTTTTAGTTAGTCTTTATTTAACCACAGAATCTACAAGACTTTTTAAAAGTTTCAGCTATCTAATAAATTTGATCAACATTAGCCAAATTCCAGCTGACACCGAGCTGCACAGACGTTATGTGACAACAGCAAAAATGTTCAAACAGGGAACTAGAGTTTACTAAAAAAATGTGAATAAATACACGATTAATCATCTATTAATGGTAAAAAGCATCAGATTATCTACATGAAGTGAAATTGGCTCTGTGGTGCCATCCATCACATTTTTCACAACTTTTAGATTTTTGTTTGATTAAACAAAAAAAAATTGCTCTAATTAATTCATATTGCCAAAATTGTTTGTACACATAACAATTAAAGAATGAGTCAGGAAAAAAAAAACCTCTAAAAGAAATGCTGAATAGCGAGAACTTTGGTCACAACTCTCCTCATTTCCCCTTTTCATGTGGAAACTTGCTTCCTCAACATGAACGTGACAATCTAATATTTAGGCTGCTTGATAGAACAGCTGTCCAACGCTGATCTAAGCAGTTTAACAGGACTTGAAAGTGTGTTGCCAGACACCCACCTTATTCCCAGCTACCTCATAGGAGACGGAGAAGTTGAGCATTAGATTGGCATACAGACATAACTTCCCCTCCTTTGTGACATTAACTTCAACGCCATGGGACAAGTGGATCACTGGAAATAAAGAAAAGACACAATTAATATTTCTCAGATTCAGATAATTATAATATCAGAAATTTAATGTTTCCTTTAAAGGTGTTGAACACTCGTTTAATCAACACATTTGCAGTGTCCTCTGGTAGGAATGAATGCCTTGCAAGTGTTACTTGGGGGACAAAAAGCCCAGAACCTCCTGAATCAAGTCTGGACAAGTCCTCTGTAGCAGACAGCAGGATTTAGTCTTATTTCCTGATATTTGGATATCTTGCATCGGATTGGATAACAGCAACATGACTCTACCACTGACACAGATGTTTTATCTCCACAAATAACACAAGCCTGGAGGAGCTTCTGTGGTTGAATTGCTAATGCTAATGGTTAGCTTCTGCTAGCCGAGACATTCAATGCTGTTTCCAGGGCACTAACAACAGCCTTCCCCGTCGCGATCCAAGATGGGCGAGTCCATGCGACCGCTTGACGTAGATCTGTCAAGCTTTCCAAATCTTAGTGTTTCAACGTCAATTTTTTTAATCAGAAGCTAATGCAGGAGATAGGTGTAGGAGACTATTTTCACATTCGGCCTGCATGAAAAACTTAAGAGTCATCAATTATAGTCAAAAATAATTATTTAAAGTGTTCCACACCTTTACATATGTCATAGAAATGGACAATCCTTGAGTTATTTCTAGCATTCGGAACACCCACTTCACCATCTGAAGCTATTAGCTGCGTCTAGACAGAAGGGTTCAAACAGGCCAACAGTCAACGGACTTACATTTATGAGCACTTATGCAGCAAGCAGCAAGTAAAAACCACTGTTAACACAAGCTGGTATAATTCTGATCAATGCATGAGATAGGCCAGTGGGCCAGTAACCAGGCAGCTTGAGTCAGGGTCTCTAAACAGGAAACAGAAGGCCAATCTAAAAAAATACAAAATAAAACACTCACAATGTCAAATTTGAATGAATTATAATCTTCTAAATTTCAAAAATCACATCTAGCGGATAAACTGTTGGAATATAATTTCAGCAGCAGAACCTGCAGCGAGGTTTGTTGACTTTTCACTGACAGTAAAACAGAACACAATTTAACAGGCCAGGACAAAGTTCATTTAGATCACTGATAAGTAGCAGCATGCTTTGTCATCATCTCAGCAGCCTGAGCAGAGCAGTCAACACACGTATGAACTTTAAAATTACTTAAAATTATTTTACAGGAGACATAATGAGGCTGAATGCTGATTTCTGTGTACAAAAGTCCAATTCGTGGGTGCTCGTAGTACAAAGAATATAAATATACTGAAGGTTGAGATTAGATAAAACAAAAACAGCATTCTAACAGACTTATATATGGACTTTTAAAAGCATCTTAAACATAGATCAAAGTTCATTCCCCTAAAATAAAATTCCAATTTCACAGAATTAAACGTCATAATGGAATGAAATAATTACAAAATTAAATAATGTAAAAGTATTAGCAGTTTGCTAACAGTTAATAAAATTAATCAAGTTCTAAAAGTTTACATTTATTTACATGTTTAGCTTTAAGCCATAAACACAGTGACGTTTAACTGTCGTTGTTCCATACTTAAGTACTAATAAAGTGTTTTAATCTACCGCAGCTGGTTTTAATGATAATGCCTTGACTTGACTAACATTAGCACGTGACAGTAGAGCAAGTGACGCTAACCCAGCTAGCTTAGCGCTAAACCATTTCACAGTTCGACAGCGCAATGAGCAAATTGTTTAAAGTTTTATATTTATTTCCTAGTTGTGTTCGCAGCCGCTTTCATTTAGAGCGGACCCAGCTTTGAATTTAAATATATTTACGTGTAATTCGATCTTAACTGTCAAGAGACTGGTTAAGCAGCTAAAGCTGAACTTATCAAATCTCGTTAGCATCATTAGTTATCTTGTTACAATCTAGACGTTTTAAGAGATAGACTGAGAAGTTTAGTTTATGATAACACGAAAGCAGGCGGAAGTGTGGTCGAAGCAAATGCGTTGAATGGCTCTGAATAGTTTTGACGCAGATCACAATTAGCTACGAAGCTACTTCAAAACATCACGACCGCGGCTCTTCTGTGATGGAAAAAATATTAGCGGACCCATTTGAAAACCGAAATAAAAAACATTACAGATAGAAAATGTATAATGAATGACAAACTCAGCGTTTTTATTTTTGCTACGGTGGCTTTCTCCAAGTTAGCATTTAGCCGATGCCCAAAGATATCAGGCCCAGAGTTTACCAAAAGTTTAAGTGCTGGACTGTTGAAAACATCTACGCCGCTGGCATACGTACCGACTCCAAAGGAGAAGAGGAGAACAAACGCAACAAATCGGGACATGATCGCTGTTGGTTTTGGACTCTCAGCCTCCAGAGATAAAATGAAACCAGTCAATGGACGCAGAGTCAGCGGCGCTGGGTTGGCTGTACCAGGAAATGAAAGTCATATGACAAAGAGCAATGTGTCAAACCCCAGAGGTGTGAGCCTCAGCAAAGCGTCTCTTTATACGTTAATGATTTATACAGCATGCCCTGGCTCACAAAGTCGGTGTTTACCAGCTTTAGATAGAAAGATTTACAAACCCCCCTTATGAAAATACAGTGGTATGTGATCAGTGATCAAAAATGAAAACCCAACTGAAACAATTCTTTTAATTTTAAGCAATAACTCTTACAAACTCATACAGAGATGTCTAGTCAAGTTATTTTTCTTCATGTTGAATGATAGTCCCACTCCAGGCCCCACATGAATAAAAACAAACCAAAAATATCTGTGTAGTATGACAGTGGACTCTTTTTTTTATAGAGCTGTGCTTCAAAATACCTAAATGTTGACAAAACCTACCAAGCAGTTGACTGACAGGTCGGTCATTTAAAACATGACATGTTGAATCTATAAAAAACAAGGTGGAAAAAACAAAAACCAAGAATGTTGAACTCATTTACTTGAGCCACTGAAGGAGCGTGGCAGCTGGAACATAACCTAAAACAAATGGTGTGCTCCCTTTTGGCACAAACTCAGATTTCAATATAATTTGTGTTCATGATCACAGTTTTATCATGAGGCAACATGCCCCTTAAAACTGAAACCAAACTGCAGATCACACACTAAACACCTAATTCCCAAACTTTAAAGATTAGCCCAACAGTTGCACGTTCAACAATGAAGGAAGAAACAAGCATTTGTTTAATATTTTGGATCTGTTTTTTTCCTCTCACACATGTGATACATTTAGAGCATTGATAGGTGAGTCAGCGTTAGCTTGGAAATCAGATGTACAAGGGGAAAAAAGATAACAGAGTATACTGAGTCAAACTATGAACAAAGGACCTAAGTCAGAAAATAAATACTTTTCCTCTCCATTATAAAAGAGAGCAAACTGAATTGTGTGTCTTCTTTGTCCCAACTCTCTCAGAGGCACTGAGAAATATGGATAATATTCTTTTCAATGGGCATGCAGTCCACAGGATCACAAGACCCCTGACGAAAACCCTGCGGAGCAGTAGCCACTCACTCGTCGGTCGTTTAGTTGAAGATGACAATGGTTAACATCCACAGGAGCAAAAGATAGAGACCGATCACTCAGAAACCTTTTCATCTAACTGAACCAACTGCATTGCTTTTCCTTTTCTTAGGCTACATAGTTGTACTGGTTGGAGTTCTCCTTGTCGCGTTCCATATAGTCTCTGTCAATAAGAGACTCTATCCTCTTCTTTAGATCAGCAGGCTGGAAGAAAACAGGCACAAGTTAACAGATGACACAAACACAAGTGTGTCTGAACATTTATTAACTTGGATGTGATCTCAGGACATGGAGAGAACTGTGTCTTAAAGCCGCTGCCTTGAGAGATTTTCCCTTTCAAAAATGATGTACGAATTTTCAGAAATCCATGAAAGTGATCATCTTATCATGTACTGTGATATAATATAGGCAATACATTTTTTTTTGCTAAGCTCACCCCCTGTCTCATAGAGCTCCATGCAATATGAACTGAGTGCCAGTCAGCCCTAACCGACTACCGCTTAAGTACATACAGTGGTGTGAAAAACTATTTGCCCCCTTCTTATCTTATTCTTTTGCATGTTTGTCACACAAAATGTTTCTGATCATCAAACACATTTAACCATTAGTCAAGGATAACACAAGTAAACACAAAATGCAGTTTTGAAATGATGGTTTTTATTATTTATGGAGAGAACAAAATCCAAACCTACATTGCCCTGTGTGAAAAAGTAATTGCCCCTGAACCTAATAACTAGTTGGGCCTCCCTTAGCAGCAATAACTGCAATCAAGCGTTTGCGATAACTTGCTACGAGTCTTTTTCAGCGCTCTGGAGGAATTTTGGCCCACCCATCTTTGCAGAATTGTTGTAATTCAGCTTTATTTGAGGGTTTTCTAGCATGAACCTCCTTTTTAAGGTCATGCCATCGCATCTCAATAGGATTCAGGTCAGGACTTTGACTAGGCCACTCCAAAGTCTTCATTTTGTTGTTCTTCAGCCATTCAGAGGTGGATTTGCTGGTGTGTTTTGGGTCATTGTCCTGCTGCAACACCCAAGATCGCTTCAGCTTTAGTTGACGAACAGATGGCCGGACATTCTCCTTCAGGATGTTTTGGTAGACAGTGGAATTCATGGTTCCATTTATCAGAGCAAGCCTTCCAGTTCCTGAAGCAGCAAAACCCCAGACCATCACACTACCACCACCATATTTTACTGTTGGTATGATGTTCTTTGTCTGAAATGCTGTTACTTCTACGCCAGATGTAACGGGACATTTGCCTTCCAAAAAGTTTAACTTTTGTCTCATCAGTCCACAAGTTATTTTCCCAAAAGTCTTGGCAATCATTGAGATGTTTCTTAGCAAAATTGAGACGAGCCCTGATGTTCTTTTTGCTTAACAGTGGTTTGCGTCTTGGAAATCTGCCATGCAGGCCATTTTTGCCCAGTCTCTTTCTTATGGTGGAGTTGTGAACACTGACCTTAACTGAGGCAAGTGAGGCCTGCAGTTATTTAGAAGTTGTCCTGGGGTCTTTTGTGACCTCTCGGATGAGTTGTCTCTGCGCTCTTGGGGTAATTTTGGTCGGCCGCCCACTCCTGGGAAGGTTCACCACTGTTCCATGTTGTTGCCATTCGTGGATGATGGCTCTCACTGTGGTTCGCTGGAGTCCCAAAGCTTTAGAAATGGCTTTATAACCTTTACCAGACTGATAGATCTCAATTACTTTTGTCCTCATTTGTTCTTGAATTTCTTTGGATCTTGCCATGATGCTTTTGAGGTGCTTTTGGTCTACTCTGTGTCAGGCAGCTCATATTTAAGTGATTTCTTGATTGAAACAGGTGTGGCAGTTATCAGGCTTGGGGGTGGCTACAGAAATTGAACTCAAGTGTGAAACACTACAGTTGGGTTATTTTTTAACAAGGGGGGCAATTACTTTTTCACACAGGGCAATGTAGGTTTGGATTTTGTTCTCTCCCTAAATAATAAAAAACCATCATTTCAAAACTACATTTTGTGCTTATGTGTGTTATCTCTGACTAATGGTTAAATGTGTTTGATGATCAGAAACATTTTGTGTGACAAACATGCAAAAGAATAAGAAATCAGGAAGGGGGCAAATAGTTTTTCACACCACTGTACATCAGTCGCAGAGTGTGCTGGAGTCTTTATGGATTTACCTTGGTTGAAGAACACTTGGCGACCTTTAATGGACAAGCAAGTCATTAAAATATATTATTACACACATAATTTGAGCATAATAATTTTAAACAAATGTGTTTCAGCTCTGTTAGGCTAGAGGAGCGCATTTAACTCATTAACTGCATTGAGGACTAAAGTCATCATTTTAAATCCAACCGTTCACTATTTGCATTGTTTTACTGTGTGGGCGTCGGAACGAGCCCCCGCACCGTGAGAACAAACAGCCCAGCTCTAAAGCTGATCTTCATCCGCGTACGTCACACGTCACGTGATCAGGAAACAGAAAATCCATGTGTTAGGAGATTGTTTTGGGCTGTTGCTGTAAAAAAAGTGAGGTGCGCACCAGAAAAGCTTCTGCCAATCACAATTTGACAACAGATTATAAAAGAACGGATAACGCTCGAAGCGTGCGGATTCTTCCTGATGTAAAAGGTGAGTCTACTCTTTGTTTTGCAAGTTTTGACGTCAACATTATCCTAGCGCGCAATGTTCTGTGACTCTTAAAAAAACTGTGAAAACGCTGGCTGCGAAGGGCATTGCTGTCCAGGAAACAGCTGGAAGTGAATGAGTTAAAAATGAGAGGCATTGCTTTGGCAGTAAATATGGAAATGAAAACTAAGTCGTGATGTGATACGCTTGTCAGCCACTAGACGGTGCCATCAGATAAAAGAAATAATACAGACAGCTACTTTAACAGAGTTTTCCCCCTTTCAGGAATTATGTATGATCTTAAAAAAAATCCATGAAAGTGACAGCCTTACCCTGTACTGTGATATAATGTAAAAAATAGGCCATTTTACTTTTGCTAAGCCCGCCCCTTTTCCGTAGAGTTCCATGCAATTTTAGTTGAGGGCCGCTCAGCTTTAGCCAATGGCGTTAGACATCTTCTGACGTACAGATGTCAGTCACAGAGTGCGCACAAGGTTTGTGGAAGTACCTAGACTAATGCATAGATTTATGATACATTTGTTCCACCTCAAGACGGTGCCCTCCGAGAAAACACTATGGATTTCTGCTGTAATGAAATGAACCAACACCAGAAACACAAAAGCGGTTTCTCAATAGTACGTTCTTGTGTACTTTACAAGTGTATTCTTGACAAGTACAGAGGAAAGACCGTATACTGAGTATGAGAGGACAACGACAACATTTTGAACGGAACCATACTCTGTTGCGTGATGGTAACAAGAGCTCAGGGTTTCTCCCAGCGCTTTATAAGCCTGGCAGCCCGCCAGGCTGAGCATCATGCCCCGCTCCCTCCCAGACCATGTCCGCTGACAGAACACTAACGGCGCAACAAAACTAGAGCCCTCCATCAGCTGATACTGGCGAGAAACAGCACGGCGCAACAAAACTAGAGCCCTCCATCAGCTGATACTGGTGAGAAACAGCACGGCGCAACAAAACTAGAGCCCTCCATCAGCTGATACTGGTGAGAAACAGCAGCGGAACGTGTGCAACCACCCCACCTCCGCTCTCACAGAGGAGCGCTGCGGGATGGAGCCCCCCCCCCCCCCCCCCCCCCCACGCTGTCATGGAGGAGCACTGCGGGATGGAGCGTGCGACCCCGCCCCCCGACGGCCGAAGCAGCCAGGCTTAACTCATTTTCTGGGGGAAACCCTGAGCGCTGGTAGATGTAATTCAATTCCAATCAAATTCACTCTATCCAGAGAGTGCAATTTATCTGGACATAATTTTTGTGTTTTTTTAAACAACAAGCCTAAATGAAATAGGAGTAACAAGGCTATTTTTATAAATGTAACACATAACCGTGTAAAAATGTAAGGAGTTGAAGTAAAGAGTTGGCTAATAAATAATTACTTCAGTGAAGTTTACCAAATGTTCTACGTAAGTAAGGTAACAAAGTGTTTCTTTACTTGGCACCTCTGTGTAAAGCAGCAGATAAACATGTTGTTAGACCAAAACAGTTCTGTAGTACTGGCTGAAAAAATATAAAAGCAGAGGACCAAGATAACATCATACTGTCTGAAACACATTTATAAGAAAGATTCCCAGCAAATAATGCTACGAGAAAAAGATAAATTAATTTGATCAATTTAGCATGCTCCATCAGTGCCCCATTGTTATTTAAGCTTTATTCTTTATTATTATGGCCCTTTCTGGATGTAATTATATACAGATTTATTATCACTTTCTTATTAATGTGGAAAATTATTAATATGGAAGTGAAAACTTCTACAGTTGAGATTTGTCATTATTGCAAACCAGAAACAAGAGAGAAAAAAAAAACCCAATGAGCTGATCACAGATTAAGCGGATCCTGTTAAATATGATAACAAGACCATTTTTGGGTGCTTCTCTATTAGTTTTAAATTATTACAATATTATTTCAAACTCATGTTGGTGTGCCTCATTAGCAAATAATGCGTACAGACAAACCGTGAAAGAACTCCAGACAGCCTTGAAAGTGTGTTCACTTTAAGAGATTACAAGAATGTCTGGATCACTGATGCCAAACCATAATAAAATAGGCACTTATGCTGTAACCAATCTAATAAACTCAGTTTATGTGATATGGTAAACTGCCTGTATTTATACAGCGTCTTCTAGAGTTCTACAAAAACCCCAAGGTGTTCAACCCATGCACACACACGTTCACACATATGTGATGATAACCTACAATGTAACCACAGCTGGCCTAGGCATACTGAAAGAAGAAATAAACATCAACATTTTTAGATTAGGAGAAAATCTGATGTTCTGCTGATTCAGTTGGGTTAAAAGTTCCCGTTGCCTATGTTGCTGTTTATGTGGAGGCGGAGCTGAGCCCGAATCTCAGGATAGAAACAAACCTGCTGCTAATAACTAGCCTGACAAGACATCCTATTTATGTGAATCTGGCCATGACCCACTGGTGGGATCTCAGCGGTAGGGCGTAATGTACAGTTATTGCTATCGATGAACAATGAACAACGTGACATACTCACCGCTACGGATGTTAATAACAGGGCAGTCCACCATACACCGATGAAGATGCAAAAACATCTTTTCTCTAAATAAAGGACCTAAGCACCTCTATCTGCTCTTAACTCAAAGAAAAGCCCTGGTCTAAATAGCCCAAAATTGATACCAAAGCTGTTTCAAACGAGTCGCCACCATCTTAGTTTCGCTCAGTCGCATTAACATCCCACCCATCAAAACTGATAGAGCGCTGTGATTGGCCAGGCACAATCCTGGTCAGAGGTTCCAATAGAGCGTGGCTGGACACAGCAGAGCAAAATCATTTTGCTTCTGCTACTGTCAAGACTAGATTAATAGACTAGCTTATTAAAGTTGATAATAGATTAATGCACATACACAAGTTACATCTTTTTAACATATTATTATTTTATAATAATCATTGTAATTTATATTAAAGGCCAGGATAAATGGATAAATTCTCATAACTAAATTACCAACTAAGAAAAAAAAAAAACTAAATTACCAACTTCAGTGCTGGGAATACAGATTATATTCTGGCAAATATAATTTTAGTGTTGATTAAAATTGACGACTTAGAGAAAAGTTGAGCTAAAGAACATCCAAGAGGAGTCAGTTGGTAAAACAACCAAGGTGATTCAAACAAGCTCATTTGGAGAAGCTAATCCAAAAGCTGCTAAATGACACCCACAGGACAATGTTCATAATATTTTCCGATTTATCATTATAAACCAGATAAAACTAAAAGTTTAAGGTTAAATAAGAAAATTGCGTCTGTATCTCCGTCCAAAAATTATTACACATCATCAGATTTTGATCAGAGAAAGGAGGAAATGTTTTTGTTTAATGTAAGTTTCCCTGAAAACCCAACACAGTTCTTCCAATAACTTAAAATGTAATGCTTCTATTGTGGCAGAATTCTGTTGCCTTGGCGATAACGGATTATGCAAGTTAGCATCCTTGGCTAACCTTCTCTGTAGTTCTTTCTCTCTCATATATTTTTCCACTTCCTGCTGCTGGATGTCTGGAAGTCTAAAAGAGTAACACTCATTACCTTGACAGGGAACTTGAGCTGGTTGTACACCTCAGACATTAAAAGATTATGGCTCAGACTTTTCCTCATCTTCATTATCCGAACAATGGCTGCGTCGATCTGGTACTGGCGATCCTGAAAGACCCTCTCCGTGGTGCTGGCTTGCTCCTCCACCTGGAGTGGAACACAATTTAAAGTCCTCTCAGATTAACACCACAAAGATATCATAAATCCTGCTGTGGGGCGGCGTTTTTACCGTCTCTTTCATCTGAATCTGGTTTATTTTGATCCTGAACAGCTTGTGTTTAAAGTCATCGTTGCAAGAAAACTTGTCCCCATCCTCCACATCTTTACTTTTTGGGATTTTGGTGAGGACTCGTGCTTTTCCACATGCAAGCGACTGCAGCGTCCGGCGCAGCTCGCCGTCTTCTGTAAAGCAAGAAACAGCTTTCTAGACAAGCGTTGCTAAATTAAACAGTAATGTTGTCTTACTGAAACCAAATGAGCTGCTGATCAGACTTTAACAGAATAACAAACCGATTCCTGTGGCTAGTTTGATCTCCTCCAGAGTGAACTCCTCTCCTTCGTTAAACATAAGCAGCACAAGGGTTTGAAAAAGGGACACCTGTAGCTCCTTCTTGCCCTATTTAAAAATATCCCAGTTATTATCACGCACTAACGAGAGAACTACACAAACCAAAACCTTCTAAGAAAACCATAACAAACCTCTTTGAATTCAGCTTTTAGGACACAGTGACCCAACGTTGATTGCCACTGTAGCTTCCTGCCACTATGCTTGCCCAGGTAAAAAGTCTTGAATATCTCCTGCAGTCGCACCATCTGGATAAAGATAAGAAAAGGGTAATAAAGAAATCCTCAGTATATTTATAGCATACACACACACACACACACACACACACACACACACACACACAATGTTTTAAAGACATCAATATTTGCTCTTCACTAACCTCGGGCGGCAGGTGGACCTCCATCGGGACATACGTTGGCCAGTAACCCATAGTGAGGATGTTCACGGTCAGCTCGATGTTGCCAGGAATGTTTTGGCACTGAATGTGCTATAGAAAAACACAAACATGTCTTATCCACCTGCACTCCTCTGTACACAATTAAGCTGTTGGTGAGCATTCATCATAGTTTTTGCTTCGTTAGCACGCCTGTGTGTGATTTATTTAGCTTCAGATCATTTACTGATAAACGGATACCAACAGCTGCTGGGTCATCAAGCTAACAGAACACACGTAGGGTTGCAGGTGAGCCTGGAGGTGGGGCTTATATTCAGATAAACAGTTACACAGATACTGATTGAGGTAAAAATGCATCATTATAGCTAAATTATATTATTTGTTTTAAAGTGATAATTCTCAGTGAAAAACTAACAGTTTGTTAGAATTTGTGCAGATTGTTTTGCAAGACATCAGTAGAATTCATTTATTTCTTCTAATATCTGATTAACTAGAAAGTATTTTGTCATTTTGATGTGTTGTGGTGCTAAAGTTAAAAATAAACATCATCTTGTTCATCAAACAGCTTAACGTTTGTAGAAATCCAGTTCACACACTACTGATAAGCCAACACTAAAGCATGTTATTGACATGTTAAAGCAACTTTGACCTCAATAGAGGCATAGCTGCTTATGCAACATTATTTATTAATCCTATGAAATCCTTCTGTTTTTTTGTTACAGGATTGTTTACATTAGATTGTATATTACCAGCAGCAACTACTAACTGTTAGCTTATCAGTCCTGTCACATATAACAGGAAGCCATTTATTACAGATAATTTTTTAAATAACTTTTATACACACAAAATAATCAACATATTGGGCAAAATATCCCCTTAAACTACAATTAAAGCTGAATGTGGGGGAACAAAGTGTTGTGCTATTAGCATAACATACCGCTTTGCCCAGAAAGGAATGGCCCCGAAGCAAAAAAGGTAAAAATTCTAATTGTCAGAGTTGTTGAACAAGTTTTCTGCCCGTGTAGTTTTGCTGTTTCACTATATTCATATTTGTGCAAATTTAGCATGTTGGATGGATCAATGGCTTCCTATCCTCTCTTGTTTCTGTGGTTAATTTCACTAGAAGAGACTTTTAGCTCAGGCAGTAATGGAAAGTGTGCAGCTGAGAAGAGCTGTTACATCAAAACAGAGAACAGCTTTATGGATTCTAATCAACAGCAAACTCTAGGTGGACATGGTTGGGTCTACAGCTCATTACAGAGTACAGGACAACCATCAGCCACACAGACAGTCTGATTGATCATCTGAAACGTGCTTTCTGACCTCCAACCACGGCATAGAGAAGATGGCCTCAAGTGTTTTTTAAAAAAAATTCTTTTTTCACCAAAAAGGCTCCAAAGTACTAATCCACCAAGAGTGTAGTCTGGGTTGATGCATAAAAAGATCATGTCATGGTCCATTTGTTTGAACATGTTTTCTTTTTGTGTGTTTTAGGTGTGTCTGGAATTCAGCAGAGTGGTTGGTAAGAGCCTGAGAAAAGAGTCCTATGAGGCCCTTGACCACCTATGGCCCAGGCTTATGGAAATCTTTAAGGCAAAGAGGGGTCTTACAGGGCAGGTGTTGGCTGACCTGATGCGACAAACAAAGGTTAGTAGATTTTTAATTCATTAATTATATCTAAAAATGCTGTTGCCTGTTTGAGATTGAAAGATACCTTGTCAGATTAAAATGTAACAGGAATGTCAGGTATGCTGCTTGTAGATGCTTTCTTTATCTCTGATTAGCATATGTGTAATAGACTTGAATTGGCTATTTTCTAAGAGTAGTTGCTAAACATTACTTGACCAGGTTTTGCCTGTTGATTTGTAAAATATTCGTATAGATAACTACCTGTAAAAATAATGTCAAACACTGGTTATGATTTAACAGGTGGGTTGCAGTACATATACACTAAAACCCCTAAAAACATCTTTAAAAAGATCCTAAATTTTTGGTGGTCCAACCTAGAAAAACCCTGATAAGTGGTTGGACTTTTTTTTATGTGCAAAGAACATAGTTCTTAGAATGAGATATGGACCCTGTTCTAAATTAGTGAAATTCTTTCTCATTCCACCAGGCTTCGGATGTGATAGAGGTTAGATCCCTGGTCCTCAGGGGGCTTCCAGTCATTCTCGGTGATGATCCATCTGCCTTCTTCAAGGCCTGCTTTGTAAGGAACTTACTTTTTTACCTATCGTCACGCCATTCCCGCGTTACACGTTTAATATTTTATCCTCATTCCCCCCTATGTCCCTTCTGCTCTCTCTGCCTTGCTGTCTAGCTCCCATTCTCGCTCTCTACAATTTTGGGTTAGAATGACTTTTTTCTGTTATTGTCATTAATTAACTCTTTAGGTGCTACAGTTGCTTAAGAAAATATTATTCATTCAAAATAATATTCATTAAATACGTTTTCATATCATTATATGTAACAGGTTGAATGTGGTTAGTTAAAGGCATACTGTAAATTTGAAAAATCATTATTACTCAAAGTTTGAAATCGGAGGAAATTTACATTTCTAATTGGTATTTAGTGAGGCTATCGGTTTGCAGTCAAACAGTCAGTTAATTCGAGGGAATTGAAAATTAGCCATTTTTCCATGAGAAATTGGTCTTATCCACCAATCTATTTTATTAAGTACTTGAAAACCCAGTTATAATGTGAAAGCCAAATGAAATGGAATATTTTTTGGACAATTGTGTCATAACAGGTATCCGCTTTTTTCTTTTATTTTATATATTTTTTAAACAAAATTAGAGAAATGAAAGTCTGGAAGAAGAAATGTGATTTAGTAGTTCAAACAGCAATGCTTATGTTCATTTATATTTGAGGAAACTACCTCAAGTTTGGTGAGTATTCATAACGATGTTCTCAATAAAAATTAAAACATTGAAGTGATTGGCTGTCAGTTATAAAATAAATGGAATAGACCAAAAAATCGATATTGACAGGTAAGGTTGTCTGAAGATCTGTGATCAGCCAGAAAACTGCAATCGGTGCATCCCTACCTGTCACCATTAGCTTTGTTTTGACCACCCCTGTTAGCCCTATCATGTACCTTCCTTCCCACCCTGGATGTGGTGAAACAAAGTATTGGGCATAATATGTGCTTCTTGGTGACTGTCGAGGCGAGTTGGACTCTGCGCCCAAAAAAGCACTTCACTTTGTTGTTTCTTGGACAACTGAATTGGGATTATTTCTCTTTAGACTCTGAGTCGCCTATTATTTTTAAGACCCACTCCAATGAAAATCTTTTTTTCCTGTTTCTAACATATTTTTTTTGCATTTTTATTTTTTTCTATATTACATATGTCAAGAAAATTAAGTTCAAAATTGCATTTGAGTATTTCTGCATTCAAATTGCAGGGAATCTGTAGCAGACCAAAAAAGTAAGTAAACTTTAAGTAGACTGAACTTATTGGGGTTTACATTGTACCTGAGAAGTTGAGTTAACTAAAAGGATGGTGGGGCATTGGTTAAACTAATTATCTTAAGTTAATGTAACTTTTGTTATTAGTATATTCAACTTAAATCTTTAATTTAATCCCATTAAGGCCTTAAGTACATTGAACATACTCAGCTGCATCAATTCAACAAATTCTTCATTACTTAAAAAATTTAAGGCAACGGGTTACCTTGGTTTTTTTAAGTAGACTGAACTTATCGGGGTTTACAGTGTGGCAATAACTATAAATGACATTATTATAGAAAGAGTGTACGAAAATACATTTCTGGGTGTAATCCTTGACCACAAATTATGTTGGAAACCTCGCATAAAATATGTTAAAGGAAAGGTAGCACAGAGTATTGGAGTGTTGCGGAAGGTAAGACATTTTGTGATTCAAAAAGGCGTTGTATACACTGTACTGCACACTGATAGTACCATACCTAACTTATTGTGTTGAAGTGTGGAGAAACATCTATAAAACCACCCTATATGCACTTTGTACGTTAAAAAAACGAGCCATAAGGTTGGTCAGTCATGTGGGATATAATGAACACACAAATAGCTTGTTTATAAAATTACAAACTTTAAAGTTAAAAGATTTGATTGAATTTAGGACTGCATTATTTATGTACAAAGTAAATAAAAAAAAATGCTGCCTGAAAATATTAAAAAACTGTTTGCAGAAAGACAAGGTAGATATAAGTTGAGAAGCTAATTAAATTTGAAGCAGCATTATGCTCGAACAAAATTGAAAAGTATGTGTATTTCAATTAGTGTGGTTATTTTATGGAATAGTCTTGAGGAAAGAATCAAAAAAGTTTAAACATGCTGCAATTTAAGAAATTATATAAAGAATTCATTTTTTCCAGATATAGAGGATCACTAATTTGTATAATGTACTGTAGTGATAATATGTATTAACGTTATTGTAATTGATGTTGATACTTTTGAGTTGTTGGGGTCTAGGGGTCCTCCCTAGATTTGTTTCAGGGATGCAGAATTTCATCTATCAGCTAATAAATGATTTATGACTCTGAACAGGTGTCGTCAAAAACATGATGTTCTAAAAAACATAGAATCTATGTTTAGAATATAAATTCACCTTTAATTTACCCCAAACCCAAGTCATCAGGACGAGGGCTGAAAAACCATCCAACCATAGAAGAAGCCTGCTTTGTCTTTAACATACATTGCATGTATTGGGTCATGAAGGCTGTCAGGCTGATCAGGAGGGAGGCGCAGATGTACAGATGGTATGTTGTCTGTGTTCTATAACAGGACTTGGAAACCCTAAACGGTGCATGAAACCAGTGGCGGTTTCACCATTAGGCATACGTCGGCGGCCGCCTAGGGCCCCCTTGTGTTGGGGGGCCCCCTAGCCCTGACCGCCGACACCCCTCTGTTAATGCCACAATATTCTTATTACCAACCTGTCAACGCCGACGGGATTGGACATGCGCATTTCTCATTACCATAATTCCTGAACCGTTCCAAGATATCATTAAAGGGACTTTAGGGAGTTTTGAATTTTTATGCTCGCGATTGCCCCCTCTGGCCAAAAGCGTAACAACAGCTTCAATAGGAGGCTCGTGCACGAGGCGCGCATGCTGTACGTGTACACTCTTTAACGAAAATAACAGCTGAGACGAAGCTCTGTGAAGCTGACCCCCGTCAGCTTCACAGAGCTCTGAGAGCTGACAGTCCCGCGTGTGTGTGTGTGTGTGTGTGTGTGTGTGTGTGTGTGTGTGTGTGTGTGTGTGTGTGTGTGTGTGTGTGTGTGGGTGGGTGGCCCGGAGGACAGAGGACAGGAGAACACGCATGCTCAGATAATTCCATTCCCTTACTTGAAAATTGTTCCAAAATGAAAGTTGAAGCCACATCTTTTTTATGTTTGAATTCAATGCCGTTCGGCGAGTCTCAAATAAAAATTTGGGCATCTTACTGTAAAAAATATATATAATTATTGTAAAAACGAAATTCTGAAACAACTATGTTCACATCAAGAATCAAACCCGGGTCTTCTGCACAAAAGCCCGACACTTTACTAGGCGAGCGAAATCGCCAATGGCATCTTTTTCATCTGTAACATTTATATCCTTGATGACAGCTGAAACAACGTTCAAAGAACGGTTCGGAGGGCTATGCCTGAGTGTGAACGCGCATGAAGCAGCCTGCGCGACCCGAGCAGCTCTCTTTTTCTGCGATTTTACAGAAAAATAGGCAATCACAATAAACATGCCAGGGCTCATTCTACAGGACCAGGGCATTGCAGGAGAATGTATTAAGAAGAAATTTATTATTTCTATACATGTTTTGGCTGTCAAACTTCCATAATGCCCCTTTAAATTTCAAAAAGTGTTGAAAAGATTAAAAATGGGGCTTTTCGTGAATATACAATGCATTACGGTGGCCAACGGCATTCCCTGCCTTGAGCACAACGAATCACAACACAGATTCAGAGACGTGCGGAGTTTTTCATCCAAAATGCTCCGTTTTATAACTATTCAATGGCTGATCAGATTCAACAAATTCCAACGGTTCCTAAAAGTACATAAAAGCAGCTTTCCAATGATCTATAGCATGAAGCAATCAGAGTTATGGAAAATATCGCTACAAGGGGAAATCCTGCTGTACAGCCTGATTGAAAAGGAGCACAGCTCAGTGGTGAAAGTGGATAACGGAACGGGGACGCTAATTAGCATAAAAAGCCAGCATGAAATTATGGAAATGCCTCAAAGAAACACAACACGATCTATTAGGTGTCCCAGAAGGCTTATATCTGAAGACAGTGACCACGAAGGACAGATCTCCTGTGAACCAGGGTATGAATGTTTGCTCAGTCTTTATTTTTTATTTTTTTATTTGAACAACCCTCAACTATTTGCTAATTGTAAGATTCAGCTTCATTCTAGCATTATTTATATTTTTACAATAAATAATTATTTTTGCTAAAACAAAAGTTTTTGGTATAGCAGTGTACGGTGTGCAAGAGAAGCACCCCATGGCAGTGTGAGGTGCGCAGGACTCTGCCTGCAGCTGGAGAGAAACTGCTTCAAGGTCTACCACATCAAATAAAAACGTCTGAAAGTTTACAAAAATAAATGGTCTTAAAACTGCTAAAAAAAAGATACCAAGGTTCAAACTTTTTTAAGAATACAGTAGATGCATTACAGTTCAAAGTTTAAAGTGTTCATTCCAAATTGTTTGCCCAGTAATTTTGAAGTTCCTGTTCAGTAATAAATGTAAAAAATTCTAATCATTTTTTGCTTTTTTCACCTTTAAGCTGATTTTTTAAAGGCTTCAATACAAATAAATTCTAAATACAAACCATACACTGAAAGCTGAGGTTGTTCTGAAAAAAGGAGAAGAGTTACACACACTTTGCACTTTTTATTACAATTTTAAAGCCATAAGATTAAAAAAATACCAGGCGGCCCTTTTATAATTATGGTCATAAGAGGGTTATTAAGACACTGATGCACAAACAGGAAGTGATTGGTAGTCATTCCACTCCAATCCAGTTGGTGGCGGTAATGCACCAAATTGTTGTTTGCCAAGTGCCATAAGACCACAAATAATAAGAAGAAGAGAGGCGGGAGCGTTCGTAACAAACTCAAAGCGATAGTCAAAACATTAAGCATGAAACTGAGATATCCTAGTGGCTCCAATAAGAGAAAGAAGCAGCATGCTTCATGAAAGATTTTATTTTCACTTCTGAAAGTGACTTCGTTTTTCGATGTAAACATCAAAAGGAAGCAGAAAGGAAAGACAATGGAAAATGTTTAAAGGGAGGAAAACACAGACCAAAATGGAAAATAGAAAAAAAAAACAAAGGCAAAAGCACAGGAGCACTGACAGGAAAAAGAAAGCAGAGCAAATATTGAAAGCACTCAAAGGGAGGGAAATACAGGAAAAAAGAGGAGGACTAATAAAAAGGGAAAATAACTCATGTCAGAAAAAATAACTCATGTCAGAAGAGCGGAGAGTTTCGCAAATCCAGTTAAAGGTAAGATTGTCGAAAATTTTGTGTAAGGGGCCCCATGTCTGTGTTCGCCTTGAACCCCCAAATTGCTAAATCCGCCACTGCATGAAACAACCGTCATCTGGTGCCAGAAAAACAGAACAATCTCTAAGTACTCATTAAAATACATTTAAGACCCTCTACCTGTGCCAGGGTGGTGATTACGCACATTTACTAAGAAATCACAATGTAACTATAGAAACATTACTTGGTATGTATAGGAAACTTTTTACTGATTGGCTTAATGAACTGGGGCCTCATTTATCAAGCTTGCTTACACACAAAACGGGGTTGGAAAACTGCGTGAGCAACTTTCCACGCAAACTTTAGGATTTATGACAGAAAACATAGCAGAAAAATGTGCGCAACTTTAAGCTGACCAAGGACCTGGCTTATGCACATAATGGACATGGGCAGCACCTGCAGTGCTACTGCTGAGAAGATACAATTATGAAATCCAGCAGCATTATCTCTTTTACCACTTCGTTTTCACACAGACAAGACCCCCCCCCCCCCCGCACACACACACACATGCACGCGCACACTCACACACACATGCACACACACACAGCCTGAAGCGCAGAATACGGAATGCAGAAAATCAGCAGGGGGGCAGATTGAGACAGAATGTCATGCGTCTGTGACAGTGCGTGTCCTGTCACTGTGACCCGATTGATCATGCGCCCTGGCTAGTTGAACAGGGGAGATCTCTGTTTGGCTGACTGGTTGGCGAGTGTGACTTTCACTTGGGAGTCTGGGGATCGAATCCTGATTGGACCATTTTTTTTTATATCCGCCACAGATCTCTCTGAAGAATTCACAACATTGACGGCTTCAGCAACACTGTGCCACTCTGTGGATTTTCTTTTATTTGTTATGCAAAAGCACTTCCTTTCATTTCTCCACCTCACCCACAAGTACCTCAATTTCTGCTTCTGTGAAATTGCGCTTCCTTGATCTGCCTTGATCTACGGTCGCCATCGTCATTGGCGGAACGCTGCAACAGGCGGCTTATGTATATGCATGAGATCCACAAGGCACTTTGCATTGACTATTTATGGCAGTAAGTGGGCGTGGTGAGGGCAGGATGTGACTAAAATGCAGCTGAGAAACATTCTCGGTAGTCTCTGATTTATGAAGCGGAGATTGCGTGCAGCTGTGCGTACTCCATGTTTGATAGATCACAAACCTACTTGGGGTAAGTACTTTTTTTTTGCTGAGCTTAAGTACGGTTTTAGTAAGGATTCTACGCAATGTTTGACAAATGAGACCCCTGACCTGTATTGGAATGTTTACTGTGTGAAGTGCCTTGAGACGACTCTTGTCGTGATTTGGTGCTTTATAAATAAACTTGAATTGAACTGAATTGCTGATGGGAAAATCAGCCACAGCTGAGACTCTCCGACACACCCACCTGCAACAAGCTCAGTGGAGAAAAACATGAGGAGTCCATGTAGAGAAATACAGATCCATGACAGAACTGTGACAATGATCTTTAAAACCTATTAAATTAACTGGATTGATGTGAGATGTTTGATAGGAAGTATATTTTCATCGTGTTTAAACCCTCTGGAGGCAGGAGTTGCAGATTTGCAACGTTTAAGCCTACGTACCTGGTTACTCCACATACGTGTTTCGTGAGCATTTTTAACTCAGAAGTACCCCTGAAGGACTTAGTTGTTCGTCCTTTTATCAAAACATTTTGAGCCTGAGAGGGTTAAATGTCCTAGCGGGGAATTGCTTTGGAACACTCCCCAGGAGACGGAGAAGTCTGAGGGCAAATTGTCTCCGTCCGTGCGAGCGTGCCTCTCCCTCGTGGCGATGACGGAGAAGTTTAAATTAGGCTTAACGTGTCAGGATTTTAGGATTTGGGGTTGGGGGTGAACTGGAGCACCCAGAGAAAACCCCCACGCAGCACACGGAGACACAGAAATGATTGGATCGGTTGAGATGTCAGTTGTGCTGCGTTTTTTTTTGTGGTAATTTTTTCGTTTGTATTTTAGTACATGGTGGTGGAAGAAGCTACATCCTAGACACATAGTGTAAAAATTCTCTAATGTAGTGGCATTTTAAATCAAGAGCCAACCCATCTAAGGTATTGACTCTTATGGGCCATTCCCATCTGTACCTGGTCGGCCCTGCTTGGATAGCTCCAGTCGGCCCCACTTATTTTGAGGGTTAAATGTCCTAGCGGGGAATTGCTTTGCAACACTCCCCAGGAGACGGAGAAGTCTGAGGGCAAATTGTCTCCGTCCGTGCGAGCGTCCCTCTCCCTCGTGGCGATAACGGAGAAGTATAAATTAGGCTTAACGTGTCAGGATTTTAGGATTTGGGGTTGGGGGTGAAATGGAGCACCCAGAGACAACCCCCACGCAGCACACGGAGACACAGAAATGATTTGATCGGTTGAGATGTCACCTGTGCTGCATTTTCTTGGTTTTTTTTTTTCGTTTGTATTTTAGTACCTGGTGGTGGAAGAAGCTACATCCTAGACACATAGTGTAAAAATTATCTAATGTAGTGGCATTTTAAATCAAGAGCCAACCCATCTAAGGTATTGACTCTTATGGGCCATTCCCATCTGTACCTGGTCGGCCCTGCTCGGATAGCTCCAGTCGGCCCCACTTATTTTGAGCCTGAGAGGGTTAAATGTCCTAGCGGGGAATTGCTTTGCAACACTCCCCAGGAGACGGAGAAGTCTGAGGGCAAATTGTCTCCGTCCGTGCGAGCGTGCCTCTCCCTCGTGGCGATGACGGAGAAGTAAAAATTAGGCTTAACGTGTCAGGATTTTAGGATTTGGGGTTGGGGGTGAACTGGAGCACCCAGAGAAAACCCCCACGCAGCACACGGAGACACAGATATGATTTGATCGGTTGAGATGTCACCTGTGCTGCGTTTTTTTTCTTCGTTTGTATTTTAGTACCTGTTGGTGGAAGAAGCTACATCCTAGACACATAGTGTAAAACCTCTCTAATGTAGTGGCATTTTAAATCAATAGCCAACCCACCTAAGGTATTGACTCTTAGTCTACGGAAACTAGAAGTTCTGATAAGCGTAATTGTTAGAGCTAAAATCTTTAACCCATTCCCATTTCCTCCTGCAGAAGCTCTTGAAGAAATACAGGTTAATTTTCTGCTCTTCTAAACTTTGAGCCTTTGTTTAACCTCTCGTGTTACTGTGTGTTACTACTTACTAACTTTAGATTGGCTGCTCGTATTATTTCCTCTGCCTGCAATCCTGTTCCTGCAGGTTTGCAGCATCTACTCTCTCACCCATTCAGTTTCTTCTCTCTGAAAATTTTACGTTTTCCTGATTCAAATTCTCTGTTTCCTAGTTTTAAAAAATCTAAACCCATGCCAAGCTCCCTACTTCACTTTTATATGGTTTTCTGATCTTCATTGGTGTTCTGGAAGAAGACGTCTCTAGTAGAAGTCGGATTAGTCCCAGCGGGATCCTAGGCCAGATGTAGAAGGCGTTGGCTCTTCAGCCTCCCATTCTTCTTCAGCGCTCCCATGGGCAGGCCCGGGGTTCTCTGGAAGCTCGTCGTTATCATCATGAAGACTGGGAACAGTTGGGTTCCCGTCACTGGGTACCTGGGTAGTCACTGTTTTTTCTAAATTCAGTTCCCCCAGATCTTCAGACACAGCTGTGGGACTGTCTGACTCGTCCTCCACAGGTGGCTGCTCGTCTTCGACGTTTAAAGATGCTTTCTGCATTTCTTCACTTAGTTCAATCGTTTGTGTTTCATCATTATGAGGACATACTGCGTAGCCAGGGCCCCTGTATCGGGTACCAAGTAACAAGTGCCCTCTAACCCATTGCTGGGTACCAAGGTACTGGGTACCTAACAGGTATCCAGTTCCCAAGACATGGTCAGCCAGAGTTTGCGCCTCCTGATGAATCTGGGCTGAATCTTTTTCGTTCTCTTGAGAGTCCATCTTCTGTTCTTCTAAACTCTGATTCCCAGCTTCTAAATACTGGAACTCATCTAGGAAGCATTCATACTTTTCTTTATGCTCCTCTTCTGAATTTGTCGTTGTTTCTTCCAAACTCAGTCCCCTGAGATCATCATCATCATCATGAGGACTGTGAAGAGTTGGGTTCCCGTCACTGGGTACCTGGGTAGTCACAGTTTTTTCTAAATTCAGTTCCCCCAGATCTTCAGACACAGCTGTGGGACTGTCTGACTCATCCTCCACAGGTGGCTGCTCGTCTTCGACACTTAAAGATGCTGCTTCCAGCTCCTGCCCAATCTGATCTAAATGCCTCTCTTCCTCTTGAAGAAGCTGGAAACATTGTCCAATATGTCTGTAAATTTCGTCCATTCTCGCTTCAAAAGAATTAATTTCCTCTTGAGTCAAAAGTTCAACCCCTTCTTCCAGAGCTTGTTTCTCCTTTAAAAGGTGAGTTTCTGCTTCCTTTTTTTCCATAAACTCTAGTTTCTCTTCCTCCAGGTTTTGTGGGAGCGTTACTAAACAGTCTCTCTCTTCCTGAAGAACCCGTTGAATGTCTTGAATGACCTGCTCTGAGTTTATGTTTCTCTCTTCAGAGTCCGTCATCTGTTTGATGAGAGTTTGTTGCCTAATTTGGAATATTTCCAGCTCTTTTGCCTGTATTTCCTTATTCCCCTCTTCCCATCTGAACTTTGTTAACTGGAAATTTGTCTTTTCTTCCTCCAGAGTTTCTCTCTGAAGTCTCAGACCCTCCAGCCCTTCTTCTAAAGCAATTTCCTTCTCTTTTAAGATCTTACATGCTGCAGCAATTTCTTCCCTAAAGTCCGTCACTTGTGTTTCCAGACTTTGTTTTCCCAAATGCAAATTTTCTAATTCTTCCTGGAGTAATTTGTAAATCCTCCCTTGTTCCTTCTCTGATTCTGACTTAGTTATCAGGAAACGTTGTTTCTCTTCCTCCAGGCTTTGTCGGAGCGTTACTAAACAGTCTCTCTCTTCCTGAAGAACCCATTGAATGTCTTGAATGACCTGCTCTGAGTTTATGTTTCTCTCTTCAGAGTCCGTCATCTGTTTGATGAGAGTTTGTTGCCTAATTTGGAATATTTCCAGCTCTTTTGCCTGTATTTCCTTATTCCCCTCTTCCGATCTGAACTTTGTTAACTGGAAATTTGTCTTTTCTTCCTCCAGAGTTTCTCTCTGAAGTCTCAGACCCTCCAGCCCTTCTTCTAAAGCAGTTTCCTTCTCTTTTAAGATCTTACCTGCTGCAGCAATTTCTTCCCTAAAGTCCGTCACTTGTGTTTCCAGACTTTGTTTTCCCAAATGCAAATTTTCTAATTCTTCCTGGAGTAATTTGTAAATCCTCCCTTGTTCCTTCTCTGATTCTGACTTAGTTATCAGGAAACGTTGTTTCTCTTCCTCCAGGTTTTGTCGGAGCGTTACTAAACAGTCTCTCTCTTCCTGAAGAACCCGTCGAATGTCTTGAATGATCTGCTCTGAATTTACGTCTCTCTGTTCAGACTCCATCATCCGTTTGTCTAGACTCTGTTGCCCAACTCGTAATTTTTTCAGCTCTTGTTGGAGGTAAGCCTGTATTCCCTTATTCTCCTCTTCCGATCTGAACTTTGTTAACTGGAAATTTGTCTTTTCTTCCCCCAGAGTTTCTCTCTGAAGTCTCAGACCCTCCAGCCCTTCTTCTAGAGCAGTTTCCTTCTCTTTTAAGATCTTACCTGCTGCAGCAATTTCTTCCCTAAAGTCCATCACTTGTGTTTCCAGACTTTGTTTTCCCAAATGCAAATTGTCTAATTCTTCCTCAAGGATTTTGTAAATCCTCCCTTGTTCCTTCTCTGATTCTGACTTGGTCATCAGGAAATGTTGTTTTTCTTCCTCCAGACTTCTCTTCTCAAGACTCAGAAATTCCAGCTTCTCCTTCAAATCCTGTAAACTTTCGTTGAAATCTTTCTGGAACCCTTCTGCTGTTTTCATAAACTCCAATTTGTCCTCCTGCAGATTTTCTCTCAGAAGTTGAACTTCTAGTTTGTCTTTGAGCAGAATCTGTCTGATCTGCTCCGATTCAGTCTGAAACTCAACGATCTGGTTCTGTAGAGTAATTTTCCCAGCGTTTAAACGCTCCTTCTCATCGTGGAGAGTCTGCTTTTCTGCAGTTAACTCCCTTTCTGTTTGTTCCTTAGATTCGATAAACTCTAATTTCTGTCTTTCCAGATCTCTTTTCAAGTTATTAATTTCTTCTCTTGATCTCTCTTTGCTTACCTGTAAAGCTTTCCATAAATCTCCGACTTTCTCTTGTGTCTTGTTCAAGTTTTTGGCCATCTCACAATTTGCAATTTGAGTTTCTTTAATCTTATTCCACTCATCTTGAATTTCTTGTCTTTGTTTCTGCAGTTCCCTGTTTTCCAGCTCAATCTTTACTCTGTGTTCGTCGAGTAACTGAGTTGAAACAAAATGATCTCTTCCTTTCTGAGAGTTCGTCTTTAGTTCATCAACATGATTTGTTAGTTTCTTTTGTTGATCCTCAAAGTGGCATTCTCTTTTCTCCAGATACTGCATTTTTGTTTCCAATTTCTGTCTTTCCTCTTGGAGACTTTCCCTGATGCGAGCTATGTTTTTCTCAAACGCATCCACCCTTTGTTCAAAGTCGCGTTCCTGGTTACCAAAAACTAGTTTTTTGACTTCCAGATCTCGTAATTCTCTTTGTAAAAGCTCATTCCTTTGGTCTAATTCAGCTTTATAAATGTCTGAAAATACCTCCATGTTTCCCTCGTGTGGTCCACCAGTAGCCATTGTAGGTCTGTTCAGGTCTAAAACCAGGCTGCAAATGAAGCTGTGCCTGCTTTATGTTTGCCCTTTATATAGGACTGCACTCTCCTTTATGACATCATCAAAGGAAGCTGATGCTGGCAGATTCCGTTCTCCTGACCATTATTATCATTATTTTTGTTTTCCCCCCCAGAACTGCGCTGCTCTGGGCGGCTGCATGTTGGAGTAGCTCTGTTGACTATATGTAAGTTTAGCCTTTTCTTGGACATTTTTTCTTCTAGTTTCTCAAGAAAAACTGTATTTTTTGGACACTTTACTTTTCTGTTTCTGGTGCTGTGAAACTTGGAGGATTTTTACTGCTATTTTTTAGCTTTTTTCACTTTTTGAACATTTGTTATGATACGTAACCATGGCAACAAGCTGGTTTAACATCGGGAGCAGCTGATTAACATTGGAAAGGCTGAAATAATACCTCAACTGAAGCCACAAATCCCAAATGAGCTAAAACGTAAAAAGCGTGGATGCAGAGCGGGAGCAAAACGGAGACAGAGAAAGAGGAAATTCAAACCATCTCTTCCATTGATCATAATGGGCAATGTGAGATCACTGGCCAACAAGATGGAGGAACTCCAAGCCCTTTCAAGGACTCAGCCAGAGTTTCGGCAGTTTCGGAACCACTGGAGGAGATAATGCAAAGGAGGATTCTCCAGAGAATCAAGAAAATTATGGACAACCCTGAGCATTCTCTTCACAAGACTGTCCGGCAACGGAAGAGTGTCTTCAGTCAGAGGCTTCTTCAGTTTCGCTGCAACACTGACCGCTACTGGAGATCCTTCCTGCCAACAGCCATTGTAATATACAATAACTCTTTGATGACTTGATTATTATTATTATTATTCTGAGCTACTACAGCAATCAATTTCCCTCTGGGATAAATAAATAATTTTTTTAATTGAATTGAATCTTTTTTTCTTTGTTGTTATAGTTCTGATTACAATTAAATATGCCCCCTGGTGACCTGTTGATGTTGTGGTGTTGTGGTCCTTATGCCTGATGCTTTGTACCATCAACAGAACATTTATCGTATGGATGTTTGTGCATATTTAATACATCTGATTCCTAGTTGTGTTGTAGAAGATCCTCCAGGTCTGGGTCAGTTAGACACTGGGACATTTACAAAATAACACTGATTATTATTTAAAAATATATACAATATTTTAGTCATATTCTTTGTTTTTGGTTGTCAGCTGAAAAACTCAATTATTTAAAGTATTTTGGCCATAAAATGTTTGAACCATTGCTTTTGTTCTTTTGTGATGAAGTGGAGGAAACTAAGCTGCTTTTTTCTTTATACAAAATGGACCACACACACATTAATTAATGCTGCATTTAGTTTTATTCATTTTAATTAAACAGATTTTCCATAATGTGTTTCATTATTTAAAAATAAGGGGCGTGCGGAAGGCGGTAAAAGAGGCGAAGCAGCGCTCTAGGAGCCTGTGGCGGGGACTGAGGACAATAACGGATTATAAATCACCAACAACCGGTATGATGAACGCGGACGCAACTCTGGCAGACGAGCTGAACACTTTCTATGCTCGCTTCGAGGCTGCAGCTAAGGACTCCAACAACGCTAGCGCTAGCGGCGCTAACGGCTGCAGACAGGAAGATACTGCCAGCACCGGAAACATGCTTGTCATCTCCGAGCATGACGTGAGGAGAGCCTTCAAGGGAGTGAACACCAGGAAAGCAGCAGGACCAGACGGCATCCCAGGTCGTATCCTCAGAGACTGCGCATACCAGCTAGCTCCTGTGTTCACTGAGATATTCAACATCTCTTTATCTCAGTCAGTGATCCCCACATGCTTCAAGGAGTCCATCATTGTTCCTGTCCCGAAGAAACCCCACACTGCTTCTCTCAATGACTATCGCCCCGTAGCCCTCACCTCAGTAGTGATGAAGTGCTTGGAACGCCTGGTCAGAGACTTCATCATTTCTTCCCTACCAGACACACTGGACCCACTACAGTTCGCTTACCGTCCAAATCGTTCTACAGACGATGCCATCTGTCATCTCCTCCACACATCACTCACTCACTTGGACACTAGAAGGGGGAATTATGTTAAAATGCTCTTCATCGACTACAGCTCTGCATTTAATACCATAAAGGTTGGTTTATGCTTGACGCGTCCGCGAGGTCCGCACGGCTCCGCATGGAAAAGTTGCGCCATTTTGCGTCATTTTAACAACCACGCCCCTCCACCGCGTCTCCGTACGGCCCAAGATTTCCGCAACGCACACCTCGGAAAATTTCTAACCACGCGGACGGTCGGACGCGGAAAAACATGGCGGACCGGCACGGCAGAGGTTCGTAAATACAGACATTTGTATGATTGAGCTCTCAGAGATCACCGTGATCAACATGTTGTTAATAATTCTTGGAGAGAAATAGCTCGCACTGTCGGAAAAGACGAGAACGCTGTTAAAAATGCTGAAATACCATGTTGTAAACAGTGATTTCTACTTCTACTATGGTGTAGTGTTGGATGCATGCTGTAGAGCTCCATGCTGCCCCGTTCAGTTTGGGAGAATATTGGCTCACCGCAGAGACGAGCCGCACAAACCATAAACGCTGCGAGTTGTGAAGCGCGTTCCAGCCGCGAGCCGCATCACCGCGCGGAAAGTAAATGCGTCAAGCATAAACCAAGCTTTATTCCCTCCACACTCATCACCAAACTGGAGCACCTGGGACTGAGCTCATCTATGTGCCAGTGAATCTCCAACTTCTTAACTGGCAGACCACAGGCAGTAAGGATGGGCGGACATGTCTCAGCCCCCACCACTCTCAGCACTGGAGCCCCCCAGGGGTGTGTTCTAAGCCCCCTGCTGTACTCTTTGTACACATACGACTGTGTGGCCAGTACCAGCTCCACCACCATCATTAAGTTTGCTGACGATACCGTCGTGGTGGGCCTGATCTCTGACAACAACGAGGCGGCCTACTTAAAGGAGGTCAGGAATCTGGAGACATGGTACAAGAGGAACAACCTCCTTATAAACGTCAGCAAAACGAAGGAGTTGATAGTGGACTTCAGTACAAAGCAGGAGAGGAACTACCAGATCCCCGTCATCAACGAGTGCCCAGTGGAGAGAGTGAGCAGCTTCAATTACCTCGGTGTTCACATCACGCAGGACCTGTCATGGTCCTGTCACATCAACAGACTGTTCTCTCTGTTGAGGTCAGGAAAGTGATTCCGCTCCCTGAAGACCAACACAGAGAGGCTGAGGAGGAGTTTCTTCCCGCAGGTGGTACGATCTTTAAACCACACCACCACATAGTAAGTGTACACACATATGGTTCTCACACACACTGAAAAGTCTGGACTTTGCTTAAGCACAGTTGCACTACAAAGTCACTAAAATGTGTTTTGCACAACTCTGGACATTATATATATATATATTTTTTCATTTCCATTTTTAATACCTGTTCAGCCGCTGTTTTGTATAGATATTTTTATTTCTTTATACATTCTTATACATTTACATACTGTGTATTTTGTTGTACAGTTACTTTATTCTCAACTTCAACTTATATATATATATTATCTTATTCCTTCCCAGCTAAATTTACCTTTTATTCTAATTTGTATTGTATTGTGTATTTTGTTGTAAAGCTTTTCTATTATTAAACTTTAATTCAGATATATTTTACCTTACTCTTTCCCAGTTAAATTTACCCTTCATTTTAATTCGGGGTGAACAGTTTTTTTTATTTTCAACTCTTAGGTCATGAGCAGTTGTGTAAGGCATTTCACTGCATTTCGTACTGTGTATGAATGTGTATGTGACAAATAAAATTTGAATTTGAATTTGAACACACACACACACATCACCTAACACACACACACATCACCTTCCCCCATCAGTCTCACAAATCTTCTAGGACCTGACAGTATTTCTGGGTAGGCCCTCATAACATGTGACAAGAACCTGGCTAACGTCCTCATTTCCATCGCTCCCTTGTTTAAATCCACAAACATGATTCCCCTTCCCAAGAAAGCTCTCGATCTGACTGAATGTCTACAGGCCAGTTGAGCTCACATTCAACAAGAGTTCCAAAGAGTCTGCTGGACCTCATTCAGACACTCTGGAGCCCCTTAAGTACAGGTCCTTCTAAAAAATTTGCATATTGTGACAAAGTTCATTATTTTCTGTAATGTACTGATAAACATTAGACTTTCATATATATTAGATTCATTACACACAACTGAAGTAGTTAAAGCCTTTATTGTTTCTAATACTGGTGATTTTGGCATACAGCTCATGAAAACCCAAAATTCCTATCTCAAAAAATTAGCATATCATTAACCTAATCATCTGAATCAACTAATTAACTCTAAACACCTGCAAAAGATTCCTGAGGCTTTTAAAAACTCCCAGCCTGGTTCATTACTCAAAACTGCAATCATGGGTAAGACTGCCGACCTGACTGCTGCCCAGAAGGCCATCATTGACACCCTCAAGCAAGAGGGTAAGACACAGAAAGAAATTCCTGAATGAATAGATTGTTCCCAGAGGGCTGTATCAAGGCACCTCAGTGGGAAGTCTGTGGCAAGGAAAACATGTGGCAGAAAACGCAGCACAACGAGAAGAGGTGACCGGACCCCGAGGAAGATTGTGGAGAAGGACCGATTCCAGACCCTGGGGGACCTGCGGAAGCAGTGGACTGAGTCTGGAGTAGAAACATCCTGAGCCACTGTGTACAGGCGTGTGCAGGAAATGGACTACAGGTGCCGCGTTTCCCAGGTCAAGCCACTTTTTTATCCAGAAACAGCGGCAGAAGTACCTGACCTGGGCTACAGAAAAGCAGCACTGGACTGTTGCTCAGTGGTCCAAAGTACTTTTTTCAGATGAAATCAAATGTTGCATGTCATTCGGAAATCAAGGTGCCAGAGTCTGGAGGAAGACCGGGCAGAGGGAAATGGCAAAATGCCTGAAGTCCAGTGTCAAGTACCCACAGTCAGTGATGGTCTGGGGTGCCATGTCAGCTGCTGGTGTTGGTCCACTGTGCTTTATCAAGGGCAGGGTCAATGCAGCTAGCTATCAGGAGATTTTGGAGCACTTCATGCATCCATCTGCTGAAAAGCTTTATGGAGATGAAGATTTCATTTTTCAGCACGACCTGGCACCTGCTCACAGTGCCAAAACCACTGGTAAATGGTTCAATGACCATGGTATTACTGTGCTCAACTGGCCTGCCAACTCTCCTGACCTGAACCCCATAGAGAATGAATCTGTGGGATATTGTGAAGAGGAAGTTGAGAGACGCAAGACCCAACACTCTGGATGAGCTTAAGGCTGCTATCGAAGCATCCTGGGCCTCCATAACACCTCAGCAGTGCCACAGGCTGATTGCCTCCATGCCACGCCGCATTGAAGCAGTCATTTCTGCAAAAGGATTCCCGACCAAGTATTGAGTGCATAACTGAACATAATTATTTGAAGGCTGACTTTTTTTGTATTAAAAACACTTTTCTTTTATTGGTCGGATGAAATATGCAATTTTTTGAGATAGGAATTTTGGGTTTTTATGAGCTGTATGCCAAAATCATCAATATTAGAAACAATAAAAGGCTTGAACTACTTCAGTTGTGTGTAATATATCTAATATATATGAAAGTCGTATGTTTATCAGTACATTACAGAAAATAATGAACTTTATCACAATATGCTAATTTTTTGAGAAGGACCTATATGCCTACTGGTCCAACAGACCTCCCTGAGATGTTACTGGCACTGCACTTCCTCAGCCCCATCCTCACACCCCGTTCACCCATGGTTGTGTCAGCTCGTACAAGGATGACATCACACAACACAGCAGGGATAGGACACATCACTGATGGAGACAAAACGGCCCACAAGAGGGAGGTGAGGACCAATCTGGTCTAAAAACAACAAGATGATAGTGGGCATGAAGAGGGAGAGACATCACCAGCCACCGTTCTTAACATGGAGAAAGTGAACAGCTTTAAATATTTGAGAGTTCACATCAACAAGGACCTCTCCTGGTCACTCATCATCACAGAGCTGGTCAAGCGGATCAGCAGCAGCTGTACTTTGGGAGGACGCTAAAAGGTGTTGAGAAGCTTCTACATCACTGATTTTGATCAGCTGCACCACAGTGGGGATGACTGGCATTACACTGTTAAGAGACCCCAATGCCAGCTTTTAGTTTTTGATTGTTTGGGTTTATAGATTTTGCTGTTTGGCTTTCACCCAGGCAGCACATAGAAACGTGTTTCCTTGTTACACATTTGAACAATCGTCTTAAAACTATTGCTCAGTATTTTCAGCTTTCAGATCACTTGTGTTGCAAACAAAACCGTATGACATCCAATAACGTCTGTTTTTAGTTGAAATTGTTGATGAAAGCATGAAAAACCCCAAACAGAAATGAGGAGTTTAAAAGCAGAGCTACAGCTGCTCTGCTTTGTCGTCGTACCTGCTTGAACTGCACCATTATGTCTTTAGAAAGCTCCATGTCCTTGAACATTCCCTCCAGTTTACTGGTGAACGCTGCTCCACATTCTGAGAAAACATTTTACAAAGGTCAGACATCGATGTGCACCTATTGTCCATGTTATGATTGTGTCACTTCTGAGCACTTGTCTATGTTTATTCCATTCAACCCACCATGTTTCAGCTTTGACAACATTGATTTTTCAGCATCCACCGAGGCACTTTTTCCAACCAGCAGCCTCTTGGCCAGATCCTTTTTGTAAAACGCCTCAAAGACATCCTTTCCTGTGAGTGATTACAACACATGGTTACAAGAGAAAAAAATCAAAGCGGAAGAACAAAGAAGCAACAACATGTTAGAAAAGGATACCATAGATAAATCTAAAGATAATCATGATCTTATCCAGCATCTTCTCAAGTTCCTCGTCTGTTGCCTCTTTGTTTCCTGCCCTCAGCTTTGAATCCACATGTTTTGCTGTAAAAGAAAAGTAAAGCAGGTCATCAAGAACATGAATAAAGTCTTATTTGGTGGTAGTAATAACTGAATTGTTGATATTCACCAATAAGTTCTGCTGGTTTATTTGGCCTTTTGTTGATGAACGTCTCAAAAGCTTCCTTCATGGCATTGACAAACTTCTCATTTTTTAAGAAACACACATCGATGATGTGATCCACCTTGTCTTTGAAGTCCAGCAGCTCTTGCACCATTGTTTTGTCTTTTTCCGGGTTGATTACGATTGTGCTTCCAAATGCCTAAAAAACACACACAAAAATGGCAGGAAATTTTTGTTTTAAAAACAGGAATTAACAAAACCACTCCAGAAGCTCAGCCTAACCCACAGTTCAAACCGGGTGCGTCTGCACCGTGCCGCTAGCAATAGGATTGGGTTTTATTTTTGATGCAACATACTTCTGGGACACATCCCACTCTAAACAAGGCTAAACAAGTAAAAAAAAAAAAACCACACACACAGACACATAAAATACACGTTATGTTAATTTCAAAATAAAAGACTATTGCAGAGTTCCTCAACCACGTAATTGTTACGTCTTTACTGGTGACCAAACGAGTCATTAGCTTCCTGCATCTTTTAAGCAAGTTTTTTTGTATGGGTGAGGCTTTTATCCTGGCAGTGGAGAATCACAACATCATTTATGACATCACACATCCGTTTAACAAGGACAACACCAAAAAGGAGAAGGCATGGACCAAAAAAAAAAAATAAAATAAAATAATTATGGGAGCGGACAGTGAGCAAAGTTATTTTAAAGCAACATCATTTCTCCTGTGATCGTGTGAGTCCAGCTACACAGACGGGGTCAGATTTTCTCCAGGTATGAAGTCACGTGCCGTGGAGCTCATAACTAAGCTGTGCTCCCGCCGTAACATGCTGCACACACACGCAGTGTGAACTGTGCTTAACAGTAAATCCTCTCACACCTTTATGTATTCAATCCACTGCTGCAGGAGCACCTGAACGCCACCTCGCACTCGACTGAAGAGTTGATAGAGAAGAGACAGATCCTGAATTCTGTTCTCGTCCAGCAGGTGAGTCAGCCCTGCGAAGTTCCATCAGCACACAATCAGAACCGTCTCCCCGCTACAAACATCCACTACATCATACTCAGGCCACATGTTTATATAGAACAAGCTGTACAGGAGCACCTTTCTGTAGAACAGCAGTGAGATGTTCACCGAGCAGCTGCTTCTCCACTGTAGCAATGAGCGCTTTCCTGGAAGGAAATGAAATCTCAGGTTTCACACGAATCGCCACCTCAGAACAAAAGAAGACCCAAACTCACTGTGTGCTCTGGTCCAGATATGTGATTACTCTGTCAGCCTCCTCTTCCAAGCGTTTGTTGACATGATGGAGATATTCTGGCATCTAGAAAATGGCCAGATTTACACCACAAAGTCATGGATTTCTGGTCTTTGTAAATAAACATTTTATGATAAGCTACTTGCACAAATAGGATAAAAATTAAATACATCTTAGCCTCCTTATACCCAAATTGGTGTGATTTTATTTTTTCTTAGCAAATTCAGATTAGCTGGACCTCATAAGCATGAAAAAAATAATTTGTTCAAAATTAGGAAAAACATTTTTGGGAAACATCCTAAAATGAATAACTACAATAGAACAAATGTAAAGGTTACAATTCAAAGTGAAGTCTCTCTAAATGATAAAAGCGGGTCAAGGTGGAAGAGAATAAAATATTATAGTACAAGAAGTCCTTGTATGAGGCCACAGCATCTCAGGTTATCCCTGAGTTATCGTAATATGTGTTACTATTGTTAGAAACAAATGTCAGGAAAAAAAATGAGAAAATAGAAAAAGGCCTAATAAACTCTTCATCAACTGGGTAGATCAAATACACACCTTTAAAAACACATTTATTGTTCTAAATTACTTAAGCACTCTTACTTCAGTATTCTAAAACTAGTATAAATAGAATTATTTTACCGCTAATCAGTAACAACTTTTGCTTTTGTGTTTGTGGAAGATGGTGTCTTCGGGCATCTGTTTTTGCTCCTTTCAGCAAAAGCTTACAGCTGTGCTTTGTCATAAAGTAGTCCCAAGTCTAAAATGGCACCTATGATTCCTTTAAGTTACTAATTATTTTCACTTGCAGTCAGTCTGATTATTCACGTCACCAAGCAGAATTAGAATCACTGCTGAGTAATGTTTAGGGCTGGGCATCGTTTGATTTTGAACGATTCCGATTCTGATTCCAATTCCTCGTTTCAATTCCGATTCTTTCAAGACATGACTTGCTTTATATGAGACAGCTAACCACAGGTCCTACTTGATGAAATAATCTTAACTCTAACATGAATTTTGATTCTATGAACAATAACATCACCTTTATTTAGACAAAAACATGTTTTGGAGGAAAAAAGATTAAGACTTGCAGCACAGCCAGTGTGTTTGTTTCTGACCACAACCAAAGTCTGGAAGAAGCCTCTGGGATGAGAGGCTAAATGTCTCCAACATGTCCAGAAACGTCCAGCTGTTTTCAGCTAAAACTCTCAGGAGATGTCCAGGATGACTGAGAACTACACCTCCATGCTGCAGCAGCATTCAGTCAGAACAGAAAGTGAAACCTAAATGTGGCTGCTGTCAGCAACAATCTAACAGATCTTAAACATTAAAACTCAACAGAAATAGTTCAAAAAGGAAATTAAAATGTTCACAACTTTTGTGTGTGATTTATTATTATTATTATAATTATTTATTGTGGCAGAAGCTGGTGTGGGCCACCACAGAGAAGCTGCTCTAGCATGATGACTATTCTACAGGTTATTGTTCAGTCTTCTGATGCTCACTCTCACTCACACACACACACACACACACACACACACACACACACACACACACACACACACACACACACACACACACACACACACACACACACACACGAGTGTTGGTGAGCGGCTGCATCTGACTGCTGACGCTCCGTGTGTGCTTTTATTTCTGCAGCGAGACAAACTCACCTCACACCGTCCAGAGTTTGTTCTTTAAAGAAGAAAAAATCATTTCTATAGCGCCTCTCAAGATAAAAATCACGAGGCGCTTCAAAAAAACAAAAAATGTAAAAATATAAAAAAGCATTTAGAAAACTGTTAAAAATATATTTAAAATGAGCAAAAATAGGCAATTGTGATTAAAAAAATGTTAAGAAAGAGAGAGTGAATAGGAAAGAGGGAAATTAGTGGATCCTGAGCAAGGTGGAATAGGTGGGGAGAGCAGAATAAAGAGAGAGTGGTGAAGGTCATACAAAAGCCACTTTGAACAAGTGAGATTTCAGCTGCTTTTTAAAGGAGTCCACTGATCTCAGGCTCAGGGGGAGAGAGTTCCAGAGTCTGGGGGCCACAGCAGCAAATGATCTGTCACCTTTGGTCTTTAGCCTGGTGCTGCACAACCAGTAGGCTTTGGTCACTGGACCTCAGGGACCTGCTGGGGGTGTAGGGACTAAGAAGATCACCAATGTAAGATGGTGCTTGTCCATGTAAGGCCCTATAGACCAGAATCAGGATCTTGAAATGAACCCTGAAGTTGACTTTAAAGCTTCTATTAAATCTACCGTGTTGACGTATTCAAATGTTTCCTTTACGTCGCATTTTGGGCTGCAGGAATTAAAGTTTACATTATGGAGTAAAAGTTCGTCAGACGCGTTTGTTTATATTTGGCCACTGCGCGCCGAGTGGGGGGAGGGGGGACTCGGTGCTGCACACAGACAGCTGGTGTGATCAGCTCTGGAAAGCATTGATCACAATTTGCAGATAGCGTTTATTTTTCACTGAGATTGGCCGCAAATTCCTCTTCCGGTCGGCATTCTAGGAATCGGAAAAACTAACAGTAGGAGCTGGTTCCAATCGATGCTCGATGCCCAACCCTAGTAATGTTAATGACATTTAACACTCAAGGCTAGCTGGTACCACTGACAATAGTTTATGCTAAGCTAAAGCTAAAAGAGTACTGTTGGATCTGGTGAATGACTGGGCAGTTTACAATTGTTTTTTTCCCTACCTATCCAACAATGGGGAATATGGCAACACACATTTTTACTTTGGGTGGAATATCCCTTTAACTAGACAGAGTGCATGCACTTTAGCAACTGTTTATGACCTAAAACTTTTCCAGTTATTCCTGTTTCACCTTTTTAAGGAGTTAAAATAAGCTTCAGAAAAAGTCTACTTTGTGCCGAACATCTTCGGTTTGTTTAATTTAATAAACTGATAATCAAATAAAGCAGAAAAAAACAGATGTAGCTTAAACATATATTTAGTTTTTTAATAGAGAAGAATCCCACTTTCCCTGAAAATAAACACAATAAAGGAGTAGTACTTAGGTCATATAAATCACCTCTCTTTCCTGCATCAGTCTCTGTCCCTCTGCAGCATACAAGCGATTCGTTTCCTCCAAGAAGCGCAGTTCAAAGGAGTCCTGATAAATCTGTGGTGGACAGAAAGAACATAGGTTCCATTAAAACCATTTGTCAACAGGAAGCTGACAGCTCATCACCCCCCTGAGCAGATTATTAACAGCTGTGTTCATGTTCTTTGTGCAGAACAAAACATATACATGATCAGTCCCTTCAGTAATAGAAACAGCACATTTTTACTTTATTACTTGTAAATAATAAACCTGTACCTGAAGGTCAGAGAGCATGCTCAGCAGGCTCCTCAGGAGGCTGCGGTCTATGGCCTCTCCATTTCGCTCCCTCTCGATCAGCAGCAGGATCCCATCTATGGTTTTGCTCTGGACCTTCAGATCGCTGATGATGTAGAACCTGAACAGCTCCAGGCCCATGTCCCTGCAGACCACGGGAACCAGTGAAAAACCACTTCAACAGACACCAGCCGAACATAAGAGCACAAGTGAACACTCACCAGATTGATGGCAGCATTGAATTTTGTAAAACGTAGGTGCGATCCAAAAACAAAAATATACTCCTAATCATAATCTGTGAAATAAAAACACTCTGTTAGGAACAAGCATGATCAACATTATGAAACTATTTTATGAATATTTTTTAATTTCATTAAGAATCGTTTCACTGATTTTATATACAGTACAGATGCAGAATGACTTGTGCTCTAAACACTCAAACGTTTAGGGTCACTTTGAACGTTTTTACATTTTCATTTCACAAAGAACTAAAATTATGATCATTTTTAAACGGGTCCCCCTTTTAGCAGAGAGGCCTGCTGTCAGCCCAATGCACAGATCCCTGACTTGGCTAATAATCCAGAGTAATCATCCAGAGTAATCATTTTAAATAAAACCAATCAAGCCAATTGTTCTCTTGCAATTGTGTTACACAACAGGATGACCTGGAGGTGCCTTGGCGGTGGCAACATAAGAGATTTGTAAAGAATGGAAGGGATTTTGAGGAAAGCAGACTGTGATGTCATCCATACCCTGTGGACAGCGACAGATTAGGACCCATCCTTGGGGCAGCAGCAGCTCAGGTGGTAGAGCGGGTTGCCTCATGATCGAAGGGTCATGGGTTCGATTCCAGCTCCTGCCAGGGGTATTCTGCTGTTGTGTCATTGGGCAAGACACTTCACCCAACTTGCCTGTGTTGGTGGTGGTCAGAGGGGCCGACGGCGCCAAATGGCAGCCTTGCCTCCGTCAGAACGCCCTAAGGCGGCTGTGGCTACATAGTAGCTTACCATCACTGGCAGTGCGTGAATGTAAGAGTTCACGCAAGCGTCTTTGAGTGTCCTAAGAAAGCGCTATATAGGTTCGATTATTATTGTAATTTATTTTAAAACTGGATAAAGACATAAAACAGACTCCCAGAATGTGCCAGCAACATTTAAAAAAACAACAATAAGCCAGAATTCTGCCTGTAATGGGAGTGGCCAGCACAGTCTCTAAATCTGATCCCTGTTGAGCTGATGTGGGGGCAAATTAGTATGAAGGGAAATTCCCATCAAGTCAATCCACTCTGTGAGAGTTGCTCCAGGAAGCATGGGATGAAATGTCGTCAGAATATCTTACAAAACGGACAGCTAGCATATCTGGGGTCTGCCAGGATCGAACAGCCAAGAAACATGTATATATATAAAGCTATATATATATATATATATATATATATATATATATATATACACATACATATATATATATATATATACATATACATATATATACACATACATATATATATATATATATATATATATATATATATATATATATATATACACATATACATATATATATATATATATATATATATACATACATATATATATATATATATATATATATAGCTTTATATATATATATATATAATCTTAATTTCAAACTCTAACCATGTATTAGAGATGTTTCCTATTTAGACTAGTTTAACTAAAGTTTCCATAAAAAAAAATCCAAGTGATCACTAACTTTTATGTTTACTTTAAATCCAGGAAGAATTGCTTCAGCTTCTTTGATTTCTGTTTAAATGTTTGTTTTGGATGAAAATGTATGCAATCAAAATGTTCAACCACTTAAAAAACAACACAAACAAAAGAAAAAACACCTGGGTCTGTGTTAGATTATTTTTTTTGCCCTGTAAGAAGGTCCATCTTTTCCTAGTGTTCCAGCTACATTCCTATCCTTCAAAAATCCCTAGAAGTTCTTACTGCAACTCTAAACAGACACCATGATTTGGATCAAATAAAACCAACATCTTGAAGAACGAAATAAGCAGGTTGTAAAAGATTTTCAGTCGTTTTATTACCAACAAAAGCAGCAGCATCAGGTCAGGAGCTCCAACCGGAGCATCGTCTTGGCTCAATCTGACATTTAAATGGTGCAGCAGGGTCAGACTGTCACAGCCAGCTGTTACTGTGATGTCCAAATGCCCCAAAGGGGAAAATCTGGAGCTAACAAATCACGACCTGAGCTGTGCCGTGTGCAGCGGTGCAAACAAGTGCCAATTCAAGTTGTTGACTGAACACACACACACACACACACACACACACACACACACACACACACACACACACACACACACACACACACACACACACGCCAATACTGATGAGTTTTTCGTCCTAGCCAAGAAGAAATTTGAGCGTTTGTTTTGACAGATTAGAGATCCACAGAAAAACAAATGCATGCTGCTGCACCTTCAGCCAACAAAACTGTAGAATGTTTGCTGAGATTTAATTATCATCTTTAATCCTTGATCAGCTGGTGTCATAATGATTCCCAACTATGAAGTCAGTGCGACGGTTATTTACACAGGAAACCCCAACTTACAGCATGCTGTTATTAAGGTGATAGCACTTACCATTTGTCTGCAGTGATCTTGCCAGCACTTGTCAATTTTCTTTAGGAAAAGCACGCTATCCAGGGCATCCGTAAGAACAGGGTTAAGGGAAAAGTGCACTTTAAGTCAGGGAGCCTGGATTGTTTAGTAACAAACTCAGTGTAAAGGATATTCTCTGAACTGATTGATCTGTGCCTTGATGTGGTCCTCACACACGGCCCTCAGCTGTTTGTAAAGTTTGGCGGATATCTTGTGGGAGCAGAGGTTTTCCACGGCCTGAGAAGACAGACGGGAAAAAGGGTTTCAACTACATCTAGAGCGCCAATTCCTGTCCGGCATAAGCAGGGTAGGTGTGCTACCTGGTAGAGCTCCTCTAGATTGTACTTGATTGATGTGCTGTTCTGTATCGCCTCCACCGCCTCTTTTAGCTTTTGCCAGGTCTCCTGTGTGTAGTTTTCGGGCAATTTGGGCTTTTCTGTCAGGAAAACAAAAGTATGTTGAGTGGACATGCCTGTTTCACATGACATTAAATGATGGTGCCACTAAGCTACTTGGCTGTAATAGCAGAGTAACAACTAGAAAGTCCTCCTGATGTTGAGTTTTATTTGATTATCTAAAATGTTAAGCCCCTCAATTTTAATATTTTTTTAAACTTTATTTGCTATTTCACTCTTGGTAGTTTATTTGTCTTACTTGGGACAATTGTATGTTCTTTATTTCACAAAATAATATGCGACAGCTTCAAATTTAAGGCAGATATTTGGCACAGATTTTTAGACATTATTTCTTTAACCCAGTGACGGCCCCCTTGCCTTTGTCCACGACAAGCCAGAACCCCCCAGCTCCAACTCCATCCCACATTAAAAGTGATTAATTACACTCATTTAAATGAAATAGATCACAGTTGTATGTTTTTTGTACTTATTCTGTTTGTTTTAAACTGTAGGATGTGTAATTTGGATTTTATACATTTAATGTTGACAATTTTTTAGCAGCCTCAACTTCAGCACAGAAAGACTTGGGAAGACGTCCTGCAGTCTCTCAGACCCTAGGTTGTGAATCAATGCTTTAATGAATAAATATAAAAATAATAATAATGCAGCCAAATTTGTCATGTTCTAATAGGGATAGACCGATGCATTGGTCCGTTGATATTTTGGACCAATATTTACCATTTTTTATGCATCGCATCGGCAGACATACCTCCTTAGTAAAGCCGATTAAAAGTCAGGCACATTCCGGGCAGCCTGGTGCTGCTGCAGAACTTAATTTAAGTTCATATTTATGTTCCTGAATAACATCTGCATAATAAAGGATGTGAAAATTTTGTTTAAACTAAAATGTATTTTTATTCTCCGGTTTTAAATCAGTTAATTGCTTTGTTTGATTCACTTAAGTTAGACGTCTGATTTTAACACTGAGCATCAGAACTGTTGAGTCTCAACTGATGTTATTGACATTTTGAATAAGGTAGAAAACCTCTATGTATCACCAGAAAATCAGCCCAACCAATCTGCAGCAAAAATTGGCTGACAATAACCTCCATATATCAACATCGGTATTGGTACTGGCAATAGAAAAATCCCAATATCGGTAGACCACTACTTTCTCCTAGTAGTTATTTTTGATTTAAGGGACTCTTATCACAGATGTTAATAGAAACAGAACATCTGCCTGATAGTTTTATAGTTAACTAACAACCAATTAAAAAGTAATTTTGGAATGCTAGGCAACATTTGTTTACATAATCTTAATAAAAATATCTAAAGATAATAAACTATATTAGTGACCAATAAAAAGGTTTAAAAACTTGGTAGTCTAAATGAAACGTGCTGTCCAGTGTAAGCATTGGCTTTAGAGCTGGATTTTGTTGCCTGTTCTTTTGTGGACCATCAGTCTGTCTGATACCTCTGAAGTTTTTGATGACTAATTTCTTGGCAGCACCGGGTTTACTGCTGGAGAAGGTGGCGGATCCTGCGGTTTTGGTCAGTCCGTTAGCGTGGTGCCCCACGCCGCCAGCCAGGAACATGGCTTTGCTTTTGTTGTTGGAGCACGAAGCAGCGGCGGCGGCAGCCTCCTCAGCCATTTTCACATCCAGTCCAATGAAATCCACTGAATCCTCAAACCTCAACTTCTTCTGAATGTGCAGCGAAGTGGGGGAGCAAGAGGAGGAGGAATTCAGGGTCTTGGGAGGCGAAGATGAGATTGTGTCACTAGTGTCTTCCCTCTCGGAGCCGTTAATTTTCCTCTTCTTCGTCGATGTGATGTTACCGCTGTCGTTTTTGACATCCGCAGGTTTAGCCTCCTGGGTTGGCGGTGGTGGGGGATTAGGGGAAGATAAACCTGTTGGAAACATGAAAAACGGGAATACTGATTCTTCACAGCCTGTCTTCTGATCCGAAACTTCCAGACTTGTCGGCGGAGGGCGAACGTTCGTCCGGGAGCTTTTGTCTGCCTCTAGCAGGTTTCACTCAGTGTCGCTAACCCAAATAAACAAGACAAATAATAACAAAGTACTCGGTGCTACTCGGGTCTAGCCTCGTCGCTTTCTTGTTATTGCTGGCAGAAGAATAAAGATGGTCGGCTATTGCTTCCTCTTTTTTTTACCTCCCTCTCGTCTAAACCTGTCGTAAAGTCGTGTAGTGAGAGCGGTTAGGAAGAGCCACCGGTAATTATAACTATTTATAGAAAATTGATTAGCACAAGAACGAGTTCACTTGGAAATAAGAGACGTTAGTAACGGCTAGAAACATTTCGCTCCCAAAAGCTAGTCGGTGACCCCACCGGAAGTACTTTGTACAAAAGTACTTTTTACACAAGCGTGCTTTTTCATTCCACTGTGGTGCAGTACTTAATTTGTACACAAGATGGCGACACATCAACGTGGATGACTTTGGATGTGTAATGTGCCAGAAAAATAGTTTAAAAAGGCCCAACTCTACCAAAGTTTGCTTTGTTTTTAGTTAAAATTAGCAAATTAAAACATTTTGGGATATTCATTTAACAAAAAGAACCGAGAAATATAGGCGGAAGCATTTTTGTCTATCCTGCACAGACAGTTCAAAACACTTTGCACATTCTCCATGCTCCAAAGTTGAAAACTTTTATATATTTATTTTTTGGGTGGTGGTGGGGGTGGGGGGTGGGGGGATTTGGTAAAGATGTAATGGGAAACTATTTAAATATGCATATTGTTTTAGGATAAAATTGATAATTAAAATAAAACTACATTTCAGTTATGCTCTGTATTTTACTTATCCCAGCATAATTAACCGATATTATGATTTGACTGGTGTGTGTGTTGCCTGAAAGTCCCACCACCTCTGTTTTTTATTATAAACCATCGACATACATACAGTTATAAACCGTCGAGCCACCCGTTACCATGGTGCTCCGTCGTAATTACTGTCGTAAAAAGCCGTAAACTGTATATGCCCCACACTGCAAAACAAGTGTGGAACTGCTTCGGCAAACTTGATTAATGAATTGTGTTTAGTAATTATCGTATCTGTTGTTCCCAACTTTTATTCGAGACGCTTTTGACAAACGAGAGAAAGACGACAACCACAACGAGCGAAGATGTTCAAAAAGTACGTTTCTCTACGTCACTGTTAGCTAGTAGCTGATGCTAAGTTGGGTTTAAGCGTTCCGTTCAGTCCTTAAAAACAAGCAGACGCGAGCGCGCTGTTTGGGTGTGCCAGCGACATTTAAGTCAGTTAGGATAGATTAAATCACTTACACAGATGCTTCAGGTAGATTTTGTAATTGAAAGAAAAGTGGTTTGAAGTAACCTAGCTGTTAATGTGTATACTGCTAATATGATCATAACGTTTGATTCTTCAAAGTTGGCCCAATTTTGGGAAATAATGTACAAAAATTCCCAGATCCTCGCTGCACTGTTTTTATTATATTTCAGATTTGATGAGAAGGAAAACGTGTCCAACTGTATCCAGCTGAAAACATCAGTGATCAAAGGCATCAAAAATCAGCTGTTGGAACAGTTTCCTGACATCGAGCCATGGCTTAACCAGATAATGCCCAAAAAGGACCCTGTCAAAATTGTGAGATGGTATGATTGTTTCATTTCTGTGTCTGGTGTCTTGTTCACATCTTTATACAGTAGATGGATGGTTTTAGTTTATATCCTCTGTATTCTTTCCAGTCATGAACACATAGAAATCCTGACAGTGAATGGAGAACTGCTTTTCTTCAGACAGAGAGAAGGACCTTTCTACCCGACCCTTAGACTGCTACATAAATGTAAGATGTATTGATGCTGGCTTATTGATATTAGTTGATGTTTGTCATATTTCAACATTTTTGTTCTCTGATTACAGATCCTTTCATCCTCCCACACCAGCAAGTTGACAAAGGAGCCATTAAATTTGTCTTGAGTGGAGCAAACATCATGTGCCCAGGGTTGACTTCACCAGGTGCCAAACTCTATCCTGCTGGTCCTGATACAGTAGTTGTATCCTTTAATGCTCAATGCCACATTAGTGTTTTAATACAAAATAAGTATACCATAGGGATGCACCGAAAATTCAGCCACCGAAAATCACTGAAACAACACAGCCAAAACAGGCCGTTAGGGGAATCCCGTTTTTGTTTCTTCTTGCTCCGACCTCATGAGGCAGTTTGCTCTTTGCTTCATAAAAATAGTTCATACTGATTTCCAAAGTAAAGTTTTGCCCTCTAGTAATATTTTATTACGATCACTTTAGCATTCTTATCAATTATGTGATGCACTTTACTTTAGTTTCACATCGACCGCATCTGGCCGACTTTTTTTTCTTCTTCTTTTACATTCCCGCTATGTCTGCCAAAATTAGCGGTGTTTCTATCCTCCTGCCTACACCCACCAGGTCCTGAACAGGGTGAAATAAGCTTTGGATTATGTGTGTGAAGTGTGTTTACTCTCATGAAGCACACAGACTCTCTGTTGCTTCTGTGCAGCTGCAGTGTCACTTTCTTTCTCACTGGACGAGTATACATGGTAAATGGCCTGTATTTGTGTAGCGCCTTCTTAGGATTCCTTCTGTGAGCTGCACTTGTCTCCTCTCCTCAGTCGAGAGCCTCCTGGTGGGGGGGGGGCGGCTTTCAAACTGAAAATCCTAAAATTTCAATAGCAAAACACCCAAAAGTGTTCAGATTGAAGTTGCACATCTCCACAATCTTTTGGTGTAAGCTAATAACTTTTGATGGATTATATTTGCAGCTGTGGCTCGGTTAACCCGGCATTAATGCAATACTGCGACTTTATTGCATAAGGGGTTAATTTTACAGTCCTCAGCAGGCCTTTCAGTTCTAAACCTGTACATTTATAACGTATTATTGTATAATGTACATGAGTGGGGTCAACTGAAGTGTTTTATTTTCAGTTTGAATTTATATTGTGCATTATGTCAGTGCAAATTAAATATTTTCATGGTTTTGTAATTGATTTGTAACTTTTAGTGAGGTTAGTACACGTCTTAGCCATAAATGCTATGGTTCTAATTATTGACATAACTTATTTCAGTGTTTCGGTTTCGGCCTTGGTTTCCTCATATTCGGCTTTGGCCAAGAATATTCATTTTGGTGCATCCCTACTATACTGTGGTTATTTTATTTTCCAAGAAGTCATTGTAAATCTGTTTTCTATGTGTTTATCTTTAACAAGTATGTTAAGGCCATAATGGCAGAGGGGAAACAACATGCACTTTGTGTTGGTGTGATGAAGATGTCTGCGGATAACATGTAGGAATCTAAATCAGTTTTATTGAAACAATTCTGTCACAATCTTTCTTTTTTCTTTTATTATATGATATTAATCTGTTTGTGTTTTTCACAGAGAAAAAGTCAACAAGGGAATCGGGATTGAGAATGTTCACTATCTGAATGATGGGTTGTGGCACATGAAGACATATAAATGATGACGTTGATGTTTACATCATCCAATCCAAATCACCTGTCATGATACTCTGAGCTTTCAACACTGAGGCATGAACTGTTGTGTTCACACCTGCGGACCTAGATGTGTAACCTTCTGGAGGCGATAAATGAACCACCAGGATTAAATAAAATTGGGCTTTAAATTAGAAGCACTCTTGGTGTTCTGTTTCAGTAGTCTACAATTGCCTGATTGGTGGTGGTTGGTGACTTAAGTGATACAAAACTGGATCAACATTTTAATTCAGGAAGTGAACATATTGACATGGTGACTGAGGGGAGTGCCGGAATGGAACAGCTGTCAGACCTGTTACTCCGCTCCACACCCAAGTGTAAAACATCTCCCTGCAGGCTTTAATGTTGAACAGGTTGGATTGGAATATTCAAAACCTATTTACATAGTTGCATCTAAATGTGAAGTTGAGTAGAAACGAAACCTTAATATTTGTTACATTCTTCTCCATCCCAGGTAGATAGAAACATAGAAAACTGGACTTCTAACTTTGCCCGGAGATGTTTTTATCTAATGAAAACCCTTTTATTAGTAAAAAAATATGGTGTGCCGAGTTTTAAACTGTTGAGATCTTTGTTGATGCAGGAATGAGGTGCGATTAGTAAACAGACCTGCATTAATTAGATGTTCACTAGTTAGAACACTAGAAACTCCAGATGTTTCAGTTTGAATGGGTGGAGTTCAAGTAGCATTTGTTTGCATGACGGGTGAGGTGTTTTTGCTTTTGACCTGCAACTTCTTAAGGCTGATTCATACTGACACTGCTCCAGCATGTCGGATCTGTTGGATCGCCATGATGCGACGTCGTATGGGCGATCGGTTGGAGTCGAGCTCTATTTTCTAAACATCCGACGGCCGCTTTGTATACTGGACATCTGTTATTGGTCAGCCAAACAACCCAACGTCATTTCCGGCACGACGTAGCTTAACCCTTTCCAGAAAGACGTTCTGGAATGTGTGGACAATTCAATACGGTTTTTAACCGGAATTGTGTTTTCAGACACACCACTTTTGTACCGGAACTTGTTCTTTCAGCTGCCAGTGCCTTCACACAGCAGGGAAAAGCGGTGCTGTGGTATCACAGTAGCTGTGGTCATAGCAGTCAACTGCTATACTCATAGCACAGTGGATAGTTATAGTACAGCCATATTAGCATAATATGATGGGGAACAAGTTCAAAATACACCAGAGACATTTATTAAACATAAAATATGAACAAAGACTGATGAATACAAGTTGGGGCACATTTGAGGTGATCAGGAAGATTCCATCTGCGTGCAGCACAGTAGAAAAGCAGTTTCACCCGGTTAGGTTCTGACCTAAGGTTCTACCAGCTGATCCTGATGTTCTGAGTGAAGCAGCTCAGCTCTCTGCTGGGGGTGCCATTGAGCGATTTATAAACTAGTAGAAGCACTTTGAATTTGATTCTGGTAACCCGTGCAGAGATTCAAGTACATTCATAGTTGAATGTTCCGACACCAAAATCACACAAAAATTATCAATGGAAATCAAATTTATCAACCATGGTGGTCTGGATTTGGAGAAACTACAGATGGATCCAACTTTGATGTAATGTCCTTAAATCAAGTCAAAATGAGGCTCAGTAGCGCGTGTGGCCTCCATCTGCCTATATGACCTCCCTACAATACCTGGGTATGCTCCTGGTGAGGTGGTGGATGGTCTCCTGAGGGATCTTCTCCCAGACCTGAACTAAAGCATTCACTGACTCCTAGGGAGTCTGTGGTGCAACACTGTGTTGGTGGATGAAGGCACGATGTCCTAGATGTGCTCAGTTGGATTCAGGTCTGGAAAACAGACAAGCCAGTCCATAGCATCAATGACTTTGTCTTGCATGAGAAGGAACCCAGGGCCAACCGCACCAGCATATGGTCTCACAAGGTGTCTGAGGATCTCATCATTACCCAATGGCAGTCAGGCTACTTCTGGTGAGCACATAGGGGGCTATACGGCCACCAACAAATGCCACCCCATACCATTCTGACCCACTGCCAAACCGGTCATGCTGGAGGATGTTGCCGGTAGCAGAACATTATTACGTTTGTCAGATTCAAGTTATTTCTGTGACCACTGTTTTTTTTTTCATTCCCTGAAGGGTACCAAAAGTTTTGTCCACGTCTGTACATTGTGTCAACTGTTCAATTTGTTTTTTCAGCAGTGTATAACTTATGGATTATAAAGTTTATAATAGAATAGAAGCACACAAATAAGTAGAGAAAGAAACCTTTATTCACTAACATTTGAACACAATTAACTGTCAGATAAAAATTCACAAGTATAACAACCTTCTTTGTGTTTTAATTCAAATAGTGTCTCATTTGGAGAGGAAAACAAACCAATCTACAAAGCCATAACTTACATCATCCACTGTTGAAACATATACCTGAACAACTAAAGATAGAATTTGTAAAACTTCTTAAGAGGATGCATCGTCTCAAATTGTTTTCGTTTAAATAAGTAGGTGCACAGCCAGTTCTTCATGAGCGTAGAAAAGCAAACAAGACTTAAAAAAGCAGCACAGCTGGAGCTTCCCTGTGTCATCAGACGCCTGGTTCCAGTCCAATCTTTAAATCGGAGACTCGAGTTATTAATGTGGTGAAACGGGCCACATTTTTAAAACATTAACACAATTCTTGTAGCTTTAGGACCACAAAAACACATTTAGAATATTAAAAAAACCTCCGTCACCAAACCTGAATCAATACGGGTCTCATGTCACAAGAGTAGCCCGTTTCCTAGCTCTGTCTGGACACCAAACTACAGTTTACCCATCAGCAGCACAAACAATCCGGTGCTGGTTATGTCAAGTGCAAAAGGTACAAATATACATCCAAGCATTATTTCTGCTCAAATCCAGTTTTACGAACAACATTAGGAAAAAAAAATTACCCCCAAAGTAAAGTTTGCCATCATAGAAGCAAAAAATTTAAATGCCACACCTGGCTTGAATTAACACAGCTAGTCATTGTCTGAACCTTCAGGGGGGTAAAATGTTAATAAGTCATGGAAGTCGTGCCCGTAAGGTCGAAGTCTGTAAACTCCAAACATCATGACCTGCATTTGATTTGGGGACATCCCATTAAACGTGACAGCCAAGTCGGAGCAGCAGCCCTCAACGACATCTGTGGGATTGTCCCTCATGCTGTCCTGTATCAAGCTGTCCACACTCTTAGTATTGAACAGGCCCTTTCCATTGGCGTCTTCTCCGTTCTCAGCAAACACGCCTGTATATTTAAGACATACGGCCAGCTGCTTGTCTTCACTCAGCTTCCACAAAGCACGTCCCTTTTCCGGACATTTCTCCTCATCCTGGAACACCTGCACCAGCCTTTTCAGAGCTTCATAGCTTAGAACAATTCCACCATCGTACTCCACATATTCAAGCTCCCCAGACTTCACAGCCCTGCCCAGGTAGAACGGTTCCTCTGGATCCTTTGTAAGCACAAGATACTTCAGATTCTCAATGATGGCAAATGTAGTCGGCTGTGCCAAAAAGAACCAGCGTAGGTCCCCTGCATTCTTGTAAGCGTGCATCAGAGCTTTACGCAGCCTGCTCCAGTCATCCTTTTCATTCAGGTCAATCGCTTCGAGTGCCTTTGAGGCCTCTGAAGTGTAAAAAACAGGCTTGTCACAGTGTTTACTCCAGGTGTCCAGAGTAGTAGCCCAGTAAACCAGGTTTTTGGGCTGAACCATGATAATGCAATAGACCTGAATGCGATTGTTCAACTCCAGCAGCTGACCGTCAGAGAAATGCTTAAGCTCGTCTTTACTTGCAGCCTTGACGTGATGATGGTGGTGGTCGTCTGTGTTTGACTCTGTAACGGAGCTGAAACTACTCAGGAGGGACACCACCAAGCAGAAGAGGCCTCCCAAAACCACCCCCTTGATGAAAGAGCCGCCCTCGGACAACATGGTGGCATAGAGATGCTGAACAAGAGAGAAAATAAATCATTGTAGGAAAAGCATTTCAACTATGTCATTTTCTTATTTTGGTGGTTAAAATATTTTTTGAAAAATAATAATAATCAAATGTGTCTTATTAAAGTCATTTGGAGCAGGATTTTTATTAATAGTGATAAATAATGGCGTGTTCAAAGCAGAAAACATTTTACTGTCTATAAAGGAACTTTTACCCCAAAAGCAATAAAGATCGACTAGTAAAAATAAATCAGATGATTTCTTTTTGGCTGTGCTTAAAGCTTTACAGGGCATGACTTTTGCAACCGCCTCTTTTAGTATGAAAAATAAAACCAATCCCTGACCAGAGAGAATTAGGGTGAAAAAATACCAAATTTTTGGTTAAAAACACAATCGGTCTATCTTGAGGCACTTTCACTCAGATCTATTCAGGAGTGGTCACATAATGCACTTTTAAAAAGAAGAAGTTAGCATGTGACTTGATACTTTTCTGATCTATCCATCCAACCATCCATCCATTTTCATCCGCTTATCCGGAGTCGGGTCGCGGGGGCAGTAGCCTAAGGCGAGAGGCCCAGACTTCCCTCTCCCCAGCCACTTGGGCCAGCTCCTCCGGGGGAATCCCAAGGTGTTTACATGGAGATTCGATCAGATTTTAGTTGAAGTGATCAAATGAAGCTATGGTGGTTAAACAAACAATACCAGTCTCAGATGTTTTAATAATCCCCTCGCATGAAAAAAATTTAAGCGATAAATTATGTTAATATTCGATTACCGACTTCCCAATGTCAAATGCAACTTCTACGTTTTCACAAGGCTTCTCCGTCAGCTCCAACAGGGAGAGACGCACGCACGGAGACCCTCATACTTCGTCTCCTGGGGAGTGTTGCAAAGCAATTCCCCGCCAGGACAACAGAGGGCGTAGCGCTGTTCTGTGATATCCTGTCATGTATCCGGTCCCAGATAGTGTGTTTATATTGTTTTTTTGCAAATAAGAGACTTTTTAACACGGACAATTTTGTCTCTCATTCTTCTCCACCCCTTCATGGGCATGGAGGTGGAGAGACAAATTTGTCTGCGTTACCAAAAAAAAAAAAAAAAAACCAGATACATGACAGGATATCACAGAACAGCGCTACGCCCTCTGTTGTCCTGGCGGGGAATTGCTTTACAACACTCCCCAGGAGACAGAGAAGTCGTTGTCGTCTTCCTCCGCTTATCCGGGTCCGGGTCGCGGGGGCAGCATCCCAACTAGGGAGCTCCAGACCGTCCTCTCCCCGGCCTTCTCCACCAGCTCCTCCGGCAGGACCCCAAGGCGTTCCCGGACCAGATTGGAGATGTAACCTCTCCAATGTGTCCTGGGTCGACCCGGGGGCCTTCTGCCGGCAGGACATGCCCGAAACACCTCCCCGGGGAGGCATCCAGGAGGCTTCCTGACCAGATGCCCAAACCACCTCAACTGGCTCCTTTCGATCCGGAGGAGCAGCGGTTCTACTCCGAGTCCCTCCAGAATGTCCGAGCTCCTCACCCTATCTCTAAGGCTGAGCCCGGCCACCCTACGGAGGAAACTCATTTCGGCCGCTTGTATCCGCGATCTCGTTCTTTCGGTCATTACCCAAAGCTCATGACCATAGGTGAGGATTGGGACGTAGATCGACCAGTAAATCGAGAGCCTGGCTTTCTGGCTCAGCTCCCCCTTCACCACAACAAATCGGCTCAGCGTCCGCATCACTGCAGACGCCGAACCAATCCGCCTGTCGATCTCCCGATCCCTCCTACCCTCACTGGTGAACAAGACCCCGAGATACATTAAACTCCTCCACTTGAGGTAGGACCTCTCCCCCGACCCGGAGTTGGCAAGCCACCCTTTTCCGGTCGAGAGACGGAGAAGTATGAGAGCAAATTGTCTCCGTCCGTGCCTGTCTCTCCCTGTAGGAGCTGACGAAGCATGACTCAGGCTTTAGACGAGCAGCTCTGAACCACAAACAGGTATTTTTAAAGCACCAGTCGACTCGAGGGTTTCACTCGAACCACCGTAAAAACCAAAGCTAATTGTTAGCTTATTTTCTCTCCGTGAATAGTTCTGGAGTCAAGTTAGATATCTATTTAACCACAACATATAAAGATTATTTACGGTGTCAGGCTGGATTTATATCTCCGTGACAGCTGCTGCTCTCCCTGGATTGTCTTTCAGCTCACACTTTTTCCTGGTTTGTTTCCAACATACGTCAGTGCTGTCTTCTTCCTCATCTTTTTCCCCAGGCAAGCTAAACGCAGTTATGGCGCATACTGCCCCCTGGAGGTTTTATTTTAAAGCACACGATGGACATTTTGTGCCCATCGTTTTTGTCTCTTTGGGGTGATTTTAAGGGACCTCTGTTCATTTTTTCACCCCTTTAAATTCATTGTATGTTTTTTATATCCAAATATCAAATACAATATAAAAAATATCATTATTTGTGTTTTCAGTAAAATAACCAAAATACATTCTTTTGTAGCTTCCTGAAGAGCCTGTTAAGAGAAATAACTTTTTCACTCCATTGAGACTGATGAGCCATGGCTAATCCAACAACCAGGATTTAAATGTACTATCATACTAAAATAGCCCCAGTTAAAAGTTTAAGTCATTCAAGCAATATTATTTTATGAACCTTTACAATTTTACATTACATGGTTAATAACTTTAAAATCAATATGCTGGTGAAGGTTCTCAGTCATCCAGGTCATGGTAATCCAAAGGGTTCAAATGAAGGCATCTGGACTTCTTTGGTTTCTTGAAGATGTTTCGAGGAAACCAACCCACACAGACCAGTATTTGCATTTGGACTCACATCACCCACTGGAGCATGAACTTTACACCATCGGACTGAGAACATTCCCAAAGACTGAAGGAAAACAAAAGGAAGACAAACACATCAAGAAAGCTCTTCAAAACTGCAGATACCCAAACTGGGCCTTTGTGAAATCTACAAAGAAGTCTGGAAAAGCATCCAAAGCAGGAACTAGTAAAGAAAAGAACAACAGGCGCAAAGGCACCATCATCCCACACGTGGCAGGAGTCTCAGAGAAACTTAGAAGAATCTTCTCCAAACACAACATCCTGGTAAACTTTAAACCCAACAACACCCTCAGTCAGAAACTGGTCCATCCATAAGACAAAAAACCCAAACAGAAGCTCAGTGGCGTTGTTTACGCCAATGTTAGTCCAATGTTGTGAGGACTGACCAGGGGTCTCATTTATCAAACATTGCGTAGAATCCTTACTACAACTGTACTTAAAGAGCAAGTCACCCCCAAATCAACTTTTTTTTCTGATAAACTACATCAATGTGTAGTTTATCAGATGTGTGTCTAATCGTGCTGCAGGCACGTGTAGTTAATAGTTTTGCACTTTTGTGCATTTTAGTTAAAATTTTAATTTTCTGCCTAAAACTGTCAGTGTTGTGCCGTTGTCAGGTAAAAACTCTGCACTGCATTTGAATTTGAATCTGCCACTGCTATTGGCTAAGAGGTATGCTATGATGTAAACTGGTATATTATGATGTCACAATGCCGTTGTGAGCCTGTGTGTGTGTGTGTGTGTGTGTATTTGTTAGTGGCTCCGCCCTCTCGGTCTGCTAGGCAACGGCATTTGTTTCATTTGTCAAACATGAAGAGGGAGTGAAGTAAGTTTCTTGTAGGGGTGACTTGCTCTTTAAGCTCAGCAAAAAAAAAGTACTTACGCCAAGTAGGTTTGTGATCTATCAAACATGGAGTACACACAGCTGCACGCAATCTCCGCTTCATAAAATGGAGACTAACGAGAATGTTTCTCAGTTGCATTTTAGTCACGTCGTGCCCTCACCACGCCCACTTACTGCCATAAATAGTCAATGCAAAGTGCTTTGTGGATCTCATGCATACAGTATACATAAGCCAGTTGTTGCAGAGCTCCGCCAATGACATGGCGACCGTAGATCAAGGCAGATCAAGGAAGTGCAATTTCACAGAAGCAGAAATTGAGGTACCTGTGGGTGAGGTGGAGAAATGAAAGGAAGTGCTCTTGCAAAACAAATAAGAGAAAATCCACGGAGTGGCACAGCATTGCTGAAGCCGTCAATGTTGTGAATTTGAGATCTGTAGCGGATATAAAAAAAAATGGTCCAATCGGGATTCGATTCCCAGACTCCCGGGTGAAAGTCATGCGCTCTAACCAGTCAGCCAAACGGAGATCTCCCCTGTTCAAGTAGCCAGGGCACATGATCAATCGAGTCACAGTGACAGGGCACATTGTCACAGACGCATGACATTCTGTCTCAATCTGACCCCTGCTAATATTCTGCATTCCGTATTCTGTGCTTCAGGCTGTGTGAGTGTGCACGTGTGTGCGTGTGGGTGATCTTGTTTTGTGTGAAAACGAAGCAGTACAAGTGATAATGCTGCAGGATTTCATGATTTTGCCCTTCTCAGCAGCAGCACTGCAGGTACTCTCCATGTCCAAAATGTGGGTAAGCAAGGTCCTTAGTCAACTTAAAGTTGCAGAACTTTTTTCCGCTAAGTTCTTTCATAAATCCCAAAGTATGCGTGGAAAGTTGCTTACGCAGTTTTCCAACCCCGTTTTGTGCGTAAGCAAGCTTGATAAATGAGGCCCCTGATCTTTACATTGGGGAAACTAAACAACAATTACACAAGTGCATAGCACAACACAAGAGAGCCACCTCTTCAGGTCAAGACTCTGCAGTCCACCAACCATACCATACCATACCATACCAAGTTCATTTATATGGCACATTGAAAAACAGCATGAGAGCTGACCAAAGCACCTCACAACATAAAAACAGAAACATACAATTGCCAATATAACAGACAGAATAGAGCAAACAGATTAAAACCGATAAAGGCAAATAAAACCAGCAAAAAGGAAAGATAAAAATCACAATCTAAAAGCCTTATTATAGAGGTGAGTCTTCAGGTGTGACTTGAAAACACCAACGGATGTTTATGTTTATTTATTTTGCAGATGCTTTTATCCAAAGCGACTTACAATTTATAACCTATAGGGCATGTTGTGACCTGTGGGGGAAACCGGAGTACCCGGAGGAAACCCACGCATGCATGGGGAGAACACGCAACTCCACGCAGAAAGGCTGCAGCCGAGTTTCGAACCTGCAACCTTTGTGCTGCCAGGCAACAGTGCTAACCACTGCGCCACCATCAAGCCCCCACAATGTGGCTCAAAAATTGGGCCCAACCCGGAAGTACCAAAAATTGCAGTTCCACCCTCATCCACTGCGGGCTGGTGTCAGAAGCGAGCAAATCCTCATTGACTCCCATGTTAAAAATACCAATTTCACAGCAGGAATAAACATGTTTACAGCCTGGTACCAAAACATGTTTTTTGTTTAAATTATCTAGTTTACACTCATGACAACTCTGAGGGGTGTGAATTTTTTTCTCACTCTTCTGTTGAAGTGTATTAAAAGCCTAAAATTCTGTATAATTAATGAGCATCCGAACCACGTGACCACAGAGCTAGCTCCGTGGAAAGGCCTCAGTAGAGCTTCGTTCTGGCTTGGAAACTGCTCCGGCATTTTGAGTCTTTGTGTTTGTGTATTCTTGTTTGGATATTTTTGTGCAATTGTTGGACAAAATGACTTGCTGTGGCATTAATTGCACTAATAGAGCGTCCAAGGAGTCTCCACTTCATTTTTTTCGGTAAGTAAAATTATATTTATGTAATTTAGGTCACTGCCGAGCTGAGATAATATTTTAACATGTACTGTTTAACCATGAAATTTAAATGTAACAGGGTAAAACCCAGTGCATTTAACACAATGCTGCACTTTAGAAAATGGGTTGAAATATAACATGTTGGTGGAGCTGGGTTCCGACTATCGGCTTGTGGAGCTCTCGGGAGACCGATGTTTTCCACCCGTTCTCCCCTCCCCGCAGCTCGGCGCATCTCTGTCTGATCTCGGCGCATCTCTGTCTGATCGCGGCTTCTGACTGCTGCGCGGGCTGACGGCTTGTGGAGCTCTGGGATGGAAACCTTTCCACCAGGTTCTCCCCAGCGGCATTTCTGCGCATCTCAGATCGCAGCAGCGCTTGTCTGCTGTGCGGCTGCCGGCTTGTGGAGCTCTCGGAGACCTCTGTGTTCCACCCGGTTTTACCCAGCGGTCAGCCCGGCGTATCTCTGACTCAGAAGCTCTGGTGTTGTGCACAGTTAACTCCGGTTGTAGCTAGGTTGCTACCTCTGTTAGCTTAGCTCCCACCTCTGCATTAGCTTAGGGTTAGCTTCAAGTTAGCTTGTAGCTGGTTCAGCCGGGTGTCGTCAGTTGATCCCAGCCTTACAGCCCCACCCTCAGCTCCACCTCTCTTCCCTTTTGTGGAATTGTCTGGGCTTGACAGAACCTGTGACACGGTCAAAATGGCGGTGGTGGCCATCTCCCATTTTAGCACAAAAACTTATTTTTTGAGTCTATGGAAACCCATTGTCCAGTATATGTATGTCGATGGCCACCATGCAGCCGGATGCAGCGGATATTGAGTGGCAGTGCATTCCAGAGTATAGGAGCTACATACATGAATGCTTGCTCCCCCCTTGACTTGTAGCACATTTTCAGGGTGCAGAGCCATAGTTGGTCAGCTGAACGTAGCAAACTCAGTGGCACATAGGGCATCAGTAAGTCTGATAGGTAGGTCGGTGCCAGACTATTCAAAGCTTTATAAGCAAACAGCAGGATCTTAAATGTCACTCTAAACACTACTGGTAGCCAATGAAGGTGCGCCAAAACCAGGGTCATATGGCTACGTCTGTCAGTGCCTGTCAAAAATTGTGCTGCAGCATTTTACACAGTCTGCAGACAATTTAGGGCTGAAGCTGAAGTCCCGACTAATAGTGCGTTTGCATAGTCCAGTCGTGAGTTGATGAATGCATGTACTACAGTTTCTAAATGCGCCCTTTTCAGAATTGGCTTTAGGTGAGCCGAGCACTGAAGTTGAAAGAAACACGCTCTTACAACAGCATTGATCTGAGGGACTATTGTAAATCCAGCATCCAGTTTCACACCAAGGCTTGAGACATATCCTTTTAGTTCCAGACCTAGAATGGCTGGGGTCTCGGAGGAACTCAGCAGATTCTTAGGGTCAAAAGGAATGGCCTCAGTCTTTTTCTCATTAAGTCGAAGGAAATTGGCTGCCAACCACCCCTTTACATCGGAGAGACAGTCCTCAAGTAATGAAACCTTATTTTGTCCATTTATTGCCAAATATACGTATCTGGCAGTCATTGGCGTAGATA